AAGATTGTGATTTAATGCAGTTAAAGTTTTGAAATCTCATTAAATGATCAGATGATATTATCCATATGAAACGTCTATGTACATTGTCCATATTTGTATTGTGTAATCATAATGGGACTGGTATTTGTCTATAAATAACTGAAATACACATTGCCAAGTTGTTCTCAGTGATCAGACAGCATATTTGCTGTTGGGTAGTACCACAGGAGTAATCTGAGGATTGGAAAAGGAACAAATAGATTTCCACCAGTCTCAGAGGCCCGACAGGGATTAAAGCTGACTGTTATTTTTATTTTATTGCTGCTATTTAACCCCACAGTAGATCCTCACCTTTTGATTCAGCGGGATATAGCCTCTGTTAGCCTCGGATGTGAGAGTGCTACACACTTGCATTGTGTATCTTCATGCCAGCCTGTGTGTGACTGAACTGAAGAGGACATGAGCAGCACACCACCTCTCCATCACACACTTCCCAATCCTCCTCTCTCTCTGATTTTCTTTGTTGCTCTGCCAAGTCCCACTGTGAAGCTGCAGTAGTTGAAGTATACAAAACATGAATAACACCTGCTCTTTTCATGACATAGACTGACCAGGTGTGTCCAGATGAAAGCTATGATCCCTTATTGATGTCATTTGTTAAATCCACTACAATCAGTGTAGATGAAGGGGGGGAGACAGGTTAAAGAAGGATTTTTAAGCCTTGAGACAATTCAGACATGGATTGTGTATGTGTGCCATTCAGAGGGTGAACGGACAAGACAAAAGATTGAAGTGCCTTTTTTAATTTTTTTATTTTATTTCACCTTTATTTAACCAGGTAAGCCAGTTGAGAACAAGTTCTCATTTACAACTGCGACCTGGCCAAGATAAAGCAAAGCAGTGCGATAAAAACAACACAGAGTTACATATGGGGTAAAACACATAAAGTCAAAAATACAACAGAAAATATATATACAGTGTGTGCAAATGTAGCAAGTTATGGAGGTAAGGCAATAAATAGGCTATAGTGCAAAATAATTACAATAGTATTAACACTGGAATGCTAGATGTGCAAGAGATTATGTGCAAATAGAGATACTGGGGTGCAAAAGAGCAAAATAAAATAAATAACAATATAGGGATGAGGTAGTTGGGTGGGCTAATTTCAGATGGGCTGTGTACAGGTGCAGTGATCGGTAAGGTACTCTGACAACTGATGCTTAAAGTTAGTGAGGGAGATAAGAGTCTCCAGCTTCAGAGATTTTTGCAATTCGTTCCAGTCATTGGCAGCAGAGAACTGGAAGGAATGGCGGCCAAAGGAGGTGTTGGCTTTGGGAATGACCAGTGAGATATACCTGCTGGAGCGCAGACTACGGGTGGGTGCTGCTATGGTGACCAATGAGCTAAGATAAGGCGGGGATTTGCCTAGCAGTGATTTATAGATGGCCTGGAGCCAGTGGGTTTGACGACGAACATGTAGTGAGGACCAGCCAACAAGAGCGTACAGGTCACAGTGGTGGGTAGCGTATGGGGCTTTGGAGACAAAACGGATGGCACTGTGATAGACTACATTCAATTTGCTGAGTAGAGTGTTGGAGGCTATTTTGTAAATGACATCGCCGAAGTCAAGGATCGGTAGGATAGTCAGTTTTACGAGGGCATGTTTGGCAGCATGAGTGAAGGAGGCTTTGTTGCGAAATAGGAAGCCGATTCTAGATTTAACTTTGGATTGGAGATTCTTTATGTGAGTCTGGAAGGAGAGTTTACAGTCTAACCAGACACCTAGGTATTTGTAGTTGTCCACATACTCTAGGTCAGACCCGTCAAGAGTGGTGATTCTAGTCGGGTGGGCGGGTGCCAGCAGCGTTCGATTGAAAAGCATGCATTTAGTTTTACTAGTGTTTAAGAGCAGTTGGAGGCTACTGAAGGAGTGTTGTATGGCATTGAAGCTCGTTTGGAGGTTTGTTAACACAGTGTCCAATGAAGGGCCAGATGTATACAAAATGGTGTCGTCTGCGTAGAGGTGGATCTGAGAGTCACCAGCAGCAAGAGCGACATCATTGATATACACAGAGAAAAGTGTCGGCCCAAGAATTGAACCCTGTGGCACCCCCATAGAGACTGCCATAGGTCCAGACAACAGGCCCTCCGATTTGACACACTGAACTCTATCTGAGAAGTAGTTGGTGAACCAGGCGAGGCAGTCATTTGAGAAACCAAGGCTATTTAGTCTGCCAATAAGAATGCGGTGGTTGACAGAGTCGAAAGCCTTGGCCAGGTCGATGAAGACGGCTGCACAGTACTGTCTATTATCAATCGCGGTTATAATATCGTTTAGGACCTTGAGCGTGGCTGAAGTGCACCCATGACCAGCTCGGAAACCGGATTGCATAGCGGAGAAGGTACGGTGGTATTCGAAATGGTCGGTGATCTGTTTGTTAACTTGGCTTTCAAATACTTTCGAAAGGCAGGGCAGGATGGATATAGGTCTGTAGCAGTTTGAAAGGGGTATGGTAGTATGTGCCAGGCCACCGGTTTGTATCAAGAACTGCAATGCTGCTGGGTTTTTCACCCTAAACAGTTTCCCATGTGTATCAAGAATGGTCCACCACCCAAAGGACATCCAGCCAACTTGGAGTCAACATGTGCCAGCATCCCTGTGGAACTCTTGACACCTTGTAGAGTCCATGCCCCAACGAATTGAGGCTCCTAATGTTTGGTATTCTCAGTGTACAACAACAACAACAAGCCAGTCACCAGCCACCACCAGGACAGCCAGTCACCAGCCACCACCAGGACACAGCCAGAGCCACAACACTTACTTAGAAGAGACTGGCTGAACTCAGTAACATAACACAGCATTATAATGCATCAAAGGACAAGATATACTGCAATTAATCTCACTGTCAAAAGAAGCACTTCCCTTTTTGTCTGGAGTTTGTTGCGCGCTGCACTGCAGGCTATAATTGGCATACAAAAACAATGCCCTTGCACAATATCGCGGATAGTCATTGTACATTTATACTGCATGAGTTTCACATTTGCATTAATTACTTACAGTACATAATGGACCAAGGACAGTCTAGCAGGGGCATTAGTCTAGATAGTCTAGCAGGGGCATTAGTCTAGATAGTCTAGCAGGGGTATTAGTCTAGATAGTCTAGCAGGGGCATTAGTCTAGATAGTCTAGCAGGGGCATTACTCTAGATAGTCTAGCAGGGGTATTAGTCTAGATAGTCTAGCAGGGGCATTAGTCTAGATAGTCTAGCAGGGGCATTCGTCTAGATAGTCTAGAAGGGGCATTACTCTAGATAGTCTAGCAGGGGCATTAGTCTAGATAGTCTAGCAGGGGCATTAGTCTAGATAGTCTAGCAGGGGCATTACTCTAGATAGTCTAGCAGGGGCATTAGTCTAGATAGTCTAGAAGGGGCATTACTCTAGATAGTCTAGCAAGGGCATTACTCTAGATAGTCTAGCAGGGGCATTACTCTAGATAGTCTAGCAGGGGCATTAATCTAGATAGTCTAGCAGGGGCATTACTCTAGATAGTCTAGCAGGGGCATTAGTCTAGATAGTCTAGCAGGGGCATTAGTCTAGATAGTCTAGCAGGGGCATTAGTCTAGATAGTCTAGCAGGGGCATTAGTCTAGATAGTCTAGCAGGGGCATTAGTCTAGATAGTCTAGCAGGGGCATTAATCTAGATAGTCTAGCAGGGGCATTAGTCTAGATAGTCTAGCAGGGGCATTAATCTAGATAGTCTAGCAGGGGCATTAGTCTAGATAGTCTGAGGGCTCGCTGATAGCTAGCAGGGCATTAGTCTAGATAGTCTAGCAGGGGCATTAGTCTAGATAGTCTAGCAGGGCATTAGTCTAGATAGTCTAGCAGGGGCATTAGTCTAGATAGTCTAGCAGGGGCATTAGTCTAGATAGTCTAGCAGGGGCATTACTCTAGATAGTCTAGCAGGGGCATTATCTAGATAGTCTAGCAGGGTCATTAGTCTAGATAGTCTAGCAGGGGCATTACTCTAGATAGTCTAGCAGGGGCATTAGTCTAGATAGTCTAGCAGGGTCATTAGTCTAGATAGTCTAGCAGGGGCATTTGGACTTAGATAGTCTAGCAGGGGCATTAGTCTAATAGTCTAGCAGGCATTGTCTAGTAGTCAGAGGGTGCATTACTCTAGCAGTCTAGCAGGGGCCATTACTGCATAATGTTCTCCTTTCTAATAGTCTAGTGGGATTACATCTAAATCTGTCAACGGGGCATTCTCTAAATAGGCTTTGGAGGATTATGTTAGATAGTCACGGGTATTAGTCTAGATAGTCTGGCTTAGTCCAGATAGTTAGGGGATAATTGATGTCTAGCAGGGGCATAGTCAAAGTCTAGCAGGGCTTAGTCTAGAAGTTTGCAGGGGCTTACTAGATAGTCTAGCAGGGGCATATAATAGCTAGGGGGATAGTCTAGAACTCGTTAGTAGGGGGGCATTTTAGCAGGGCATTTGGAAGAAGAGTAGTCTAACTGGAAAGCATGGCTGTGGGAGAAAGTCTCATTGTCCAGGGTGATTTGTGCAGTTCCAGGACCCTTATAATGTTCTCTTTCTAAAGCTGTGTTACATCAACTTCAACGATGCCTCCCTGAAAATAGGCTTTGGATATATTTTGAATCCCTTTGTTTTCTACTGCTGTTGGCCCCACAGTTGGGTGATGAAATTGATTTTATGGTGTGGGCATAGCCAAAAGCTGCCTGAACCATGCTGTGCTCAAAAGAAAGAGTTTGGCTGACTTTATTTTTGACAGATGTTCAAAAACAATGACCTGCTGTGGTTCACTGTTCTCATTGAGGCACTGGGTGTTATTGGCAAGTGAATTGGCACTGTCCTGCTGCTCACAAATCAAAATGTTCAGTGGTTATTACATACAAGAAATGTCATTATCTATGAACCAAAACAAACAAAACTGAAGTAAAAGTTAGCCTAAGATGATGAACTGGAAACAGTGAGGAGAAACCCAGACAGAGATGAGCGGATGCTCCATCATCTGAGTCTGGTGATAAGGTGCCCGCTGCCAGCTGGGAAGACGAGGTGGAGGAATGAGAAGTTGCCCGCCAACCTGCTCTCCAGTCCAGCCACGCAGCGGCAGGCAGTGCAAAGGCATCACAGGGCAGCGCAGGGCACAGGAACACCCACTGAGCCCATGCTGGCCTGGAAGTAACGCTTCACTGAGGCTTCCAACAGAACACAGCAGCAAAACAGAACACAGAGACAGAGTGTAGGGGTGGAATACCAACTAGTTCCACAGTGGTGGCGAGTATTGAACTTTACTTAACAAAACAAACACTGTCTTGTACTTTGGTCTGTTGTGTTTCCACAGTGTCTCTCTCTTCTGCCAAATAGATTATTGCCAAATAACCTTTCAGAGGTTGAAGAGTTTTAGGCTGAAGTCAGGTGGATAAGAGAGCTCAACACAGGAGGTTGGTGGTACCTTAATTGGGGAGGACAGGCTCGTGGTAATGGCTGGAGTGGAATTAGTAGAATGGTATCAAATACATCAAACAGATGGTTTCCATGTGTTTCATGCCATTCCATTTACTCCGTTCCAGCCATTATTATGAGTCGTCCTTCCTCAGCATCCTCCTGTGGAGCTCAATGTATGTATGCTATCACATCTGTTGGCCCCTACTGGATGTTTCTCTCACGTCAGTCTAGTTGGCAGACTCAGCCCATCCTTAGATTGCTTTTTCTTCAGTCACACCGCCTAAGTGTTTCAGATGCAGCCTGCCTTCAGTGTCTACAATGTCCCACAGCCTGCATACAAAAGAATACAGCCGTGCCATGAATAGAGGAGCTTGTCTCTTAAATCCCTTCACATGGAACCAGAGGCAGAGCTGCTGCTATACTTGAGCCCTCCACCGCTACAGCTGACAGTACCTTAGCTCAGATTGGGCATTGACGCCAGGGAGTAATCTGACAATTTGTCTCATCTCATGTTCCTGAACATGCAGGGATCTGTGGACTTCTCCTGTCACCAAGAAATTCTGATGACAAAATCCCTAAAATCCTATTTATGTCAGCTGGATGCTTTAGCAGGAGCCAGTCATTCTGTGATTACATAAAAACAGAGAACACCCGGTCTCTTTCAACAGCCCTGTGGATAAAGAACAGGGTATCACAGTTTAGGATTATTATAAATGTAACTAGCAGTTACATTATCTATGTCCGCAGTGTTGGTATCAGCAGTGCAGTTAAATGAAAATGCTGGCATCTAGTGGTAAAGAGATGAATAAATTATATGAACAAGATAGAACGTTCATTATTATTTGACTATTGTTAATAACACTGGCTTCTCATTGATGTGAGTGAATAAAATGTAATCACATTTTCGTATTTTTCAAGTAAAATATGTTGCACACTAACGTTCATAATAAGTCAGCAAATTATAGTTCAAGTATACTATAGGCAGCCATGAAAAATGTGTGAACTATATACTATATACTATCACTTACACTAGACTGCGGCTCCTTTTTTGTGCAGATAACCTTTTAATGGTCATGCTTGTCACCTCCCTTCGCAACGTGTCAACATGGTGCCTAGATTTCCAACAAACAAAAAGTAGGATAAGGCAAGAACCAAATATGCCGAAAAAACATGAGGCCTACAAACACAAAACTAAGTAAGTAGCTGTGTGACTTTCGTTATAAGAACAAACGCAAAAAATAAGTAAGTAGCTTTTGAAGAACAATTTCGGAAAACACCTGTTATATTTCTCGGGCGACAGCATTACCGCCAGCATAAAATAATTAAGGGAGCTGTTCGTCACTTCAGAAAAAAATACGTTTTTATGCATTGTCAACAATGCTACACGTTGCAAAAATAAACCAATTGATTTGACACATGTAGTCATTTCACTTGAAAACATTGTAACAACACATCTTGACAGTAAAATCACAGTAGGCCTACTTTAATTCCAACAGGGGGCGTTGTAACACAATATGTTGATATACACTGAGTATACAAAACAGAACACCTGATATTTTCATGACAGGCTGACCAGGTGTAAACTATAATCCCTTATTGATGTCACTTGTTAAATCCAAATACATGTCCTCAACGATGGTAGGCAGATGAGATCAGGTGGGACCATTCTAGCCAATGAGAGGGCAGATACGCATTTGAATAACTTTTCTATGATAGTGTGCTTGAGTTTGTGTGTGTATGTATGTGTATATATATATATATATATATATATATATATATATATATATATATATATATATATATAAACCATATACACTTGAGGGTATACTGGTATATCACTGTGGGTAATCAATGATGTGTTATGTAGTTCACTACTGATGCTGTGTGAATGTGCCCTGACATTCTTACTTCATACCAGAATGACTGAAACAAGCATTTTTCATGGAGGCCTAAGTGGTTTCATTTGTAGATTCTCTTGTGTTGGTGCTTCTCTTTTATCAGTAATCAGATCAGGTCATATTTTTCTTCCTCTAAACCAGATTAAGTAAATGTATAGCAATGATTCACACACAGATTACCTGCCTGCTATTTGGGTGAACAATGTGCCTTGGGGGGCTGTCATCAATCCAAAGAGAAACTCCAGGGAGGGGTAATCCTTTGGGTCCCCTGTGAAATGAACGCAAAGTATATGTTTCAGTTGTCTCAGAGGAGAGGTGTTTGTGAAAGGGAAACATGTAAACAATTGGATACTTTGATGATCTCAGACTATCTTTTTGGCATTACATAACATTACATTTACATTTTAGTAATTTAGCAGACGCTCTTATCCAGAGCGACTTACAGTTAGTGAGTGCATACATTTTTTTATATATTTTTTTTATACTGGAATCGAACCCACAACCCTGGCATTACAAATGCCATGCTCTACCAACTGAGCTACATCCCTGCCGGCCATTCCCTCCCCTACCCTGGACGACGCTGGGCCAACATTAGACAGTATGCATTACATATTATAGATTGTCATACATTGGGGTAAAAAGTTTAATAGGTTAGAGGTTATGAGGCGATGTTTTCTATGGAGGACTGGTAAAAATGTTCCAGGAGATAACGTAAAAGTTATGGCCTGACCATTCTGTATCCAGTATAACAGCCAGTTGATCTTTTAGTCTAGTAACGTCTGTATTGCTGTTGGTATCCGCTGGTGCTTTATTGCTTCTGAGCAGAGATATTGCTGTTTTACTCTTGCTCAGTTTCCTGACTGGACACTGCATTGCAGGGCTGACTCATATAGTTCAAAGTTATTAGTCTTCCATCTGCTGTTGCTCACCACCCCTCATACCCCACTCACGGCCCGCGGTCTGTGGGACTCATAGGTGCCCTCTGCCCCAGGCCTGGTCTGGATATCTGCTGGGAGGGTTAGGTCTACAGTGAGCTGCACCCCAGACCCAGAGCTGACGTGCCCCCCTGAGGAGTTCTACACCGGGCACCCCAGTCTCCAGATGGAATTTCCTGTGTCTGGGGGGGGGGGGGCTGCCTTCTCCAACCCCACCCCAGCAGAGCTCTCTCTCTCAGGGCAGGGACTGAAAGGAAAACTGGGAGAGCAGTAACCAGCACACTCAGGCTCTTGGTGTTTAACTAGTCACCACTATGTTGTTTCCTGCCCTCATTGTTTTAGATAGGGAGGAAGGATGAGACATCGCAAACCCTGGTTTGCCCTTTGTCAATCTTCATTTCCCATTATGTCAGTCTTCATTTCCCGTTCTATTTCGCTCAATGTCGAGTCTGTATCTAAATGAAAAGGTTTGTTGAATCACAACTCTGTCATTGTACTGTAAAAAGGAAATATTTTGGAACCACCGTAACTCATTTCTGTCTGTCTTCAGAGCCCAGAGTGAGACACTGAAGACCAGCACTGAGCCCACCACAGATCCAAACACAGAGCCCAGTACTGCCTCATGCCCTGGAAAACTGATCAACCAGGGCATAAAGAAGAGGGCTATTATACTGACCAAAGATGAGAAGAACATGGTATGGTGCAACATATAATACTCAAATATACATCATGAGCCTTATACATAATGCGTAGTAGCATTGTGAGGACTCTCAAATGCACCTTGTGAGAACCTAGCCTGAACGTGTTATGCAACATAGCACTGTGATAATGGTTTTGTGTTTCATCCCCTAAGGCCGCCTTAGAGAGAACCTGCCAGGCCTTTAGGTTCGACCAGGCGGAGTATGAGCGGTTCCTGGATCACATGACTCTCTGGCTCCAGGAGTACCAGGACCAGGCAGTGGAGCTGTTCAGCCTGTGTGACACAGACAGCACTGGTACCATCGGCCCCGAGGACTGTGAGCTGGGTAATCCATCCCTACTCTAGTCTGTTACACCCTCATTCCCAGCCAAATGAACCAATATCAGCTGGGAAATCTGTCTCAAAGCTTTCATCTGGGGCTCATGGCTGCAATTAAGGTATGTCAAAGGATTACCTCATAATGAGTCCAAATACTATTTTCAATGCTAGAAGTTCACTCTAGCATGTTTCAGTGAGTTCCATTTGGAAATGTTGCGATGATTCTTTCCACTGTAGACCCCTTGAAAAGTTAAGTCAAATGTAACTGGCTCTCAGCTCCTTTAAATGTAACATAAATAAAACCACTGGGGAAAGCAATTACAAACCGTTTTATGAGACTCCTGAGTCAGTCCTATCTCAATGCCACTGACTGTGTGGGTTTTTATTGAAGATATATAAGTGCTTATGGTCAATGTTCTGATTCAGACTGCTTAGAATGCAAGCACTTGTTCATTTCCTGGAGAGCTTGTAAGTGGCCCTCTCACCTCCCACAGATAACAGCTCGTCCTGGGAAACAAAAACAGAACAATGTTCCTTTTGTCCTTCAGGCCCCAGACATTGAGTATACTGTACATTAGTTCAGAAGAAAATATTAATCCTTCAGAAAGTTGGAGCCAAGGAGAACCAAGGAGCACAGTCAGCCTTAAATCCAGCATTCAGGCCTCTTTTATTTTATTTTATTTAACCTTTATTTAACTCTTGGCTAATGCCTCTGTGGATAGAGCCATTTAATGGTTGATTCACTGGAGCGATAGCATCATCATTGATCTAAGAATCACTGTCTGGAGAGATGGCACTTTATAATGGACCTATAATAACTACAATCCTGCCTTTTCCATTTCTTCGTCTTTTCAATGTCACATTCAATGTCTATTCCACGTTGGTTCAACGTCATTTAATTGACATGACGTCGAAACAACGTTGATTCAACCAGCATGTGCCCAGTGGGTTGTGTACAAGTCATCACAAAATCATTTTAGGAGACCAATAACTCAACTCCTTTTGTGGGGTTAGGACAATTTCTGTAGAATGTCTCTGGTGTAAAAAGTTAAAATTCAAAATCCCTTACATCCTTAGGTATGACAGAATTGGGAATTCTGTGTCTGCAATTTCAGCTGTATCTGCTGTCTCAGCTACTGAGGAGAGGCAACGATGTGGAGATCGATTACAGGGACATGAGCAACCAACTACATAGAGTAAGGTATAGCAAAATCAGGATTCTAGTGTGGATGTTTGAACATGTTTCTATTGGTTTCTATGAATGTTTTATCATTCTATTTGAAAGAGTGGAGGGTAAGGATGAGGGAGAGGAGGATGCTGTTCCCTGTTGTTTGGAGATCAGTAGAGAGAAGCTACAGCCCTGCCCTAACTGTCAGCCCACCACCTCCTGAGACATGTAAGACATGCACATACAGTACATACTGCAGAAACAAGCACTCAGACATACAGTATCTATACACACAGAAATACTCATGCTACAGTACATCACCCAGACAGGTTAACTTTTTTTTTTTAAATCCCACACTCAAATTAACTCCCATTGAAAATACATGTCAGCTATTTATGTTTATGCTGAGTACGGAGGAGCCCATCCAGGGAGCTTTGAGGTGGTTTCCCCAGCAGAACCAGGGTGTCCAGCCTGATCAGGGTGATCGAGGAGCGGGTTGGGATCCAGACCACCAGCCTGCAGGTGTTCAGAACCAGAGTTCCCTCCCAGGAGTCCTTCCTACCACCAGACAGCTCTCTGGGGGAGTGTGGCTTCTCTGGAGGCCCAGAGGACTCACCCAGCCAGGCTTCACTGTTCTATGACTACAGGCTAGAGTTCACTGACTGCCCCATCCTCAACTGTGACCACTACTTTGATTGTAAGCAACCTCAGATTGGGGAGGACTACTTTGCATCAAGGCCTATGTAGGTGACCTGTATTAGTTACTGTATCAGCTGTATAACTTACTATATCAGCACTTTTTTGATGTACAGATTTCTCTTTGTGTGACTAGCACCATGAAGCAATTACAGTTAATAATTGGCTGTGTTTAGCTAATTATTTATCTGATAATTAAAAGTGCACTAATGTCAGGGTTATACCAGGGAAGAAAATGGAAGAAAATGGATGACTTGGGCAGAACACTCCTCACAATCAGCAGCTTCTGACATAGTTTTGTGTTTACCTGCAAGCATGAAGTATGCAAAGTGTGAGATTGCCTTTTTAACGCCATAACAACCATTTTACTATGGGCCTCAGGGCACAGTGGAGAACCCTGGGGTGTATCAAATTGAGTGGTGTAGTGGAAAGTGCTGCTCTAGTGGAAACCACAGGGCACTATAAATGGTGGCTCTTCTGGTGGCCCACTAAAGCGTGCCTGCCCTGAGTGAGACACACCCTTGGTTCCCTGCTACCTCCCCCTGTTTAAAAGCACTTGGTCAACAGCTGGATTCCTTATTCACCCCAAAGTGTGCCGTTGCTTTATTTGGCCTTGTTACGCCCCACGCCGTAGAGTGTTCAACCATCTGGGGATGCAGGCTGTACAGTCTGAGGATGTAGGGATTGGGGAATAACTCAGGAATTTTGGAGCTCTCATTTTGTTTTAAAATCTAAATAACATTTATTAAATATGTTAAAAAATACTGGACAATATAAATATTAGAAAATGGAATACTATTTTATTTGTCGTCAATTAAATTGAAGACTTAACACTGTTACCCTGGCATTAAAAAACAGAAGTTGACTTAAAACTGTCATAAAGAGTCATTTATGTTCATAAACATTTCATAAACAGTCATAAGTTATAGTGTCACTGTCACCACATGGAAAAAGTCAGAGGAGAGGTTTAACAGTAAGGCTTTGATACCATGGGTAATTGTGTCCAGGCATCTATATTAGATAATCACTGAGCTCCACTGAAATGCCTTATAGATAACCATAGAGTCTGTGACAACCTTTCACTATACTGTAGTGTTTCAGAAAGTATTTCACTAATAGCACTTCAGTAAATATCCAAAGTATAAAGCCACTATGACATAAGAATGGGTCATTGTTTTTACCCCAAAAATACATTATAATGTACAGTTTTATAACATTTTTATATTTGCATAAGTTCTTATGAGTTTTGGCGTTTGTAAAGCTGAGCAATCTTCAGACAGAATGCTGTGCACTAGCCATTAGCAGTCAGTAGATAGTGGCCTCGAAGACACTGAAAAAGCTCAATCCTGCTAGCAACAACTGCCTTAACCGCTGTTATTTTCTACTCTCCCAAACCCACAGTGTTTTCTGGGTACAAAGGACAGCTCACCATGCAGATTTATTCACATGCTGAAAAGAAAAGGGGGCAACAGAAAAACACTGTTTTGGGAAGCTGTCTGGACCATTATGTTGATAAACATGTAATGGTGCTTCAGAGAAGACTTGAGCAATAGTGGATTCAGTTTGCTTTGAGTGTCCTCCTGTTCATTCTATGTACAGTAAAGCTTCATTTAAAATACTCAGTGAGGAGTGATTATTCACCAAAACAAACTAAACTTTCAAATGTATTTTATCCTTTGGTTGAGGAACACGTCTTGTAAAGTACTGACAGACAACTAAGGTCCTTAGTTGGATAAATAAAGAAGAGGTTAAGCTCCCTACTGAGGGTCAAATGTCACTTGGGGAAGACTCCAGTGAAACCTTCCTTCCACTCAGCACTTGATCACTGAGCTCTTCCCTATTGATTTGGACTCGATTTTGGCCACCAGCAATCTGAGGGCATCTCCAGATGAACGAATGAGCTCTCTACCACTGTGAAGGGGACAGAAAGAGAGAGATAACATCAGAGAGTGTGTTAAACAGAGGGAGGAGATTAAACTATTCTATGTTCTGTTTTATAACTCCTATTATCTAAATAATATCAAGTATTGTATTACAGCTTCTTTATCAACACAGGGTAGTAAAGACCAGTCTCCATGTTGCACTACTTACATGTGGTATTCCATGCCCACCAGACTGATACCGTTCACAGCCAGGATACGATCTCCCAACCTCAGCTTCTGGCACTGGGCGGCTGGGGACTCTGGCACCACTGACTTGATATAGATCCCAGTCATCTTCAGAGGCGTTTTCTACACAGGACACAAGATGATGTAACATTGAGGTTGGGTCTGAGGACACGCTGTGCCTAAATTACAGCAACATCTCTGCTGTTTAATCTCTACCCTACAGGGGGCACCACATGTTATAGAATTCTCCACAGCAGCACACTTGCATGCATGTCCATGAGTAGAGGGTTTCAGACCAGACACGTTTCTGTTATGAATTAAATGATGAAAACAGCACTTTAGTATAATTTGAAGCCAAAGGCAGACATTGAAATAAGGTTAATAATAACCATTGCAGCTGCCTAATATGCTTTAGAGGAGTCTACTGGTTCTTATAAATTAGCTTACTGGTTCATGGCTTACTTCAAAAGGAGGTCAACACATTTACCACATGCTATGCACCTGCTAGTAAACCCAAGCTTAAGCGCACACCTACATAACATAACCACACAAACACACACATACACACAGACACACACACACACACACAGTATTGGGGAAGCTACTCTGAAAATATAGTTTACCAAGCTACCATTTACTTCACACTGGAAGAAGTTAAGCTACACTAAAGCTACCCTTAAGAAAAATATAGTTTACTTAACTAAAGTTACTTAGAAAAACTAGTTTACTACATCCAAACTACTTTGTTAAAAATTATCATATGTAAATCTGAAATGTCATAGAAAATTCCAAGAACAGATAACTTTGGGGTCATATGTTAACAGAATGTGTAATTTAGTTTATTGAACACAAAAACGATGTTCCAAGTGAGAATTAAGCAGGTCTGATGCTGAAAAAGAAAGGAAATGATTGCTACTTCACCCATATTTTATTTTTTTGCAAAAAAGTAGTGTGTAGTTCCAGTAGTTAGCTACACCGCTACATGGCAAAAAGGTAATTAACTACTGAAAACCTAGATTTTAATTTAGTTAAACTACCACCAAGCTACTGCAAAATGTAGTTAACCCTTCGGCCCGGCAGAAATCGAATTAACATAATACAAAATGGTCTGCGTCTCAATCCACCGCATCTGCCGATATCGCCCTTCCACATCTGCAGTGAAAGGTGGCAGAGCTGGAGCGGTGTTTGTCAGACCATGAGACATCCCGAAAATCAGTCTTCTCACGAAAACGTCTAAAGCGTCCGAACTGACTTATCTGAAGTCGCTACAGCCTCTTCTGCCAACTTCTGTCTGTAGCGTCCGAACAGTTTGGGCTACACACTAATGACCCCTCGGTGGAAAGGTGAGTCTCTCACAAACATGTACACGTCGGTTGTTTTGCTCTAAGACGCCCACAAGCCTCACAAGACTTGTCTGAAGGTCTGGTTTAAAAAATTAATGGAAGTATATATGGAGATAGTTTAGTGCCTAAAATAAGGGGTTAAATACATGTCAAAAAATATATAAATAGTTTCCTGATCTTTCTTATTTCTTATGGGCTAAATTACTAGTTGAACTACATCTAGTTCACTATTCCCCAACACTGCACACACACGATGACCCACATGAAGACCCACATGAAGACCCACATGAAGACCCACATGAAGACCCACATGAAGACCCACATGATGACCCACATGAAGACCCACATGAAGACCCACATGAAGACCCACATGAAGACCCACATGAAGACCCACATGAAGACCCACATGAAGACCCACATGAAGACCCACATGAAGACCCACATAGGCTCAACAACTCTTCTTGCTATCTGTACACAGTTCAACTCACCATTCATTTAAAGCTAGATTTCCCTGACTTTGATGCATGATGATGTAACACAGTTAATCATGGGAAATGTGTTACCTTTAACTAACAAGGATTTACACCATATCCGTTGAACCATGGGCTTATGAATGCTGTTGATATTCAGCATGTGGGTTCAGATCTGATCCTGCTACTACAAAATTACTATTCTTTCAATAAGCACATTGAATTTGATCAGATAGGTAGCATATGTTCTAAATCCTTTAAGTTTAAAGGCTAATCCGATTAGCCTGTGACTATGAGGCTTGAACAGCCATGCAATGCCTTATATCAGGACGTCATAAGTCACATGACCAAATAAGAGTCACATGCCCCTCGCATCGACAAGGCTGTCACTTTGTACAACCAGGCACAGACAGAATGTTTGAGCTTTTTCAAGTTTCATTGATTTCCCTGTGCAGAAGAAAAATAAGAAAGGGAGGTAGAGAAACAAACAGGAAGATGAGACTTGGGTGAAGGAGGAGGTGGAGGAATAAAGACAACAAGACAAGGATTTCACCCACCATTCCATCCACCAGTGCCAGGCCTAGACCGTGAGGTCCTCTGTGTAGCTCCACAGTAAACACTTCCTCTTCCTCCACATTATCTTCCTCCACGTTCCCATTCCTTCTCTCAGAACATTCCCTTGTGCAGCTGCCTGCTGAGGAGACACACACAATAACACCCCACATTAGACACAGTATCCAATCCCACCTTAACTCTGCTTAAAGTTCTAGGTTTCCTGTTATTGTGGTCCTCCTTTTAATGAAATTAGAATGAAATCATATCACTGTGGCAAACATGAAAGTAGTGTCTGGTTCCCCTTTGGTTTCCCCTCTACAGTACCTTCTTCATGTGCGTGTGTGTGTGTGTGTGTGTGTGTGTGTGTGTGTGTGTCTCTGTCTGTCTGTCTTTATGTCATGTCATGTCATGTGAAAGAGCTGTTCACAATACTGGGATTGTTTTGAAGTCCAGCAGGATTAGTGTTATAAGGATTATTATTTTTACCAATAGGAATATATGGATCAAAGACTGGAGGTTCCACTGAGCTTCTCCAGAGGGACACAGTTGGTTTGACCTCCTCAACATACACATAACTACAACTGATATTGAACACAGATGTTGTATTTGGACTCCATATAAAAATCATGTCAAGTCTGAGTGCTATAAAACTGTGGGGCATCCACTAAATGCCTAGACGTTGTAATGAGAACCATACAGAGTGTGTACCCCACTGAGAACAAGCTCCACATGTAAAGCCTTTGGGCCTTGGGAAAGCTCTTTCGCAGGCTGGTCCAGTGCTCCCTGTCTGTGGTGTATTTAGCCTGTCACAACAACCTAGCTACCTGCAACAGTACCACCAGCATGCCCTACACTTTCACACCCCCTCCCCCTGCTCTCCCCTGGTCTCCCCCTGCTCTCCCCTGGTGTCCCCTGGTCTCCCCTGGTGTCCCCTGGTCTCCCCCTGCTCTCCCCCTACTCTACCCTGGTCTCCCCCTGCTCCCCCCTGGTCTCCCACTGCTGTCCCCTGCTCTCCCCCTGCTCTCCCCTGCTCTCCCACTGGTCTCCCCCACTAACACCCAGCCCGAGCCCATCTGCCCCCCATGCAGGACCTGCCCGGAACAATGCCTGTCCCGATTAAGATTCCACGCACCAACCCAACTGTAAATTCCCATGACGGGTCAGCCACTGCTCTTTTCTCTCCTGACATCACCACCTCTCTGTAATTCTTGGTACAGATTAAAGGATTAGCAATGCTACCAAAATAGCGGTAGGTTACCATTAGCGCCCCAAACCACCGAGGTTGAGCAGAGAGCAGGAACACTATGGGACTGGGAGGCCACAATAATACATGGTGGGAAGCTTTGGTCAATGTCATAACCAGGGAAATGACATGATTAGAGAATATTTCTGTGAAAGTGGGTAATGTTCAATAGTACATTATTTTCATAACAATATCTTAGGTTTATGACAAATTGTTAAACGATAGAGCCTGTATAAATACAAGGGCCATTGATCGTAATGAGTTCCGATCATGATCAACAAAATGGAAGCTTTAGTAAAGCCCTATTTATACAAAACCACACATGGGGTCTGGCAGCTTTAAGCACATGGTAAGCACTTACACACAATCACATGTTACACAGAGCGTTTGTCTCTGATTAAGACATGAGGGAATTAGCTGGTGTTAATCAACAGGAAAGGCCATGGACTGCTATTAGATTATATTGGTTTAAAGGGCTTTCATTATCTAACCTGTTGTTTGGATATGACCTGGGACTGTGGTATCTGAAATTCAGGATTCTCACAATGTTTTAGATAAAGTGGCATCAAACTTATAGACTCACTCTCTTTTACTAGGTGTTTGACTCAATGATTGTATCCCTTGAGAAAATTCAATGTATAGGACAGGGGTACTAGACTACTATTTGAGAATGTCAGGCGGTCACACACATTTGCTAGGTGGCAAAGGTCCAGATAGGTATTGTCATTTATCGCCGTAGTAACAAAGCCCCACCTAGAAAACCCATGCGACCCCAAACTGTTTAAATTGTTTACACCCATCTTGCTGGCGGAGAGAAATTATTGTCAGTTTAAACCTCATTTCCTGCAATTCTATGCATTTTGACATTTTAAAGCTAATTTCTTGATACTCTACACATTTTGACATTTCTGTGTGTTCATATGATACCTGAGTAACTGAAAAAAATCAATGGGTGCCGCTGGGGTTGAGGCCCCTGGGCACATAATCTGGCCATGATAACTAATTTACCCATCTAGCTAACATGGGCTAGTAGTAATTAACTGGACATTTCTGACAGGTTATAAATACCTCTCTAAGGTCTGTCAGTGAATGACATAACAAGAAGAAAACTGCCCATGCACTACCAAATTTCGAAATTGCACTTGTGCATTCTACAATTACAACTCTCAACAGCAGTAAGTTGAAAGCCCAGCTGAGTTCCTAAATACAATTACAAATACAATTAAAATGTAAATTCTGTCGGGACCGACGGTCTGTATTGACCCTGTTCTGGGTCCTGATCCGCACGGTCCGGCTGTTGAGTATGGCTGTTATAGGACTTATATAAAAGTGTTAAAGTCTTACACATTGTTTGAGACATTGTTAGAGAAAGCTGACCTGCTTTAGGGAGGGGGACGTCATTGTTATCCCTGGAAGTTAACCCTGGAAGTTAACCCTGGAAGTTGCCCTCCCAGTTATGCAATAAGATGTTTAGTCCTTTCCTCCCATTTCTCACCCTAACTCCTCCACCACAGAATAAATCAGAACCAGAGAGCACTCCGCTCACTTTCCCCTCCCATCCACTCCTACAGATGACCTCATGAGCAGAGCTTCAAAAAACAATAGGCCTGAGGAGGAAATGGCCTTTCCTCTACACATGGAATCCACCCTACAGGGAGAACATGATCATTACACAGCCAGAACAGCTCTTTATTCCTCCAACGACCTACAGTTTATGTCCAAAGTCAATAGAGTTGAAGAGATGAAGATATCAAGCACCTTGTGTCAACCTGGAGCCACTGGGAACAAATACGCACCAAGGTCTCCTGGGTCAAGCAGCCAAATTCTTCCTTTAATGGAGCCTGTCAATCATTGGTGGGTTTATATTACGAGGGAGGCACTAGTGACCTAACTCCAGGGGTTAGGTACATGAGCCACAGTGTGAGCCGAGGTGGCTGTATTTGCTGTGACAGGAGTTTTACATCACTTTAATCAAAACCTGCAGAGTGAGGGAAAGGCCATGAAGGGATCCTCTGTTATTCTTTGTCTTCGTAATTCATCCAAGGTGATTGAGACAGTATCAGTTTCTTTTAGGATTGCTATGTATGTGCCACCCCACTGTTACAGCATCATCAATCCTCTGTTATCATTGGTCAATAACACACTTCAGCTGCCACATGGCTTTTTATGCTTATTTTCTATCAACCAGAGTTGTTTGTATTGTAACTGGATGCTCTGTATGTAGCCTGACTATGCCATAGCCCTCTGTGTTACCTTTCCTGTGCTGCCATGCTGCTCCCTCCTGCAGGTCTGCCTCCAGCTCAGACTGAGACAGCTCCATGCCCTGGGGGGTGTTGGGGGGCGTCAGCAGGCAGGAGGGGTCCAGGGCCAGGCTCTTGTGGCAGCCCAGGTCAGCCTGGCCACTCCCAGGTAGGGCGTTCTGCCGCTCCAGACTCTTCAGCTTGTGGGTCAGCTCTGCCTCTGCTAGGCAGCAGCTCAGGTCACCATGAGACCCCCGGGCCTTAGGGGGCACCGCAGGGCTCTCAGAGTCCACCTCTGCCCTGAGCGAGGGGCAGGGAACTGGGTCAGGGACCACCACTGTGACAGAGGGCGAGGTCGCAGACTTGGCGTCTGTAGCTGTCCCACTGAGTGCCTGAAGGGAGGGAGAAGTCAATAAAACAGAGATGGAAAAACATAAAAGTTAAAATGTCTCATTTACTGAGCACCACCGACTGCCATTGGCCTCTCATTAGATTGTATATTTGTAAAGTCTGGGTACACACAGACAGAAGGTCAGATAGGTGGTTACCTGCTGTGTTGTTTGACTGGTGGGGAGACTACGGATGAAGTCCTGCAGACGGCCGAGCTGCTCAAACAGAGCTGGGCTCCATGATTGGTTTACCCAACTCCAGGTGGAAGGTGTTGCTAGGCAGGATAAGGGGAGGGTGGTTGTCAAAACTCTCCAGGATGTCAGCTAGATGAGGAGGGAAATACAGGTCATCATTAAAGACAGAAGACGTGACTCAGAAAAGATTACATCAGAAGCTCTGGAAGAGCTTTCTCACTGTGTACACACTTTTATTTCCTTTTACTTCATTTACTTAATTAAACCGGATTTGTAGGTTAATACTTTAGATTAGCATCTCCAATTTAAGAAAGACAGTCATGGCCTCTTAGACAAGATAAAGTGCCCCCTGGGGGGTACCAGCAGGGGTTGGGCCATTCACACAGAAGAGGTTAGGTGACAGGGACAGAGAGGGGAGACAGGTGCCAAGTCCTATATTGAGAGGGGTGGATTTGAGAGTTAACTCTGTGGTGAGACTGATTGGGCTGGACAGGGTTCTCCTCTCGAACCTCCCCCCTGTACCCACGCTCCAATTTAGAGTTAGACTGGGACAAGCAGACAGGATTATTCTGGGGAACACACTCAGCCACTCTCAGACACGACAGGGAACAGGCCTCTAGTTACTAACCCTATCAGGGCATGGGAGGGCGACAGTCTGATCTGATTTAATCATGGCAGAGTGAGTGTGTTTACACAAGCGTACAGACTACATAGGCTATGTGAATTTGTTTGTGTCCAAGAAACACGTGTGTTTGTTTAGGCATATGGTGTATACACGTGAACGTGTCTGTGTGCCTGTTTGGCTACCAGCCGTGACTCTGCTGTGTCTGTTTGGCTACCAGCCGTGACTCTGCTGTGCCTGTGTGGCTACCAGCCGTGACTCTGCTGTGTCTGTGTGCCTGTTTGGCTACCAGCCGTGACTCTGCTGTGTCTGTGTGCCTGTTTGGCTACCAGCCGTGACTCTGCTGTGTCTGTGTGCCTGTTTGGCTACCAGCCGTGACTCTGCTGTGTCTGTGTGTCTGTTTGGCTACCAGCCATGACTCTGCTGTGTCTGTGTGCCTGTTTGGCTACCAGCCATGACTCTGCTGTGTCTGTGTGCCACTCACTGGTCCTGAGGGCAGCCTCTGCCTCATCTGCTGAGGGGTTCCAGTCTGCAGGACAGGCCCTGCCTGGGTTATACTCCCTCAGCATGTGGTGCAGTTGGGCTGGGTTCAGAGGCATGAACTCAGTCCTCAGAGAGCTCCATGACGCCTGTAACACACACACACACACACACACACACACACACACACACACACATATATATATATACACTCACACGTTACAACAATATCAATTTACAGGCACAAGGACCATGATACAAGGAATATGATTGCATATTTCACAAAAGAGTAAACATAGCATAATTTAAATGCAAGAGCTGACAGAGCTGTTTGATGTCATTGTTGTTAGTGAAACAAAACATTACAGGGTAGCATTTTCCCAGTGTGGTTATTTCCACACAAAGCTATTTGTGTACAAAATATTTAAAACCACAAATCTATCCATGTACTGTAATTGCGCATTTGTGTCATTCCAATGACAGATTATGTGGTGCTGAATTTGTTGGGAAAATAAATCTAGGACTGAAAGTAATAATTGTCATGCCAACCTCTGTCACTGTCTGTACTAATAATAAGATCAATACTCATACACACACACACACACACACACACACACACACACACACACACACACACACACATACACACATACACACACACACACATACACATAAGGGATAAATGTTCAAATGCTTGATTGTGGAAGTGTTCCTGAATGTCACATTTCCCATCTATATGACTAAACATTCCTGAGTCATAAACGTCAAATGTCAGATGTCATCAGAAGAAGTGCTAATTACAGCGTCTAGATTACTGTATGTGTTCTATGACTATGAACAATCAGGTGTTAGTTATCCTCTCAGTTGACCCCTCTCTGGTTACTGGGAATAAACACACAAGAGACTTAACCTTCACCTATTTCCTCATTCACACCTTGGAGAGCTGAGGTGTTTTAATTACTCAGTAACTAACCAGAAGGACATAGGTGAGTCATTTCAAGATGACATCATTGGCTTCGAGGTGTTATTGGTATGCTGACAGGCATTGTGTAGAATATATCAGACCATATTTACCCTTGCCTTGTATGCCTTCATTCCTCCAATGAACACACCCTCTTTGTCGCATGACATGGTCAAAACACAGAGGCTGGCCAGAAGGAGGAGTTATGGGGATGTTTATAAGCAATAGTGACTTATCTTTAACATTCTTTTAAGTCTACCTTTTCTGTCTCTAGTATCTGACTTGGTGTATCCCAGTCATAAGTGGCATAACATCACTGACTCCATCTTTTAACTTTGTATCATCAGTAAATTACTGGAGACTGAGAGAGCACAGCCATAACAAAACCATGCCACATCACTGGTAATTTACCATGGAGCCAACGGGTTGTCCCTCACTCCCTTGAGCCCAGAACTCCAGATGGAAAACTGAGAATATGACGAGGGTGTGTGCTTCGTTTTACCAACCACAACATCTGACCTGGTGCCATGGGAGTGATCCAGACACAAAACCACCAGCCTCCTAGCAACCGTCCTCACGAATAGAGGAGAGAGGCAGCCTTTGACTGAGGGGAGACTGGTTCTACTACTGGGGAGCTGTTTTGGGGCTGTTACCATGGATACCTTCTGGTTAGATATTGAGAACAGGTGTTGTCTCATACTGTATTAGCCCCTTATGGCTGGGGATTGAAGAGTGAAATGCTACACTGTCAGTCTGGTTGCTCTGAGCCTCAAAATGCTCCTTTCTCCATTCCTGGTTCCATCAAAATAAGATCAGATTAAGATACTATAAACTCTGGGTCTAAATTCATTATGAGAGCAGTCTAAGATAACCTGCCTAAATGACTACCGACCCGTAGCACTGACGTCTGTAGCCATGAAGTGCTTTGAAAGGCTGGTCATGGCTCACATCAACAGCATTATCCCAGAAACCCTAGACCCACTCCAATTTGCATACCGCCCCAACAGATCCACAGATGATGCAATCTCTATTGCACTCCACACTGCCCTTTCCCACCTTGACAAGAGGAACACCTACGTGAGAATGCTATTCATTGACTACAGCTCAGCATTCAACACCATAGTGCCCTCAAAGCTCATCACTAAGCTAAGGATCCTGGGACTAAACACCTCCCTCTGCAACTGGATCCTGGACTTCCTGACGGGCCGCCCCCAGGTGGTAAGGGTAGGTAACAACACATCTGCCACACTGATCCTCAACACGGGGGCCCCTCAGGGGTGCGTGCTCAGTCCCCTCCTGTACTCTCTGTTCACCCATGACTGCATGGCCAGGCACGACTCCAACACCATCATTAAGTTTGCCGACGACACAACAGTGGTAGGCCTGATCACCGACAACGATGAGACAGCCTATAGGGAGGAGGTCAGAGACATGGCCGTGTGGTGCCAGGACAACAACCTCTCCCTCAACGTGACCAAGACAAAGGAGATGATTGTGGACTACAGGAAAAAAAAGAGGACTGAGCACGCCCCCATTCTCATCGACGGGGCTGTAGTGGAACAGGTTGAGAGCTTCAAGTTCCTTGCTGTCCACATCACCAACGAACTATCATGGTCCAAACACACCAAGACAGTCGTGAAGAGGGCACGACAAAGCCTATTCCCCCTCAGGAGACTGAAAAGATTTGGCATGGGTCCTCAGATCCTCAAAAAATTCTACAGCTGCACCATCGAGAGCATCCTGACTGGTTGCATCACCGCCTGGTATGGCAACTGCTTGGCCTCCGACCGCAAGGCACTACAGAGGGTAGTGCGTACGGCCCAGTACATCACTGGGGCCAAGCTTCCTGCCATCCAGGACCTCTATACCAGGCGGTGTCAGAGGAAGGCCCTCAAAATTGTCAAAGACTCCAGCCACCCTAGTCATAGACTGTTCTCTCTGCTACCGCACGGCAAGCGGTACCGGAGTGCCAAGTCTAGGTCCAAAAGACTTCTCAACAGCTTCTACCCCCAAGCCATAAGACTCCTGAACAGCTAATCATGGCTACCCGGACTATTTACACTGCCCCCCCACCCCATCCTTTTTACGCTGCTGCCACTCTGTTAATTATTTATGCATAGTCACTTTAACTCTACCCACATGTACATATTACCTCAACTACCTCAACTAGCCGGTGCCCCCGCACATTGACTCTGCAACGGTACCCCCCTGTATATATATAGCCTCCCTACTGTTATTTTATTTTACTTCTGCTCTTTTTTTTCTCAACACTTTTTTTGTTGTTGTTTTATTTTTACTTTTTTTTTTAAAAATAAATGCACTGTTGGTTAAGGGCTGTAAGTAAGCATTTCACTGTAATGTCTGCACCTGTTGTATTCGGCGCATGTGACCAATAACATTTGATTTGATTTGATTTGATTTGCAGGAGAAAATACAACTTTCTGACTGAATGTGATGCTTTAGGGCATTGCAAACTGTGGTTTTAAGATAAAACCCACAACGATCCACAACAACAACAACAGTGCTGTAATTGGGATGAGTAGGAGGTGATTTTCTCATGTACTAACCCGGAAAAACATTACAAGAACATGACGTGTCCACAGCCTTTCTGCAGCTCCTGTACATTCATAGGATGAGACATAGTGTGGGCATGTCATGGCAGAGGTCACTCAGTCTCTTAGTGATTGTCTTTGAAGGTGACCGGGCTAAAGCCAGCCTTGTGTCACACAAGGACTGGCAACAAGTTTCTCCCCATCGCCCTTATCTTCTCAGGTGTCATAAACTTGACCAGAAACAGGATATGTGTGTGTGTGTGTGTGTGTGTGTTTAACCTTTGTTCCTCCACTTAGCTGGGTTGTCCTATATGGTGGTCTCTGTCTTTATGTCTCTAACTAGCCCACAGTGTTAACTAACTGAACCACCACCAGATATGTTATGGCTCAACTTCCCCCTAGTACAAAGAGTAAACAGGATCCTCCTTTCAGTGGATTACAGAGAGAATGGCATGCTTATGGAAGGATTATAAACTGGGTGGTTCGAGCCCTGAATGCTGATTGGCTGACAGCCGTGGTATATCAGACCGTATACCACAGGTATGACAAAACATGTATTTTTACTGCTCTAATTACGTTGGTAACCAGTTTATAATAGCAATAAGGCACCTCGGGGGTTTGTGGTTTATGACCAATATACCACGGCTAAGGGCTGTATCCAGGCACTCCGCATTGTGTCGTGCATAAGAACATCCCTTAGCCGTGGTATATTGGCCATATACCACACCCCCTCGTGCTTTATTGCTTAATTAACTACTCAGTGGCACACAGCTTAGAGCCACAGGCATCAACAACATGGGATTTAAACATACATACAGTGACCCTGGCCGTGACCCCATTGTCCGAGGATGTCCCAGGGGGAGTTGGGATATGCAAAAAACACATTTCCAATTCACACGTGTATAATACCCACTTGTACATGTGTGAAACAGGATAAATATAAGCCCCCACCTAATTCTGAATTATTATTATGTATATTTGTTTAAGTTATTGGTGCAAGGAATGCCTATCTTGGCAAAATGTGTATTTTCTTCATCAATAGATGAGAAGTCATTGCATAATATGAGATGTAGAGTACAATTTGTTGGAAAAAAATTCAATTCTTTCCAAGCATTCTTTTCCCTTTGCCACAGCTCTGTCAGGCTTTTATAATGATGTCATGTGGTGGCAGGTGTGAGTTTCATTCAGCTGACATCAGTCAGTGTAAAACGCTTTCAGCTCTCTAACATTTTCGATGTGTTCCATATGTTGAAAAACACCTGTGGTCTTCAATGGATACATTCAGAATTTCTATAGTGGACGAAATGTTGTCATTAACACCCCATTGCTTCATTGCTTTACCATTACATCTGGATCACACTGATAATATTAAGACCATAATACTTAGCCTAACTGTTCTCACAACATCAGAAGTGTGTATCGTACTACCGTACCTGAAGCCTGCAGTATTTTTCCAGATCTGATAACTGGCCAGGGCAGGGGAATGTTTTAGTAAGGTGCTATAGAGGTGTAAAACCAAAAGCCTGTGTACACACACCTATTCCCACAGCTAGTGTGGCAGTGAACAAACAACATCTCTCACCCCACAATGGCCCATACAAACTAAACTCGCAATGTTATCATCGTATAACTACTTCAACAGTATCACCTCCATCAAAGGCAACATGCATTTCTAAGAGTAAAACCTAGTTAGCGACGAAATGTAGGGAAACAGAGTTTCAGTGATGATTCATTAATGTTTTCAATGTTTTGTCAGGTTTTCCACTCTAGGCATGTTCTTCTGTATGCCAATAATCTCCCGTGGGCAGATTCTGCATGTAGACCCAAGAATCTGCCGGGACTGAATGTGATGCGTGTGATAACGAACTGCAGTAGTTCTGGTCTTTGGGTTTTCGTCACTGGTTATATGGATGTATCAGGATTGGGCGAAGGCGATGCTTAAACTGCTTGGCTTCAAGTGATTTGCGGTTGGGGGCTTTGGCTGAGAGTTTCTTTTTGCGAGGGTGGAGACTTCGCAAACTGCCGGAATTCTCAATTTCTAACACATATAGACCCAGAAGTAAATCACGCAGCTGACCAAAATTAAGCAAGATTTTACTTTTGGGTTAACCGAGACTATTATGCCAATAATGAACTAAGACACTTGGTGATGTACAGTCTAATACACTGTAAAATACCATTCTGATACACTATATACTCAGACTGATTTGGACATCTTGGCTACAGTGTTATTTAGTGCTCTGACCCAGCAGACCAAACCAAAACAGGAAGTGAAGTTCCCTCTGACCTGTAGGAGGTTCTCCTTGGGCGTGGCCAGCAGATTGACAGCAGCAGAGAGCTTCTGGAAGAACTCCACAGCCAGGTCCCCCAGGCCCATCCCCTGTATCCAGTCCATCAGCAGGTCCAGGTTGGCCCTGATCTGGACCCCTCTAGACCACTGGTAGAACCCACCTCCAGAGCCTGCAGAACAGAACACCACTCAGACATACAGTATGTATGCTCAGTTAATTTCTATCATAGGTATTGAGTATAATAGAACTTCTATAAGATGCAGCATGCTAGCAGATACCCATAGACTTCCAGTCATTGTGATAACGCTAGTTAGCATTGGCTTGCTAAACTACCTCTAACTTCCTTCATAGTGGACACAGAGACATAAAAATGGTATCCACAAGTTCATCTGACTCTGGGGAAAGTCAAAATCCCGAAGTAGCCCATTAACACACACAGTATGTATTTTATGAGGATACATGTGAGATAGGACTTCGAGGAGTTTAAGATTTGATCCTACAAAACCCCATGGATGAGAAACAGAGCATGTTGGAGGTCTCACCTCTCTCCATGAGTGCGTTGAAGAGGGATGCGTTGGTGAAGAAGAAGAGGTAGGCGCAGAGCTGCGAGCTGATGTCAGAGTGCACCTGGAAGGCGTTGAGCAGAGACAGCGCCTCCTTCAGGACATCCAGGATGCCGCTCACTCCCTCGGGCACGCGCAGCTGCCCGCTCTCCGAGAACGGGTTCCCATCCAGTAGACCTGGCAGTGCCGAGTACATACTCTGAGGACAGAGAGAGGCATGTTAGAGCTGTTAGTCACAGCTACATTACTATACCTCACTGTACCATAGTCTAGCACAGCACCTCTCTGAGGAGAGAGAGGGGGAGATAAGGAGCCTTACAGTCACAGCTACTGTACCCCAGTACCACTAATGCAGAAAGTATACTGCACTCACTCATAATGTATTGCTCTTAAAAAGGGACGTTTTGTCAGCTATGCTCACTTTATCAACCATACTCAATATAAAATAAACCTTCATCAACATGCTGGAATTTGTTGACAGATTCAGTAAAACTGCAGTGGAATCAGTGACTTAGTCAACAGGGCTATGCCCACTGACCCTGAGCTCCCTGAGCCAATCAGAATGCAGTCAGAGCTCAAGGAGGAGCGGTTAAAGGAAGCCAGGCAGGGACAGACTCACTTCCCCTCCAAACGGAGATAGCCAGGGGCCTGATAGCCAGGGGCCTGATAGCCATGGGCCTGAGACTGTCCAGTCTTGACACTCACCATTGTTAACAGTGCACCATACACAGTCCTGGGAATCACATTGATAACACTGGTGCCACTGGCCATTCCTGACAGAAACGCAAATGTTTCCAAGTGACTCAACCCTTACAGCCTCCTGATAATTCCCATGATAATAAACACCAAGTATCATAAACTAGCTGATAATAACCCATGCTGTTGACTACTAAGGAATGTTAATACCAGTGAGTAATAGGCATGAGAATGAACTTCTCCTACAACTGAGGAGAAAGAGTGTTTTGTGTCATGGTTGGTTGTTCCACCAATTAGGTGTCTTTTGAGTACATTACATTTACATTTTAGTCATTTAGCAGACGCTCTTATCCAGAGCGACTTACAGTTAGTGAGTGCATACATTTTTCATACTGGCCCCCCGTGGGAATCGAAACCACAACCCTGGCGTTGCAACAGTAGTGTAACTTGGTGGAAAAAACTAAAATGTTATATTTCACCTACTTTTAGCATTCCGTCATAAAGAGTACATGTTCTAAAAAAACATTTTTTCCCATCTCAAGAGGTTAAATAAAAAATGGACTATAGTAACTGCCTATTAAGTGCCAAATAAAGTAACAGGGTTGACCGTAACAGGGTTGACGGCTTCATCTTAAATCATCCATAAATCCCCTTGTGACAGGGGGAATCGAAGCTTGTTCGCGCAACAGGGAGGGGCAATTGAATGCAAGCTTCACTAAAAAAAGAAAATTGTTAAAACATGTCTAGCCTGTCTATCTAGGTGTAACCGGTTTGACATGTTATGCCCGACCTGCTCAGTTTTCCACCACATAACACCAGAAAATTGCCAAAAAGAGTACAACCAGCTCACCTGCTTTTACATTATGATTTGACTGTTAGTTTCTTTAGACTTTTGTTTTGAAAAAGGAATAGTTTCACCATCTTAAAACGAGAGTTCAGTTCATGTAACAGGGTTGACCTTAAAGGGATACTGGCAATGAGGCCCTTTATCTACTCCTCTAGAGTCAGATGAACTTGTGGATACTATTTGTATGTTTCTGTGTCCAGTATGAAGGAAGTTTGAGGTAGTTTCGCAAGCCAATGCTAACTAGCGTTAGCGCAATGACTGGAAGTCTATGGGTATCTACTAGCATGCTTAAAATGAATCACTAATCACATGAAATAAATAATGATCTTCAGAAATGACTTTGTCAAACAACAAAATAACTAAGGGTTTACAATGATGGTGAAAACTTGGATAAATGTTGGGGTTAAGTGGGTTCAAATCTTCCTAGAAGTCACAGAGGATGCACAGGGAACTTCATTTAATATACTGTAATATTTGTGTCCGATTGCTACTTAAAATATCAAAAGGCGCTCATTTCGTGGAACGACCCATGTACTGGTCAAGGGAGAGGAAGGCTTTCGCAGAGCAGGATACCAAGCAGGAAAACCTTTTTCCCAACACACACACACACACACACACACACACACACACACACACACACACACAAGGCTCTGTGTGAGGGGAAAGGGGAGTGGGGAAATGAGGTGACACTGAAACATGTACAGCTCCACTGACCAATTTGGGCCCTGGCAGACCACAATCTGGTAAAAGGTTTAACATAAACAAAACCCTTGTGTTATGTTTCAACAAAATAAATGTTAAACTGGCACATTCTTGCTTCCACCAAAAGCAAGAAGGACCCAAACAAGAGGAAGCCAAATTCGGACCATTGAGCACTCAGGAGGTTTAAAAAAAACTTTGAGTCAGCATCTCTTTGTCACAGTGCAGAGGTCCTGGGCTCCTCCTCCTCCTCCCTATGCCTCCTCTTCCCCCTCCTCCTCCTCCTCCTCCCTCCTCCTCCTCCTCCTCCTCCCTCCTCCCTCCTGCTCCTCCTCTGACACAGCTCTCTGCCATTGTTTTAGTCCATGACATCACCCGTCAGCCAGCCAGGTCAGCAGGCACACATCATGACTAAGACAGACACTTCAGAGCCTCTGAAAGATCATAAAGACTTGCCTGTTAAATCCCAATCACCATGCATACATTCCTTCAACCACAGGTCACTAGATAGATTAGAGGCCAGCTCCGCAGAGCTACAGGTGCTGGTTAGTTATTAAACTGAGACTGGTCCAATGAAGGGAACTGGAGATCGTATTCTCCAGTACAGCATTAAAAGTCCAACTGTTTTAGCATATAAATGCAGTTAAAACCTTATTTTGAAGATAGTGGTACCATATCTGAGAAAACATACATGGCTTTGGGTGTGAGCTTGAGTCGTTTGTTGACATAAATAGGGTCATACTGGCACAAAAAAGTGTCACAATTCATCTAAGGTATTGACTTGGCCTGTATCTCTCACTTGACCCCGGAATGTGCAGTGAGTACTCCGCCCATCCCTCCCTGTGGTGTGTCTATGTGAAGACAGCCCCTCTCTTCCTGAGCAGGAAACAGACTTTTGGAAAAGGCCACTACTCTGCCCTGCTTCTCCGCTGGACTACAGCTGCTTCCCTGACCACTGCACATCCAACCACCACCAAAACAAAGCCTGCTTTCCCCTGAGCTCCAGCGGTGACTGTCTAACTAGAGCCTGTAACTATTGGGGGAAATAAATGTAATTGGAGTTGATCATCCACTGTGCTTTCATTCTCTACATCAAATAAGAACTGCAGTAGATTGTGAGAAAGCGCCTCTCCTTACACCACACACAGGAAGCCCATTAGTTATCAGGGATAGTTGACAGGCATGTGTACGTTTTCTTTTATCAATGGTTTCTGTCCTGAAACGGAAAATCTAGGGACAGGAAGAGGTGGTCTCGGAGTATCCAAAATAACAGCAGCACATAGTCCTGTTCCCTGTTCCCACCCATGCCAGTGCTCCCTCCCATCCTGGAACAGTCATCGCCAGGCACCGTCGCCATGGTAACGGGTGTTTCCAGTCGACCGTGTTATTGGGTGTCTATTGCTGGTCTCTGGGTTACTGTGGCAGTGATGGTGCTCTGTTAATGCCATAGAGTTAGTTATAGGGGCCCAAACATAGGAAACTCCAGTAAACCCTGGCTGGGAGTGTCTTCCTGGGGCTCATTGTTGAACAGGATAGACCTTTTGTTGCTCTCTATAAACATTTCATCTAAACAGCTAGAGTGGCTTCATTGGCAGGGTCAAAAGACTGGAAATAACCTTGAAGTGGATTTACAGAATATTAAAAAGATGATAAGCAGTCATTTATTCCACTGGAAAAGACGACACTATCTCACACGCTATTCTTACTGAGAGAGCCAGAGAAAGTGTGTGTGTTTCCCCTGGCTTATTATGGTTTATTGTCTGGCATGCTACCTGCAAACGGAGAATGGTGTTTATAAAGTCTCACGTCCTGCTTCACGTAGTCCACAGGCAAAATATGTCTTTCTATTTGGGCTGTGCAAGGTGTTCTAGGGGCAAATAGTCAAGGATGTTATTGTGTACATGTGCGGTGTGTGTGTGTGCTAGGCACGTGTCTGTGTTTGTGTGCGTGTTGCATGCATGTCATCTATAGGTGAGTGTATCAGTGGAGGCTGCTGAGGGGAGAACGTCTCATAATAATGTCTGGAAACGGAGCTAATGGAATGGCATCAAACCATGTGTTTGATGTATTTGATAGCATTCCACTGATTCCGCTCCAGCCATTACCACAAGCCCGTCCTCCCAATTAAGGTGCCACCAACCTCCTGTGGAGTGTATGATTGTAGTGTGTGACTATGTACTGACCTTGGTGAGGTAATAGACAGACTGCTGGAAGGTGAACATGATGACCTCCTCCAGGACCGTCATGGCCTCCTCACTGGCAGTCCTAGTGGACCACATCTCCGACTCCGGCTCTGAGCCCTCCTCCTCTTCCTCCTGCCTCCAGGGCAGCAGCTGGGGAACGTCATGCTGGATGAAGTGCAGCAGCTCAATGGAGTTGGCCATCCACAGCACCAGCGGCCGCAGGCCTGGGATCAGCTCCTCCATGCTCAGCAGCTGCACATCCTCTGGCTCCTGCTGGACATCACTGGAACTCCTGCAAGGGGAGACATATAGACAGGTCTGAGTTCAGTCCAACAGCCAACAAATGCCCTGTCCTGGGTGAATGGCACTAAATGTGGCTTGCGAATGACTCATATTTTACAGCATGTCTCTATCCCTTGGAATGAATGCTAATTTAAACCATTACATTTGATTTCCATGTGCAGTTGAGTGAAATATGAAATTAAACATTCATTCAACAAAATCCCTTCTCCTTTTGCAGCAGGCAGCCAAAGCACAGCTTTGGAATACAGTGCGCTACAATACAGTTACATAACTTTAAATCATCATTAGCTATCATTTTGATTTCATACACTTCAAAGGGTGGCATATAGAGAAGTATGAACAGCAAGAGACCATGACTCCTTCTCAGCTTTTATTGTGTAAATAAGTCACTGAGACGTGACAACGAGACAATGCTGCCAAAAATGCCCTCGTAAAACTGACTATCCTACCGATCCTTGACTTCGGCGATGTCATTTACAAAATAGCCTCCAACACTCTACTCAGCAAATTGGATGTAGTCTATCACAGTGCCATCCGTTTTGTCTCCAAAGCCCCATACACTACCCACCACTGTGACCTGTACGCTCTTGTTGGCTGGTCCTCACTACATGTTCGTCGTCAAACCCACTGGCTCCAGGCCATCTATAAATCACTGCTAGGCAAATCCCCGCCTTATCTTAGCTCATTGGTCACCATAGCAGCACCCACCCGTAGTCTGCGCTCCAGCAGGTATATCTCACTGGTCATCCCCAAAGCCAACACCTCCTTTGGCCGCCATTCCTTCCAGTTCTCTGCTGCCAATGACTGGAACGAATTGCAAAAATCTCTGAAGCTGGAGACTCTTATCTCCCTCACTAACTTTAAGCATCAGTTGTCAGAGCACCTTACCGATCACTGCACCTGTACACAGCCCATCTGAAATTAGCCCACCCAACTACCTCATCCCTATATTGTTATTTATTTTGCTCTTTTGCACCCCAGTTTCTCTCTTTGCACATAATCTCTTGCACATCTAGCATTCCAGTGTTAATACTAATTGTAATTATGTTGCACTATAGCCTATTTATTGCCTTACCTCCATAACTTGCTACATTTGCACACACTGTATATATATTTTCTGTTGTATTTTTTGACTTTATGTTTTTTTACCCCATATGTAACTCTGTGTTGTTGTTTTTATCGCACTGCTTTGCTTTATCTTGGCCAGGTCGCAGTTGTAAATGAGAACTTGTTCTCAACTGGCTTACCTGGTTAAATAAAGGTGAAATAAAATAAATAAATACAATTTTAAAAAATGCTATCTGTGTATACTACACACCCCTCCCAGAACGTCAAGTAGCATTGTTGTTGGACTGTAGTGGTGAAAGGGGGGTTAGTGTCAGAGGCAGCAGGTTACCACTGTTCTTCTCTCTGTTGTCATCTTTGCTGTTCATTGTTAGCATTTCTGGGGCAGGCTGAGTGATTGAGGTTGGAGTGGCTGCTACTCACCTTTCTGGTTGGATCACAGCGAGCTCCTTTGTCTTCTCCTGCAAGGGGACAGCGATAAAGACAACATTCATTTCAAACCAGCAGCAAGCCTATCTAAATGATATTCAAGCTTGATGACACCTTTGATTACTTTTCTTTCTTTGCAGTACCCTGGAGACACACAGTATGTTGAATGCATAACGATTCAAGGTTTATTTGTGGCGTGATGATATAAAAGGTAAGTCGTTTGACTCGAGAGAGTGCATTGTTTCTGTGCATAGTGGAGCTGCATAGTTTTACTCACCCACATGGTGAGCTGGATCTGACTGGCTATGCGGAGCAGCAACCTTCGGAAGTGTGTCAGCTGGAACGTAGCGGCCGAGTGTTGGATGGACAGGCTCAGCAGGAAGGCAGGGGTCAGTTTGACTTCGTCCCCACTGGGGTCCACCATGACCAGGACCTCCTGCAGGACCCTGTCCTCCTGCTCCAGCTCATAGCTCAGAGACACCTCTCCACCCTCTGGGTCCTTCCACCGAGGAGGAGCCGGCTTCCTCTGGACCCTAGGCAATTTCATTGGGAGGGCGGAGCCACATGATTGACAGGAGGATGACACTCCCAATCCTCCGTCATGGGCGGGGCAGAGTTGTTTCATCCAGGGAGGGGTCTGTGGAGCCCCTGGGGCGGCAGTAGGGTCCTTAAACATGAACAGGTAGTGTCGTCCCAGACCCACCAGGTCCCCAGGGGTCAGCTCCACCTCCTCCTTCAGGAGGAAACCATTCCGGGTGATGGGGGCACCGTGGAGGGGCTTCAGCAGGGTCAGAGTCCGCTTGGTGTCCCCCGGGGAGGAGTTGGTAGAGTCCAGGCGCCTGACACAGCAGTGCTGGGGCAGAATGTCCGGGGCAAAGAGGAGGATGTCTACCTTGAGCCTCTCTTCGTCCTCTCCGTTACAGTGCTCCCTGCAGCAGCCGAAGATGGTGGTGGTGCCGCTCATCAGGTAGATGACAAAGTCCTGCAGGGTAGAGGAGGGGCAATGGAAGGTCAACCAGCAGAATCCATGAGTGCTACATTAATTAATGCACTGGTTTCAGTTTGCAATATGCTATGATACTTTGTAACTACTATGTATTAACTACACTGTAATTACACTGCTCCTACCTAGTACCTAACTACAATGTAAACACATGCACTTTGGCACCACAATACAAAGCCACAATACAAAGCACAAATAAAAGACCCAGGACTTTAATTGTGAAGTTGTGTAATCATTTGGAGATCGATCAAGCAGGCGCATTAGAGCCATGTGTTATGTGAGGACGGAACAGGTCCAGGATCAGCATGTACTGGCAGTGTGTGGTGGAGGGACAGGAATGGAAGGGCTTAGGTGTGAAACTATAAGTCCATGTCAAATCAAATCAAAGTCCACAGATTTGCAGATTCAATTTATTTTTTTAGATGAGTTTATTAGTCACATGCACAGATATAATCGCAGGGTACTGTGAAATTGTTATGCTCCGAGCTCCAACAGTGCAGGATAAAAAAAGAAACGTGAATAAGACAATAATAATAATAATAATAATAATAATAATATTATATACACATTTTCAACTGTAGAATGTCCATAGGGGGAAAAGCAGAGGGGGGAGTGAGAAGTGTATGAAACAATAATTCATAAATAAATGTTTTCGCATGGTGCAGAGAAATGCTTGTGTTTTCTAGCTCCAACAGTGCAGTAATATCTAGCAATACAAAACAACACACACATAATCCCCCGCCACAAATAAAGAGAGAACAAGCAGTTTCATTTAAATATACACTGAGTGTACAAAACATTAAGCTCTTTCCATGACAGACTGACCAGGTGAATCCAGGTGAAAGCTATGATCCCTTATTGATGTTAAATCTACTTCAATCAGTGTAGATGAAAGGGAGGAGACAGGTTAAATAAGGATTTTTAAGCCTTGAGACGATTGAGACATGGATTGTGTATGTGTGCCATTCAGCGGGTGAATGGGCAAGACAAAATATGTTAGTGCCTTTGACCAGAATATGCTAGTAGGTGCCAGGCACACCGGTTTGTGGCAAGAACTGCAGCGCTGCTAGGTTTTTCACGCTCAACAGTTTCCTGTTTGTATCAAGAATGGTCCACCACCCAAAGGACATCCAGCCAACTTGACATAACTATGGGAAGCATTGGAGTCAACATGGGCCAGCATCCCTGTGGAACACTTTCGACACCTTGTAGAGTCCATGCCCCGACGAATTGAGGCTGTTCTGAGGGCAAAATATTAGGAAGGGTTCTTAATGTTTTGTACACTCAGTGTATATATTATATTTATAACATTTCAGGTCCTCAGTGATGTGCACACTGAGGAAGTTTAAGCTTTTGACCCTCTCCACTGCAGCCCCGTCTATGTGGATGGGGGCGTGCTCTCTCTGCTGTCTCCTGTAGACCACGATCAGCTCCTTTGTTTTGTTGACGTTGAGGGAGAGGTTATTTTCCTGGCAACACTCCACCAGGGCTCTCACCTCCTCCGTGTAGGCTGTCTTGTCATTGTTGGTAATCAGGCCTACCACTGTTGTGTCATCAGAATATTTTATGATTGAGTTGGAGACGTGCGTGGCCACGCAGTGATGGGTGAACAGGGAGTACAGGAGGGGGCTGAGCACTTCTGTTGGGGACCCTCTGTTGAGGATCAGTGTGGGGGAGGTCATGACCTTCTAACACCACCCGTCGCTCGGTCATCCCTCCCAAGACTATTAAAGCCAATTTATGCTTGATCTGAAAATGTAATCAGAGGCTCCATATGGAGGGTGTGATGCAATTGCGCCTCCGGAGGCATGCTGAGGCCAAATCAAGCTCCGTACCGCATCACCGTGCGCCTCTCAAATTTTGTAACAATGCGGAGGGCTCCGTATAGCTCCGCATTGACATGATTCGTTGACGGTAGGTGGGGGCGGTACGTCATGTATAAACACAAACTCACTTCCTTGACAACTTCCTTCACAATAGCACTGCTCTGCTCTGCTAAGAGCAAGTATGAAAGCCCTGACGTCTACGGAGGCTGCATCGCAGTAAATGCTGTACGGCCACATCAGACGTTGGATTGACCATGCAGAGCCTTTCAGGCAGGTCATGATACTGTATCATCCCAGCTAGCATGGAAGCAAACCAGCCACTGAGCACAGTGTGCAAGCACATACACTTAACTAACTAAATGGTTAGAGTCACTGGCTCCATATGATAGCCTGCACTAAACTGGACTATTCAAATCAATATAGTGACAACTTCTCAACCTTTATTTATTTTCCTGCACATGATATCTGGCAGAATAGATCAAACTGTCTAGAAAGGGAGTTAATAACTGTGAGTCAATGTGACTACACTGACCTGCACTTGAACTTGAACAACAACACTCACAAGGAAATCAAATCCAATACAGCTCTCTCATGGTTCACAGGAGATTAAGTTCAGGAAAAGCTGGTCTGGAAACACAGACACTTTTTTTTTTTAAACGAGTCAAGCCTGGAACATTTCTATTCCATAGGACTGCTGATATGTGAGTGAGTTATTGTTGTGGAGTGGCCGGACCGGGGACGGGCTCAGTACTCTGCCTGCCCCCAGTATCTGGCACACCCCACCCAGTGTCCTGCACACTCAGCAGTATCCACAATGAGGAACAAACAACAGAGAGAGAGCAGCAGCATTTCCTGTTCCTAGGAATGGGCCTGGCCCTCTGGCCCTCTGGCCCTCTGGCCCTCTGGCCCTCTGGCCCTCTGGCCCTCTGGCCCGGCATGTGTATGTACGTCCACTGAGTTTGTTTAGACATTATAGTGTGCCTTCTGCTCTATTCTCTAATACTATCTCCACCTCCACTGCAGAGCCATCAGGGCTGAGCTGAACTGTGATTGTGAACACAGTGTTCCTTATCTATTCAATGAGCCCTGTTGACAGACAACACATCCCAGTGTGAGAACTCTACTGCTGGGACAAGGCCAGCTCCTTTTTCCCGCCTCTCCAGTACATGACCCAGGCTGGCCCACTCAGTGTGTGGACACGAGAATCACCTGTCCACAACATGCCGGTCTACTCTGAGTCTGCTTGAGCTCGTGGCTCTGAGCCCAATACTCTGAGCCCATAGTAATCCAGCAGCAAGACTCAGTCTCTCCCTGTCCATGTTATAGCATCTTCACTGCAGCTAAAGCCCTCTGCTCTCTGCTCCTCTCTCTCTGTCTCTCTCTCTTTCTGGGGATTTTAACCCCAGGTCTTAACCTAAGAGGTTCAGTGGGGGCCTCTATAGTGTAGTGGAGTGTACTTGTTTATGCCTCAGTGTCTCTGATAAGCCTTTCTTCACAGTGTTTCTGCCACCCTGCCAAGAGACACTTGAGAACCTTGAAAGGTATTCAATGGAGCAGCCATCCGGCTCAACCAATTACAGCTGCTGCTTTCTGGCTGCCCAGGCCCACTGTGAAGAATTTCAGCATGACATCTCTCTCTGTCGCAGCCGGACACATTCTTCAACCATACAAACCTATTCTGAGCCTAACTATTCAAGAACAGACTGATTCCTATCTAACCAACTGACTTCAGCTGTGTAAACTGAAGCCAAGCCTTTCATTAAAGTTCCTTATCATTTAAGATAATCAATAATCTGATAGACGAACAAATGCATCTGGGTTTAATGTATAGCAGTGGCAACAGCTTCACTTTCCAGTCTTCCTACCTGTCTGTAGCTGTATCCCTGCAGCAGCAGGAAGTAGGGGAAATCAAAGGGTGGGTGGATGGAGTACTGGGTGGTGTTGTCATCACTGCTCTCCGTCTCCTCCTTCTCCATGCCCAGACGCAGGGCCTCCTTGTCGGCCTCGGCCTCTGGGTCCTCCCTGATGAGCTGGGCCTTCTGCTGGGCCCTGCATGGCCTCCTTCTCCATGGCAGACAGGTCCATCTCACTGAGACTCCTCCACATCCCCAGGCCCTCCACATCCTCACCACTGCCGTCCATGAACAGAGACGTGACCCGCGATCGGCCCTTCTGGAGCTTGCGAGCCTGGGCGTTGATACCTGGGGCAGAGAGAAGCACGGGAAGAGGGAGGATGAGACTAGATGCAGAGAAGCGATTATTAATAATGTATTCATAATTTATTACAAAATCATTGATTGTGTCCTGATATAATCTATGTAACATAAACGTAATCATCTATACATAAACTGAAACTTCACAATATGCTAAACACTCAAACTATTAGGGGAGTTCTTCCATAAAATCATTCCAGTCCATCACACACCACCATATCATAATGTTTTACTGAGTTGGCTCTCAGTCAAATCAAACATAGCAGGTGAAGGAGAGAGGAAATTTGGAGGTGTAGTGAGAGGTGTTGTCCTCTATCTGATATCAACAGGCGTCCCTGGCTGTTGGGCTGACGTACCGCAACATAAACACTATTCAGCTCATTTGGAGCCATTAAGCACCATGGAATGTCCAGAGAGCTCCCAGGCTCTTATCAGCTGTGGAAGTGGGCGTTCTTCCACATTGTTCTGACACACTGTGTCAGGGGGGCTGGTCAGGCCTGCAGAGGGGGCAACTTCCCCCAGCTTCCCCCAATCAGAGTAGAGCAAAAAGAGTGGAGGGTGATGTGGAGGTTTGATGAAAACTGAGAATCACAACAAACGCACGCCAAAGTCAACAGGACCACACAGTGTCCAGTGTGCAGGAAGCGAGCTCTGATGGATAGAATAACCATTGGAAAAAGCCTATCCAGCCACAGCCAGTCCCCTGCCCTGGGGGCTTCAGAGACCCCTGTTGGGACCCTGTTGTCAATCCCAGATAAGAGAGAGGGGACACTCTGACCTCCTCTACCCCTCACTGCAGCTTTAGTTTTTCTCTGACCTCTCACTTGCCTGCCATCTCCCCTGCTCTGTCTCGTGATAAGTTGGACAATGGATTCTATTACCCTACCGTTAGTTACGAGATAGGAGATCCAATGCCACCCCAACAGACAGAATGATTACCTGGGCTTTAGGTTGTTGTTACTGGGTTCACTGAGCTGCACCTGTATGGTTGACGTACCTGCTGTGACGGTGTCGGTATCCTTAGCACTCTGTTCCTCTACGCTCACTCTCTTCTGGATCTCAAAGCGTCTGGAGAAGCCTTCTTTGGGTTTCCATAGCGACTGTAGCATGAGGGGCTTCTCGTGGTCACCCACGACCCGAAAGCACTCCGTCTTCCATTGGTGGTCTGATCCGGTCTGGCCAATCACGTCGCACAGCACATATTGACTGGGATCCTCTTTCTCCAGACAGTATCTAAGCAACAATAAAAGCAACTTAGTCAGAATAGCATGATAAGATCTAATTCCTCCTGAAATTAAAATGGCTTTGAGATAATCTGGGCACAATGACTATATCACCAGCTTTAAGTGATTTGCAATGGTTCACACTTAGGATTAGCAGTATTGCAGTCCATACCATTTAGCCTTGAGGAATGTTCCCTTTCTGCTTACGTGTTAGCATTGAGGCTAATGCTAACAAATCACATAATGCCAGTGGGCAACCCTAACCCCTCACCTCTCCAGGGCCTCTTTGACAAGTTCCTTGGCGCTGGAGCGAGTCGTGGCCAGGACGCTCTTGTAGTTAGTTCCCTGGCAGATGTCGCTGCCAAAGATCTTTAGGATGCCTGGGGCTGACATCTGACTGGACAGCTCAGCAGGGTCGTCTGCTGCCTGCAGGTCCCCTGCCATGCTCCTGCCACCCGGGGCATGCCCCTGCCCACTGTCGCCACGCAGGAGGGGGCTCCGGTTGAACACTGTCGACAGTCTGTTGTTGTGGCGGCGGATTTTGTTCTTGGCCGGCTGCCTCACGCCTGTACTCTCCGCTGAATGGGTGGTGCCATCTGAGGTGTTGGACCTGAGAGAGGGAGAGGGAGAAATGGATGGATGGATGGATGGATGGATGGATGGATGGATGGATGGATGGATGGATGGATGGATGGATGGATGGATGGATGGATGGATGGATGGATGGAGTAGGAGAGAGAGACAGAGAGACAGAGAGAGAGCGAGAGAGAGTGAGATACAAATAAGAGAAAGAGACATAGACATAGATAGTGACAGAGTGAAACACAGAGAGCAAGGTAAAGTTGTTATTGAAAGTGAAAGAGTTCAAGGGAGGACACAAAATGAAGGGGTAATTAATAAGAGGACAGTATAAGCTTGGAGCACCTCTCTACAAATTACAAAATTACATTTCTATTGAAGGCCATAAGTCCATTTGAATATACAAAATCACAGGCATTTGCATGTAACAAAACTGAAATCCAATTATGCAAAATAAGGGTGCCTCGTTTTAAATACCCTACAAAGTAGATACACTGGATATGAATAATATGACTTACTGCAGGGATCCATTGCTTGGCTTCCTCCCCAGCTTTGCCAGGCTCTTCTTTGGCGAGCGGATCAATAGGCCCACTGGAAAGTTGAGGGCTTGCTTGGATATATGACTAACGTTACTTCGTTCCTCCGAAATCATCACGACTTTGTTCAGATAAAGGCTATATTATATGTCAAAGTGCTCCCTAGAAAGCACGGTAAAGCACTATTCTCAAAATAAATTATTTGGGACAAATACACTAATCATGGTATTTGATCCTGGAATCCACACTTTCTCATAGTGATGAAGCCAACTAAGAATTTGTCAGTTCAGACAGTTTGTGAACTAACTCTGACAGGTTTTCGTGAAGAAGCACGACGTGGAGAAAAGTTATTCTCGTCCAGTGGCACTAGACATCAGGCAACTTCCAAAACACACTCGTTTCCAGATTAGTTATATTCCAAATGTTCAACTCAACAATATCTGGAAACACAAAATCCGACTGTAATCCGTTCAATAGAATTGTTGCTGAATTGTTTCCATGAACAGAAGTTAGTTGGTCTGAATCAGATACAATGTATCCTCGTTCGGGACAGCCATACGAGCGCCAGTTTTAAAAAGCTATTATGTTCTTATAAAAATGAAAAAATATATCCAAAGTACTTCTAATCAATGATCCATTTCAGATATTTAACTGGACTATTTGTTATTCGAAGCACTTTGCGAATATTGACTGGTCTGCTCCATGCCATCTCTCCTTATCCCGTTATGCACTTTCAACAGTTCAGTGCCCAACAGTGTAGTGGTTGCCTGGTTGAATGCAACCTGTTTGAAAAGTTGTGCTGGAGTTACTACCCTGACGTCATTGCTCATTTCGCGCATGGGAGGGTGGCGGGGATGGATTAGAAAATTCAATGGACTGAGTAAAGGAGCAGCCATAGTGCTAGATAAAGGCCTCATCTTTGTATCTGTGCCATTATAGTGTCTGTGACAGCATGGGCTGCCATTTTAAACTAGCACATTTCTTCTTCTTCATTGGCTGATTCCTCCCTACCCAGTTGACTACTTTAAAATTTTGGAAGCCCTCAATAGCAATGCCCATGTTAAAACGGGTTATATCCATGAGGAGTCCTCAATCTATCTGGATGGGAGCACCCATACCCCCCTTTTCCCGCATGGACAGCCTGACAGACAGACAGGCACACACACACACAAACACACACACACACACACACACACACACACACACACACACACACAAAAGTTGGGTGCTGTACATCAGAGGAGGCTGGTGGGAGGAGCTGTAGGAAGACCTGCTCATTGTAATGGCTGGAATGGAATTAATGGAACATATCAAACACATCAAAGGTATGGAAATCACATCTTTGACTCTGTTCCATTTATTCCATTCCAGCCATTACAATGAGCCCGTCCTGCTATAGCTCCTCCCACCAGTCTCCTCTGCTGTACATGTACTGCGTCAACTCAGATGATCTTCTCGGCATTCTTGCTCTGTGCAAAGGGCCCCATCTAGTGGCTAAAATATTTTCATGACCAGAAAGTGTCTGATACTTGCGTCATACACACACACGCGCGCGCATACATGCACATGCCTACTCAGCTGAATGTTTAGTTTGCTAGTGGGTCACAAACGGATGTGAGTGAGTGTGGAACCTGCAGCTGTAGGTGAGGAGGTTTGGCTGAGGTGCTGACATGTGAGGCTGGGGATTCAGGCCAAACAGTGTTGAGTCTATTACAAACTCCCTATTAAAGCTTCCTCCTTGTAAGAACCTTCCATCATCACGCTCACATACTGTAAGTAGGTAGATCTATCCTTCACTACCTAAGAAAAGCATTATTGGATATTTGACTGATTATGATTCATCAGACTAAGTCATTGCAACAACAAAATATAAGTTGCTGCATATCAGTTATGCAGAAGATGTGGTGGTTAGGGGGAGGTGAGGTCTCCTCTACAGGCTTCAAAATAGTCAAAGCAAGATAAGCATTAATTAAAATAATGACCTTTTTCCCTTTATTCATATTACAACCACTCACTTTCAGTTATTTGAAAGGGAAATCATCTCCCAGATATCACTATTTCTAAAACAAGCCATAGAAAGTTGGTTGCAATTTCAATTTAATCCCCCAGAAACGACAGAACAAATAATGCAACAAATATTGTGGTTAAACTCAAATATACTAATTGACAAAAAACTTATTTTTTGGTCAAAATGTTTAAAAAAGGTATAATCTTTCTAAATGATATCATCGGTAGGACTGGTGGAGTTATGTCGCACATGCAGCTAACAAAAACTTATGGAAATGTCTGCTCTACCCAAAATTACAACCAAATAATTGCAGCCTTACCACAAAAATGGAAGAGGAAAGTGGAAGGAGGAGAAAGTAAGGAACTTGTCTGTCGGCCTTGCATTTAAGAACATAATTGGTTAAGGAAAACTGTGATAAATAAAAAAGTATATCAGTTTCATTTAAGGACCAAAGGATTGACAGCGGTCCCATATAGATTGCAAAATAGTTGGGAAGAGATTTTTGACGTACCGATCCCATGGCATAGTGTTTATGAACTGATACACAAAATGACACCGGATTCAAAACTTAGAATCTTTCAATTTAAATTATTATATAAAATTCTTGCTACCAATATAATGTTATTTATATGGGGGATACAATCTTCCCAACTCTGCAGATTTTGCTGCGAAGAGATAGAATCATTAGATCATTTGTTTTGGTACTGTCCATTTGTAGCTTGTTTTTGGACACAGGTCCAGGAATGGCTAAAGGATTGCAATATTTACCTGGAGCTAACCCTGCAGATAGCACTACTGGGTGATCTGAAAAGTCATAGTCAATCGATCAATAACATAATAATACTATTAGCAAAAATGTTTATTTTTAATTCACAATCTGTAGAAACAATGAGAATAGAAAGGTTCAGAACTTTTGTAAGACATCACAGTACAGTTGAAATATATATGCCAAATAGAAATCCTATATGGATGGTGTTAAAAGATAGATGGGAGGTGTTGAATGGAATTGAAGGATGGGACTAATAACAACTAACAAAAAACAATAACAAGATAACTAATAATGTAGGCACGCTGTGTCCATAATAAGTGTATGGGTTGTATGTTGGGAGCTTTTGTGAAGGAGCACAGTTAGAAAGATATGGCATATAGAAGCTAACCGGATGGACATCATGAAAATGATCGGAGAGGTTGAGAGTAGAAGAAGTTCAGGAGAAAGAACAAACAAAATGTAATTATTGTAAAATTGACTGTGTCCATAAAATGTAGATAGTGGGTATGGGCTGGAAGTAGAGGCCTAGGCGTTGTTGTTCACTAGTTTACTCCAAGTGGGGAAAGGGTGGCGGGGTTGGAAAGTAATAAAGGTGAATATATATATATATTTTTTTTTTAAGCTGTAAGTCGCTCTGGATAAGAGCGTCTGCTAAATAACTAAAATGTAAATGTAAATGTAAAGGATATGTATGTGTATGTATGTATGTATGTATGTATGTATGTATGTATGTATGTATGTATGTATGTATGTATGTATGTATGTATGTATGTATGTATGTATGTATGTATGTATGTATGTATGTATGTATGTATGTATGTATATATGTCATCATACTTCATTTTTTGCTCAGCTGGATGTTTTGATCAAATCCATTAATTGGAAGGTCATTGATATACAGTAAATCCTTGATTATGTTGTTTATTTTTATTAACTATTTGTGTTGTTGAGTATTGTTTCACATTCGATTATATTCTTAACATTACCGAAGGGGTATAGCAATATGTCCGATTACAATAGGACTTTTATACCCAGCCTGCCTATCAATAAATTATGCTGACACACCCCTTTCTCACTATCACTTCTGTATTTTGTGTAGACATTCTAATATGTGCTGTTGTAAGCAATGTAACATTGTAAACTGTAAATTGTAAACTATAGCTACATGGCAGGCTGTCACTATAGATTTTCACACTTCCAGTGCAATACACCAGGATGACCTAAAGGTACCTTTTACCATAGTCACTGTAAAAAGAGGTTGTGCAGTTTATCATAAATTTACAGTACAAGCCTGATGTTTGAAAGAGCAAGATAATCTATACTACTTAGTCCCCTGTTGCTACTCTGGTTCTGAGGGTCGAATCGTGCTAAGCTGAGGGCCTGCAGGTGCAGCTATAGACTGAACCCTGGGGGCTGACACATTACTTGCCCATGTCAACTGAATTTCATGTTTACTCTGCTGTCCATTCACTTTCCTTCCTCTGCTTCTGTTACAGCTGAACAATGGTATGTGGAATTTCATTGCCAACTACACTGAATTAATCTGGTGGCCTTTATTACAAATGTATTACAACTGGTGTGTAAAAAAACAAGAGGAGTTTGAACTATAATTTATTCTCTGTGAAAAATAACTTGTCATTTATATCAGGAACATCAAGTGGACCAAGCTTTAGAGTCAGCAAGAAATAATATTGAACTAGAAAAAAAGAGAACGAAACCACACAGTAATCTCTACGGGTTTGACTTCCTGTCACACACTCTGCAGCTGTAGTTAGCAACATGTGAAGATTTGCACAAGAGGCTGTTGAGGGGAGGATTGAAACCATTTGTTTTATACCGTTCCATTTATTCCGTTCCAGCCATTACTAAGAGCCAGTCCTCCCCAATTAAGGTACCACCTGCCGCCCGTGACAGAGCTACAGTATCTATCCCTCAGCCTATTTGCATGGAGTTGCTCTCTATGAATGATGATCAGCAGCATGTGTAATGAATGTATAGCCCAGAAAAAACACACCAAACATGCATTTTTCGAAAGAGAAATATGAGTACTGTAGATAACTTTATATAACCAAATTCCAAAGCCATCTGTGTCCATTAACTGTATAATGTAGGCTGAATTATATAATTTATATTGGTATTCATTAGAATTATTTGCTGTAAAGTCCAAAGTTCCTTTTGAAAAGAGGCGGTCTCAAACCAAGTGCAAGTAACTGGAGTAACTGGTTAATTTCCGCCGTGGGACATTCAGTTATTGCGCGTGTTGGGAAGGGAACTCGAAAGTCTCTCTGTTGTCATACTTAAATGAAAGGACGCGTAAGTAAACAGTCTTTAAAGGATTTGTTTAAATTACCTTCATGGTTTTACTAATATGACATTTTCCTTTTGATGCGAACTTGCGAAGTCCTGACTGAAATGGTGATCTAGTTGGCAAAACCCTGGCTGGCTGCGTACATTTCCCGACCTCTTGTGACTGTCAACGCGTGGCTCTTTACATGAGATAAAGGTAAATATCATATTGCAATATACAGTTTACCCATTTGCAGAAAGCTTGATTATTCTTACATACGTGATGCAACCATCAATGTAAATGCAATGTGCACCACTGTTATATGGGTAGCCTGATCATGTCACCAAAATGACCAAACCTCTGATAATGTCATGCTGGCTTGAAGACACTGCTTGGAGAGCAATCCACTCAACTTCAGTCACTGGGTTACAGAGTCATCGAAGTCTCTCTCTCTAATCTCAGGAACCGCTGTTACAGTCATACCCACGCCACTGTTTTTACTGTAATGGAATTCATTAGAATAATTAGTCAGCTTCCTCTCATCTGAATTGTGAATCATTGCTCTTTAGTGGTTGGAGAACTGTCTCTCTCTCAAGAGTGGTATCCCTATAATTTGTTGGAGCTCTATTAGATTCTGAATATATGGCCACTAACTAACCGGACTATTGAAAGAAGTACCACATAGAGTACTTTTACTACCTGTTTGATACAAGCAATAACTGTTCCCAGTAACCAACAGCTGTCCACAAACATTGGTGAAAAGGCTGTGCAATATAGTTCTGGACCACATAAGTAGGCTATGAGACGACTTGTTACCATAATATGCAATGCTATTATAAATGTATAACAACAAAGATATTATCTTTGACCTAACAGTTGAAAATGTTTAAATATTGGTAAATTATTTGAAAACTAACTGTACCTATAGTCCCCCCTGCCCATGCCAGCGTGATGTGAAAGGTATTTTGAAATAGCTTTTTGTTTGAACGTTTTTTTCCTCATTGGTTTGTGTGCTCAGTGCTCTAAAAGGTCAAACGGTCTCTCCTCTGGGATGTGGTAATTTATTAGTAGTAGGAGATAAGTTCAACAATAGTTGTATTTATGTGATGAGGAAGTATGTTCATAATGTGTTTGCATTTGATATTAAACTCAGTAAAAATAGAAAACCACTGAAGAGGATAGGTGCAGTATTGAGCAAGCTTTATAAATTAACTTTAAAAAATATATATATATTGCTAATACAAGGTCCTCTATTCAATCATAGTAGACATGATTCAATCATAGTAGGCTAGCCATGTCGGTCTAATTGATATAGTGTGAGCTACTATGGTGTGTCAAATAGATTACATACAGCACAGCATCATTGGATCTTTTAGTGCTTTACCTGGCAGTAAATTGTTGTTTGAATTTGGATTTCCTAAAAAAATGATGTCCAATAAATTAACTGCTATAACATTATTGAGAATGGATGGATATTTATAAATGTATATACAGTATTGTCTAGTACTGTTCTCCTCAGAGCTGGGTAGTTGGATGTCATAGTCACTCTCAAAAACACATTCTGCACATTCTTCACTAATCTGTGATTTGTGAAGTGTAGAGAAATGTTTAATGCCTTCACATAGTTAGGCTTTGCATAATGGAAATTCTTAATAATAAAACATACAATTTCTAACATTTCTAACAAAGAAAATGATGGATGCTACTCGCTCCGTAATAGATGTTATCCACTTCTACAATGTCCGTTATTTAATAAAGGTATCTGTTTAAGACATCATAACCCTATTTCCTTGATTAATGGTGGAATGTTTGGCCCGCAAGACTATTTAACAACCTATTGGGCTGTTGAGGAGGCACAAAAGTGATAAGAAAAAAACAGTTGGGAGCTGAAAAAATCCATCTACGGTAAATTCATGTGGGTAGTTAGAGTCGAAACCACTGCAAATATCCCCTTCACCCAGATCACTGTAACAGGGGAGCTCTAGGGAAGTTGGCACATTGCCAAACATGACCCTGGCTCACCTTACTGGTGAGATGTTACTAGACTAGATCCCCTCTGCTCTGCACTGTATCTTCCCAGGGGACCAACTGTTTGTTACTGTTTTACATGTTTGAGACTTCCATCCTCTAGAGCACTCAACTCTTACCCTACGAGGTCCGTAGCCTGCTGGTTTTCTGTTCTACATGATTAATTAATTGCACACACCTGGTGTCCTAGGTCTAAATCAGTCCCTAATTAGAGGGGAACAATGAACAAATGCAGTGGAACCGGCTTCGAGGTCCAGAGTTGAGTTTGAGGGCTCTAGAGTGACAACAACAAGGTTCTGTCTGTCTGTGTGTGTGTTCCCGGCTGTCTAACAGCAGAATTGTCCTGAGAGAAGAATGATGGAGTAGTTTGTGGGATGTATTTGACCAGTGGTTTATGCTGGTTGGGGTGGGGTAGGAGGGGGTTTAGTGGTGGTCAGTGTAGTGTCTTACCTTTCTATATCTCTCTTGCAGTGCGGTTGACAGTATTTTCAGATTTGTTGGATGTATGCAGTTTATGTACATGCTATTTCAGCAAGCTGCTGGGATATGTTTTATGAATCTAAAACCCAAAGTAAGAATTATATTGATAATGTTTATGAGGGCTAATCTGCAATGGTATCAGGAGGTTCGCTTCATTCATTCCATTCATTAGTAAAAAATGAGAGCCATTCAGAGAGGCAAGTGATTTAAAACTAAAGTGCATGTTTGGCTGCATGCATGTTTTACTGTGTTTACGGTAAAAGGTTTTATGGAGCGAGGGAGTTAGATAACACAGATTGAGTGTACTTATGTGTACACACATGGTTCAACTGAAGTGGGAATCATTTAGATTAAACAATTTGTTGAATGTATGTCAATGGAATTGGTGGTGATATCCCTTGACCTTCTCCTTGCTCATCCAATCCTCTAAGTAAAAATGACTCTCTGTTATCGCGTGTGTTTCTATTCAACTGATATGTGAGCTATTATTGTCAATAAGTGAATATGTTGTGTTGACTTTAGAGAGAGAGAGATAGAGGAGAGTTTGCTCCTCTGGTTTAATGAATAGTTCCTGTCTGGTAATGAAAATGAGAGAGAAAGAGATACATCTGGGTCTGACAGAAACACTCATAGTTAAGACGACTTTCTAGATGTAATTGAATTTAATCTTTAGTTGTCCTCGTGTTGTTTATGCGGCCTTCCGTCCGGCTCAGTAGAGCTCTGTGAATGATTCTCATTATCATCTATCTACCCTCACTCATATCCGCTCTGAATAAGACTGTTAGAGAGGGGGAACAGAAGGGGTCTTTTACTGCAGAGTAGGAGTTTTAACCAGGGTACAGGATGGGAGCCGTGGTGAGCAATAGAAGCTGATACTACAGCGCTGTCATTGGCTCCCTCCGGTGTCTGAATAGGTAGATCATGTGTATCTATGGTTCTGGGGATGGATAATGTAGGTGATTTGGGAGCATGCACTGCAATTAAGGTACATTTACATTTTAGTCATTTAGCAGACGCTCTTATCCAGAGCGACTTACATGAGCAATTAGGGTTAAGTGCCTTGCTCAAGGGCACATCGACAGATTTTTCACCTAGTCGGCTCGGGGATTAGAACCAGCGACCTTTTGGTTACTGGCACAACGCTCTTACCCACTAAGCTACCTGCCGCCTTAGGAGCTAAGGGCTTAAAGGTCTAATGCAGCCATTTTTATCTCAATATCAAATCATTTCTGATTAACAATTAAGTACCTTACTGTGATCTTTTTTAATTAAAATGGTCAAAAATAAAGAAAAATAGCTTCTTAACAAGAATTTAGCTAGGACTCTTTGGGAGTGGTCTGAGTGAGGAGGGGAAAACTGAAAACTATAGCTGTTATTGGAAGAGAGGTAGAGGTAGTGTGCACTACAGACAGCTATATCGGTCTGTTAATACAGGACTAGTAAAACATTATTTTTTACAATAATGTTTTTAGAATTATTATTTTTAGGGGGTGCTGCAGCACTCTCAGCACCCCTACTTCCTGCGTCTATGATCAGGTGTGTGTGTGGTCTCAATTAAAATAGTAGTCTATAGCCTATGCATGGGACGGAGAAGCAGAGGGCAGTTATCGTTCCAAGGAAATTAACTTCCTAAATATGATTAGGCTATAGTTTACATTGCCTAGAAATACATATTGATCACCTTATATTTTTATCTCTGTCTGAAAATCGTCCCACTCCTAAAAGGTAGGCTATAAAACGTATCTCAAGAGAAAGTGCAAGTGTCTGCTCTCTCTGCAACTCTTCAAACTATGTCTAGCCTGTTGGCTGATATAGCCCAGTAACACCGATAGCCTAATATAATGGGCCACGTTAGAATCTCTGGTAATTTAACCTATTTCTTGGGTTATTTTTTGCGTATTTTGATATTGCCTATAGGGCACACAATTGCTGGGACCATGGCTGGCAAGTGAGCTGCGACACATACGCCTAAATTAACATTGCGGGACTGCAGTTTGGTTCGGGACAAGTTCTTGCGGTTGCGGGTGGGAGTCGGACAGAAAGCCAGCGGGAGGGGGCGGGTGCGGTATCAAAAGCTGTGGGTGCAGGCAGAATGAAGAAATCAGTCCCGCACAGAGTTTGGAACGCTCTTTCTTATTGTCTATTAACTAATTTACTGCAGGCAGGCCAAAACTCCATCCCACCAAAACAGGCTGAAATTTCAGGCGGTCTTTTTAAACAGCTCTTACACTAAAAGGGCATAATCATCATTTTCACAATTTCACAGTATTATTCCAACCTTGAAATATATCTAAAACACAGGAAATCACATTTTTGACTGCACTGCATAGTTTTCTTACTTTGAAACTACCAACCCACAACTCTCCCTGACTCATCTCATTCCATAGACCGACTGCAGTCCTTCTGCCTCCCTACTCCACCTCATTGACCCTTCCACCTGTCGCCATGGAAGCCAGAGGAATGTACGAGTTTAATGCTACGGCTGAGGATGAGCTGAGCTTCCGAAAGGGAGACATCCTGAAGGTGAGTATGACCCGAGAGAGAACGGGAGGAGACACATTACAATTCAGAATAGTGTGCCATAGTAAGACTGGAAGTAATAATAGTAAGGAATGGAAGTAATACAACTGAGCGTGGGACTTGGCTTCAAAGACAAATTCCACCAATCTAATTCCTAAATTCTGCACACAAAGTTCTACTGTTGTATTCTGCTGTAATATTAAACCTAAAGAGTGACCTCTATTGTTTTTGTTTATCTCTGTTCCCTAATCAGATTCTAGGTAATCAAGATGAGTGGTTTAAGGCAGAGCTACATGGACTGGAAGGCTTTGTGCCCCAAAACTACATTGAGAGACAAACCCCAAGGTCAAATAAAGTGACTCATTCTCATCCATAAAATGTTTACAGTACACATGTCTTTGAACACACACATACAACCTGAGTTTGTATGCTTACAGTAAGTACAGTATAGCCACATCTGTATACTGTATCTCTCTCTGTCCAGCTGGTTCAAGGAGACGGCCAGCCGCAGCTCTGCTGAGGAGCTCCTGATGTCTAGGGAGGTGGGGGGATTCCTGATCCGTGGCAGTCAGAGCTCCCCTGGAGAATTTTCCATCTCTGTCAGGTGGGTGGGTGTAGGCTCAGACCAGGATATTACAGGGAGCTGACTGATTACAATACTGTCCCTAGGGGGGTTAGAGTTTGCGCCGCATGAACTCTGTAAAATGTGGTAACATGTTAACCTGAAAACTTACCTGAAAAACTCATCTGTGAATATTTTCACAATCCCCCTCCATTTCTCATTAAATGTCTATGAGCCAGGGGAAGAGTTCTGTTTCTGTAGGTTATACTTCATATTACTGGTACAGCTTTTCCTTGCAATATCTAACATAAGCCAGCAGGGGACAATGAAAGTACTGCACCAGAGAAACAGTTGACTTTGGATTTATGGAATGAGGACAGGGCACAACTAAATTGTTTGAATCATGACTCATCCCATCCTATCATTATACCAGGGTTGGGGTCAATTCCATTTCAATTCCAGTTAATTCAGACACTAAACCAAATTCAAATTTCAAATGTTCCTCATTGAAAAGCATTGAAAATAATTGGAATGTCAGTGTACTTCCTGAATTGACTGGAATTTAAATGGAATTGACCCCAACCCTGCATTGTACTGTATGTGACTAAGAGGCCAGATGTTGTGTTGTGACATGCTTCACTGATATAACAAACCATACTTTCCCCTCAGACATGAGTTTGACGTGCAGCATTTCAAAGTGATGAAGGACAGCAAAGGCCACTACTTCCTGTGGTCGGAGAAGTTCACTTCCCTCAACAAGCTGGTGGACTACTACAAGAACACCTCCATCTCCAAGCAACGGGACATCTACCTTAGAGACGGTAGCCGGGATGACCAGAGCCCATCCACACCCCAACCGGTATTTCGTATATTATCTCAGCTCAATCCACTCTTTAGTGAATCCTTCCTTCCCTTTCTTGACTTCCCACTTTACTTCCTGTATCTCAAGCAAAGATACAAGAACCGAAATCAGTGAGCTTTTGCACCAGAATGGTCTATTAACCAATGTTATTGGTCTATTAACCAATGTACCGCATGGTGATGTCACCATGGAAAGCCAAACCTGCTGATTAGAAGGTCCTGTGCAGATTGTACTTTCAACCAGCAACTATCAAGAAATAACACAGATCAAATGTCTTTGTTTAATATCATCAGCTGTTGTACAATGTGATATAAAACTGCATTTTGACTGCACTGGGCCTTTATGAACCCTTTCCTCTCCACATCCTTCTGTTGTCAGTTGAAGAGGGGGAGTCTACCTGAAGAGAGGAGCTATGGGGCCCCTACTGCAGCCACAACACACCGCAGGGCCTCAGACCTTCCTCACAGTCAGCAGGTAAACACTACTCACCCTACAGTACTCACCCCACAGTACAACCCTACACTACCTTCAATGCAGTCTTCTGAATCATGTCGGTTTTTCAGAAGCTGCTATTTACCATGGTCATGTAAAACCATGTCATTGCTTTTATTGGATTTCATTGGATCTGTAATGTTTTACTGTGATGCTGAGACATAGGTTGGGTTAAAGGTTAGAGTCTGACCTGAAATTCCCCCAGAGTAAGAGACCAGGGATGGAGGCTCAGAGGGCTCACACCATAGGAACCCCTGGTAGAAACACCCCCCTCACCTCTTTCCCAGCCCCCCAACGGTCATCTGAAACCATGCCTCATCCACAGGTACAGTAGGCCTACTGTAGTCAGTAAATGGGAGATCATCCTTGATGTCCTCTGAAATGACTGGTTCCTATGGCCAACTATTACAGTGAGGGAAAAAAGTATTTGATCCCCTGCTGATTTTGTACGTTTGCTCACTGACAAATAAATTATCAGTCTATAATTTTAATGGTAGGTTTATTTGAACAGTGAGAGACAGAATAAAAATTTTTTAAAAATACAGAAAAACGCAAAAATGTTATAAATTGATTTGCATTTTAATGAGGGAAATAAGTATTTGACCCCCTCTCAATCAGAAAGATTTCTGGCTCCCAGGTGTCTTTTATACCGGTAACGAGCTGAGATTAGGAGCACACGCTTAAAGGGAGTGCTCCTAATCTCAGTTTGTTACCTGTATAAAAGACACCTGTCCACAGAAGCAATCAATCAATCAGATTCCAAACTCTCCATCATGGCCAAGACCAAATAGCTCTCCAAGGATGTCAGGGACAAGATTGTAGACCTACACAAGGCTGGAATGGGCTACAAGACCATCGCCAAGCAGCTTGGTGAGAAGGTGACAACAGTTGGTGCGATTATTCGCAAATGGAAGAAACACAAAATAACTGTCAATCTCCCTCGGCCTGGGATCACACCTCGGCCTAAGATCACACCTCATGGAGTTGCAATGATCATGAGAACGGTGAGGAATCAGCCCAGAACTACACGGGAGGATCTTGTCAATGATCTCAAGGCAGCTGGGACCATAGTCACCAAGAAAACAATTGGTAACACACTACGCCGTGAAGGACTGAAATCCTGCAGCGCCCGCAAGGTCCCCCTGCTCAAGAAAGCACATATACAGGCCCGTCTGAAGTTTTCCAATGAACATCTGAATGATTCAGAGGAGAACTGGGTGAAAGTGTTGTGGTCAGATGAGACCAAAATCGAGCTATTTGGCATCAACTCAACTCGCCGTGTTTGGAGGAGGAGGAATGCTGCCTATGACCCCAAGAACACCATCCCCACCATCAAACATGGAGGTGGAAACATTATGCTTTGGGGGTGTTTTTCTGCTAAGGGGAAAGGACAACTTCACCGCATCAAAGGGACGATGGACGGGGCCATGTACCGTCAAATCTTGGGTGAGAACCTCCTTCCCTCAGCCAGGGCATTGAAAATGGGTCGTGGATGGGTATTCCAGCATGACACTGACCCAAAACACACGGCCAAGGCAACAAAGGAGTGGCTCAAGAAGAAGCACATTAAGGTCCTGGAGTGGCCTAGCCAGTCTCCAGACCTTAATCCCATAGAAAATCTGTGGAGGGAGCTGAAGGTTCGAGTTGCCAAACGTCAGCCTCGAAACCTTAATGACTTGGAGAAGATCTGCAAAGAGGAGTGGGACAAAATCCCTCCTGAGATGTGTGCAAACCTGGTGGCCAACTACAAGAAACGTCTGACCTCTGTGATTGCCAACAAGGGTTTTGCCACCAAGTACTAAATCATGTTTTGCAGAGGGGTCAAATACTTATTTCCCTCATTAAAATGCAAATCAATTTATAACATTTCTGACATGCGTTTTTCTGAATTTTTTGTTGTTATTCTGTCTCTCACTGTTCAAATAAACCTACCACTAAAATTATAGACTGATCATGTCTTTGTCAGTGGGCAAACGTACAAAATCAGCAGGGGATTAAATACTTTTTTCCCTCACTGTACCTAACACAGGTTTGTTTCTGTGTGTGTGTGTGTGTGTGTGTGTGTGTGTGTGTGTGGGTGTGTGTGTTTGCCTGTGTGTGTGTGTGGTTTTGTGTGTGTGTGTGTGTGTGTGTGTGTGTGTGTGTGTGTGTGTGTGTGTGTGTACCAGAGGGCAGTCATACAGGTGAAAGCGGTGTACGACTTCACAGCGGAGGAAGGGGACGAGCTAGGCTTCAGTGCAGGTGATGTCATTGACATTTTGGATCGCTCTGATCCATCATGGTGGAAAGGAAGATTACGGGGTAAAAGTGGTCTGTTCCCTGCCAACTATACCACACCATTATGAGGAAAGCCCAGAGAGAGATAAGTTGATCTTTGGATTTCTCCAATCATATGGACAGTGATGATAAGAGTCGGGCAACACACAGAAACTGCAGCAGCCCAAACTGTAGGAGGACTAAAAAGAAATTGGTTCACCTTTGACTGATGATAACATATGCTTACACATTTATTTTAAAGCTGGTGCTTAGTAAATGGCATGATACAATTGGCATACCTAAATGACATTGATTTATAAGTAGTGGCGGACTTACCATTAGACTGAAGAGGCAATTGCCTCAGGCCTCACAACATCAAGGGGCCTCGTGAGCTGGGGATAATAATAATAAAAAATACTAGTAATCTTTTTTATTTTAAATAATTTCTCTGCATGAGGACTATTCCACCCTGACAGAGTTCCTGTGCATTGTTTCACGCGATATGATTGCAAATGTGACTTTCATTTAAATTAAGCTGCAGCAATGAGGCGCTTTCACAGCGGGGCAGAGATATATGCAATTAATGCAACCAGTGAAAATAAAAAGAAAGAAAGAAGATTTAACAGAACATTTTTGTAAGTTAATGCATTTCTTTAGTGAAAAGACAGGTGCTGCTGGTAATACTGACATTGTTGTCGAGGCAGCAGACATGTGTAGACAATGTATGGCATGTCATACTCTTTTTGGCCAGACAGAATCAGATCCATTGGATCCATATAGAAAGACAGAGGGGCGCTGTTTCACTCGCTCTGATAATCGGATAATCTCCAGTGAGATTGAAGGAAAGTTGGCAGGTGCAAAGTGCACTGTTCGGATGCTACTTTTTGAAGTGATTTGTTTGACAATCAGCTGAAAACATCATGACTTGTCGTGTTCATGGCACATTAAAAGGTAATACATTTTTACAGTTAAATTACGTCTCTACTATAAAACCCATAAAAATATGTTGTGCACCCAAATCACTAAGTCCGCCCCTGTTTATAAGGGAACTTCCACAACCCAGCTACAGTGTCATATCCATTGGAGGTTAAAAACTGGGAGCTATGCTGCCACACATTTACTGTATGGTACTACACTTTTTGTATTGTTACCTTTTTGTATTGTCTGTAGTGCTTGCTTTCAATTGTGAGGTCTCCATAGTAAATATGTCTTGTTAGTGAGCTACCAAATGTACAATGTCAGTTTGAGTATGCTTGTCATCTGTCTAAATTAAAACAATTATGTATATAAACCCTGGATTGCTGATGCTATGTATTGGCCAATGAGATGCTTTGAAGCTACTGTTCGGCCATATTGTCTCTCCTCAAAAGCAGTCTTCCATAGGAATTAATGGAATTTTTCATTATTTCATTTAAATGTTTCAAGGTCAAAATTACATGTATTTAAGTATTTTTTGTTGTAGTGGGGACAGTATTTTCAAAAAATTACACTTTAAGGAAAATGTTTTTATATATTTGTCCATGTTTTATTTTTATGCAAGTATGCATTAAGGTGTCTGTAATAGAATAACCGTGGCAAAAACAAATTTAGACATTAATAAATGCATTTCTATAGCTTCCAAAATATGTTTTACAACGGTGGGGGAGTGCCAAGATGGAGGCTCGATGGCTTCAAACAGCGCCCCCTGTCAGTCATCTAGTGTATACATAAATCATTGGTCTAAAATGATCTGACACTGATAATAATATTCCTGACCTGCAGTGTTGGGTAGTAGGGAACTACATGTCATTCAACTAGTAATTTAACTACATTTTGTAGTAGTTTGGTGGTAGTTTAACTAAATTCAAATCTAGGTAGTGTTTTCAGTAGTTAATTACTTTTTTGTAATGTAACGCTGTAGTAACTACTGGAAATACACACTACTTTTTTTTTATAAAGTAAAATATGGGTGAAGTAGGCAATCATTTCCATTCTTTTTCAGCATCAGACCTGCCTAATTCTCACTTGGAACATAGTTGTTTTGTTTAATAGGCTAAATTAAACATTCTGTTAACATATAACCCCAAAATGATCTGTTTTGCAATTTGTAGTCTATGACATTTCAGATTTACATATGATAATTTTTTCCCAAAGTAGTTTGGATGTAGTAAACTACTTTTCAAAGTAACTTTAGTTAAGGGCAAGGAGATAAGCATGCAAACCTGAGCTAAAACACTGTGGGTGTAAGTAGCCCAAATCCAGATAAGAGACTTGAGTGTTTGACCAGGTTACAGTTAACTTCTCTGGAACACTGGAATAATACATACTCACTTAACATTCACATTTGATCTCCAATTCATTAAAAAGTCTGGTTTCTGGCTCTTAACTGATATATATTTTTTCATTAGTTCACAGTTGACACAGTCCCAAAATGTTTTACATGCCAGCAGTAAAGTTTTCAAAATATTGGACTTCCACAACCCAGCTACAGTGTCATATCCATTGGAGGTTAAAAACTGGGAGCTATGCTGCCACACATTTACTGTATGGTACTACATTTTTTGTATTGTTACCTTTTTGTATTGTCTGCTTTCAATTGTGAGGTCTCCATAGAAAATATGTCTTGTTAGTGAGCTACCAAATGTACAATGTCAGTTTGAGTATGCTTGTCATCTGTCTAAATTAAAACAATGATGTATATAAACCCTGGATTGCTGATGCTATGTATTGGCCAATGAGATGCTTTGAAACCACCATTCGGCCATATTGTCACTCCTCAAAAGCAGTCTTCCATAGGAATTAATGGAATTCTTCATAATTTCATTTAAATGTTTCAAGGACAAAATGACATGTATTTAAGTATTTGTTGTTGTAGTGGGGACAGTATTTTCAAAAAATTACACTTTAAGGAAAATGTTTTTATATATTTGTCCATATTTTATTTTTATGCTTAGCTTAGGCCTAAATAATATAATTTACAAGTATGCATTAAGGTGTCTGTAATAGAATAACCGTGGCAAAAACAAATTTAGTAACATAGTAACATTTTTAGTAGCTGTAGTAACATTTTTACATTTTAGTCATTTAGCAGACGCTCTTATCCAGAGCGACTTACAGTTAGTGAATGCATACATGTTTTTTAAGTTTTTTTTATACTGGCCCCCCGTGGGAATCGAACCCACAACCCTGGTGTTGCAAGCGCCATGCTCTACCAACTGAGCTACACGGGAAATACACACAACTTTTAAAAAATTTTATAAAGTAAAATATGGGTGAAGTAGGCAATCATTTCCATTCTTTTTCAGCATCAGACTTGCCTAATTCTTACTTGAAACATAGTTGTTTTGTTTAATAGGCTAAATTAAACATTCTGTTAACATATGAAGGAAAAAGGGGCGGCAGGTAGCTTAGTGGTTAAGAGCGTTGTGCCAGTAACCGGAAGGTTGCTGGTTCTAATCCCGAGCCGACTAGGTGAAAAATCTGTCGATGTGCCCTTGAGCAAGGCACTTAACCCTAATTGCTCATGTAAGTCGCTCTGGATAAGAGCGTCTGCTAAATGACTAAAATGTAAATATGACACCAAAATGATCTGTCTTGCAATAAGTAGTCTATGACATTGCAGATTTACATATGATAATTAACAAAGTAGTTTGGATGTAGTAAACTACTTTTCAAAGTAACTTTAGTTAAGTAAACTTTAGTTTCCTTAAGGGTAGCATTAGTGTAGCTTAACTTCTTCCAATGTGAAGTAATTGGAGCTTGGTAAACTAGCCTATATTTTCAGAGTAGCTTCCCCAACACTGCTGACCTTTGACCAAATGTTTTTGTTTTTAATTTATGAATGTCACAGAACCAGAGCATCCAAGAAAAGTATCCGAAGCACAGGGTCTGATAAATACATTTGGAATTGAACTGTTTTGGTTTTTGCTTTCATTTCGTTTTAGTTGGCTAGACATTACATAATGTAGGCTAATTTCTCTGTATTGAGTTCTATGTTAAACCTACAAGCCTATACAGTATAAGTGCGCTTTATGTGACACCACTCAATTCTTAGTAGGCCTTTATGGAAATTCAAAATAATCACATTCTCATGCAAGAATTTCCTCAACCACACACAAAGATGGCGCCGTACTGTATGGTTGCCGTCTTTACTAATTTGTGAATATATATATATATTTTTAATAGTAAGCCTACTACTGATATTGATTACTGAATTGTTGGGAAAGCGTTTGCAAGAAAGCCATTGCACTGTTCTTATGCACGTGACAATAAAAGTAGACATTTTAACTAGATTATAACAGTTTAGAACACCTCCCCCTACCTCTTGCTCCGAACACATTGAACGTCACCTGTGTACACGCCCAACACATACAGGTAAAGGTGAATGCTACGCAGAACTGCGGGGGAAGGAGGAATTAACGGTTGGAAAAATTCAGGATACCGCTGCTATGGCCGAGTCTCAGTTGATGTGCATGGACGAAGATCACGTCAACGAAAAGATACCCGAATCCAAAGCAGAATTCTACTACAGCGAGGAGCAGCGAGCCGCGCTCGAGCAACTATTGAAGAACGGTGATGGCGCGTTCAAGATGCGACTGAAAGAGGACAACGTCAGAGACTTTCTATCCGCCCGCGAGATTAAATGGATTCGAAAAACTTTTGATGAATATGATTCAGATAGTGAGTCCGAGAAGGGCGAATACGAAAAGGCTCAGGAGTCCAATGCGGACTCGGGGGTCCACTCCACATACTGGCCTCAGATGTCAGACACGGATGTCCCGCCGCTTGACATCGGCTGGCCAGGCAGCACTGGTTTCTATAAAGGTGTCACTCGAGTGTCCGTTCACACGCACCCACCCAAAGACAAGGGGCCCCATATAAAAGAGGTTGTCAGGAGACTCATTCAAGAATCTAACAAGGTAATTCCAGCTCTAATAGAAATGAATAACGGCATATTACACGTGAATAACATATGTTTACATAATTTCCTCTCTGCCCTAAATGATTGAGGGATGCCCTCACATTGTTCTCCCTCTCATAATTTCTAGCTCAGAACAAATTATTTTGAATCCTGAGTCAGCATGACCTGAGTCATGCATTTGTGTTTTTCATCTTGACAAAGATTATGAAATGGCTTCTGTTAATTTAATGTAAACTTCTCAACACTACAGAGAATAGTTAGTGTCAATTCTAGTAGCCTATTTATCAGGCCTGAATTTGTCAGTGTAGTTACTACAGTAGCTACATAGGCCTTGTGACAACAAACTCCTGTTTTTGACATGAGGTTTTATTACCTGCTTGGCTACTTCTCACACAATTCAAGGGGAACGTGTCTAATTGTTCTTCATTGATCTACAGTGCCTTCAGAAAGTATTCACACCCCTTGACTTTTTCCTCATTTTGTTTTGTTACAGCCTGAATTGACTACCTCATCTCTATACTCCACACATACACTTATCTGTCGAGCAGTGAATTTCAAACACAGATTCAACCACAAAGATCAGGGAAGTTTTCCAATGCCTCGCAAAGAAGGGCACATATTGGTAAATGGATAAAAACAAAAACAAACAAAAAACAGACATTGAATATCCCTTTGAGCATGGTGAAATTATTAATGACACCTTGGATGGTGTATCAATCCACCCACTCACTACAAAGATACAGGCGACCTTCCTAACTCAGTTGCCGGAGAGGAAGGAAACCTCTCAAGGATTTTACCATGAGGCCAATGGTGACATTAAAATTGTTACAGAGTTTAATAGGAGAAAACTGAGGATGGATCAACAACATTGTAGTACTCCACAATACTAACCTAAATGACAGAGTGAAAATAATAAAAATATTCAAAAAAATGCATCCGGTTTGCAATAAGGCACTAAGGGAAACTTTCTGAAGACACTGTACTTGGCCAGGCTTTGTGCTACTGTACAGTTTTGCAGTCATTTGAAATCAACAAGAGATGTGTGTCCTTAAGGCTTAGGGCCTGGCCAAATGTAATTATTGCGCTCATTCATTGCTCATCTGAGAAGTCTTACTTGAGGAGTCTTATTGTAAAATGAACCAAGGAGATTAGCAACAATGTACAACAAATCGTCTTCTTTTTTGATTGGATTATGAAATGAAGCGATTACATAATTGACCATTGTTGATTATTGACTATCGATTTATGTTATGTTGTTATTATCATAGATATAGAACACTGATATGGGCATCTCAATCATCATCATTTTCCCCCTTCATCACGTCATCACATTCTACAATGAATTATCAACAGTTAACAGAAGTTGTGAAATGAATGTTCATAGTAGAGCTCTAACTGAATGGAACAACACATGCAGTAGATAGGCATGTTGTAACAGGCTAAGCCACATGTGGAGGAGCTGGAAAGACCAAACATTTCACAGTTCTAAATGTCAGCCAGTTTCACACCAGAACCTGTAAGAAGTCATTCAAAAGCGTTTCCCCAGTCATACTGCCTGGGGCTAAATGTCAGGAGGAAGAACGCTCCTAACTCTGGGGTTAAGCATGGCACAGGAGGACATGGCTATAGGGCAAGGAGATAAGCATGCAAACCTGAGCTAAAACACTGTGGGTGTAAGTAGCCCAAATCCAGATAAGAGACTTGAGTGTTTGACCAGGTTACAGTTAACTTCTCTGGAATACTAGAATAATACATACTCACTTAACGTTCACATTTTATCTCCAATTCATAAAAATCAGGTTTCTGGCTCTTAAAGGATTTTTTTTACATTAGTTCACTGTTGACACGGTCCCAAAATCTTTTGCATGCCAGCAGTAACGTTTTCAAAATATTGGACTTTCATGAAGCAAAGTGTCACTTGCCACATCATCATGATGATGCAAAACATTTTGTGACTGTATCAACAGTGGACTAATTAAAAAATACCAAAATATAGTTTTTGAGTGGATTTTTTCACCGCAAACAATCCAAATGAGGGGTCATAGGTTAATGATTTACTGACAGGGAAGACAAAGCCGTGACCAGCTGTTCTGTGTGCATATGACTAGGTATGTCAATGAACTAAACAAGCTGAAATCATGACAGGCCATCATTGTAAATGAGAATATGTTCTTAATTGACCTGCCTGGTAAAATAAAGGTAAAATAAATAGAAAATAAATGACGAACCAGGAAATGACTCTAGCTTAACTATAACAAGGCCTTCACTGTCCAATACTTTATCACCACTCCTTTACCACTGTCAGCATAAGGCAGAGAGCGTTAGACTGCCCTATCCTAGTGTGGTAGAGGACTTGGTCATAGTAATGCACCAGTGCTCACATTTCTTCACATGCAAAGTCTGTTTTCCAGAAGACAACCAGTTCTGTTTTTGCCTAAACTAATGCCATTCAAGGATTCCAGGATTTAAATTCCAATAACTGTGTGTGTCTGTGTGTGTCTGTGTGTGGTTGTGTGTCTTTGTGTGTGTGTCTGTGTGTGGTTGTGTGTGTGTGTCTGTGTGTGTGTGTGTGTGTGTGTGTGTGTGTGTGTCTGTGTGTGGTTGTGTGTCTGTGTCTGTGTGTGTTGTGTATGTTTGTGTGTGCGCACGCGTGTGTGTGGTGTCGGGGTTATTTATTGAATTTACACTTCTGCCTTTCCTCTGTCCTCTCTAACTTGATCTTTGGAAATGTCAACTAGTCTCTAATGTCTTGTATTATTACTCAGATGTATCAGTCACCTTCTCAAGCCTCTCAAATATGTTAACACACTTCTGTTTGTCTTGAAGTGGAACATTACTCAGAATAAATTAAATCTTGACATTTCATCTCAACTCATTTTTCCAGTTAATTAGGGAGATTCTAATCTTACTTGAGCAATTGAAACACAAATCTCCTGCTTTAAGTCCTTCAAATCCCCCGTCTTCATGATGAGGCATGTGACAACACAAGAGCTGGGGCTAGAGAAGAATAAATGAAATATGTGCCATCAGGCACAGAAGTCAGTGTCTTTCTGTGACTGCATTTATCGGCAGTAATTCAAAACTAGAAAGAATGGGAAGGGTAAAGGGGACATTTGCAGAAACATTGAGTTAAATAGATCCTGTTCATGTGCTTTCACCTTCTGAAGATGTTTCAGAGATATCATCCCCCTCTCTTCTTCCTCTAATGTTCCTATGTGTGATCCTCAGGTAGTAGCCGTGGTCATGGACCTCCTTACAGACCTGCAGATCCTTCAGGACCTATTGGACGCAGCACAGAGACGAGGGGTGGCGGTGTACATCATACTGGAGGCTCGTGGTATGCCCCATTTCCTGGATATGTGCACTCGTTTACAGATCACTGCTCTGCATCTACGGGTAAGACAGGGATGCTTTGGCAGGCAGTAGGCAACAAACAAACAGGAACAAGTAATAGTTAGCTATGGTATTACCATGTCATTACCAGGTAAATAGCAGAGTATCATGTAAAATGAAAGTGTAGGCACAACTTCCTGGCAGTAAAAAGCAGAATATTCCTCTGGCCTATTCTTTATTATCATCCATATTGACACACTGTCTATACTGGTGTAGGATCTTAATTTGAGCCAGTTTGCTACAGCAGGAAAATAATCCTGCAGTAACAGGAAATGGGAATTATTATGTGGATTATAATTCATGGACATTTTTGTAGGGGTTGATACATTTTTCATAAGGGAAAATCAAGTCTGACATTTCAAAGTGAAAATTACAAGCTTCAGAAGCCTCTTTAAACCTCAAATACACTACAAGTTAAAAATGTCCTGCAATGCAGGAAAGTTATCCTGCAACAGGGTGATCAAATTAAGATCCTATGTTTATCTATGTAGGCTAAAGCTTGTGCAGTAGATCTAGCCTATTTTATATGGAATACTGGAAAACCTAGTGTGTGTGTGTGGTGTCAGTTGATAAGCCTCTGAAAGGCCCTTCCAGTGTTGAGGCTCTGTTATTGTTGTTTCATAGAAGCTGCTGTTCAGTGAGCCGTAAACAATCCAGTCCTGTGGAACTTGATCCTTGACCAAACAAGTGTTAACAGCATAGGGTAGCATCCTTCTGACATGTCTGTTTATGTGTTTATGTCTCGGCCTGTCTTTTTCACTCTCAAACTCACTCCCATTCCTTGCTCAGTAAATAGACTGTATACTCAAGGGGTTTAACTCAACCCTTGCATCACCAGTTTTGGATTTGCTTCCCTTGAAAGTTGACTTTGGTCGTGGGTGGTAACAGCACAAGTGTTTGATATGATACTGTTCAGTACTTGGAAGTCTGATAGTCACTGACTCATGGTTCATACTGTAATAAGGTCACCTGTCTAACTCTGTATCTGTGTGACTCTTTCAGAACCTGCGTGTGCGGACGGTGAAAGGTTCTGGGCTGGCCCTGTCCTTTGGCAGGCTGCCTGGCTCTCTGTGCTCCAAATACATGCTGGTGGATGGAGAAAAGGTTATGTTTGGCTCTTACAGGTCAGTCATTTTCTCAGTCATACACTTCCACTCACATTCACTCAGCCAGAGCAAACATGATTTGACCTACTCTTTGAGCTTTGAGTCTGAGTCTCATTCTCTTGTTCTGTCATCTCCAGCTTCACATGGAGCTCCTCTCGGATGGACAGGAACACCATCACAGTAATGTCTGGGCAGGTGGTGGACTTCTTCGACAATGACTTCAGGGAAATGTATGCTGTATCTGAGAACGTGGACCTTTACAAGGAGTTCCACATTAGCAAGCCTCCCATGCCTGCGCCGGTACGGAAGGTGGTGGAGGTCCCCAAGCCCCTGTTGGTGTCCACCTCCCGTTTCCAGGTGTCTCTAGGGGACTCTCGGGGGCAGGCTGACCAGAGGGTGCCTGCGCATAAATACCACAACCCTAAGTATTCTCTGGTGGTGGGGAACAGTCTGGGGCTCACTGGGTCCTTACAGGACCTCTCCACACGCAGAGACTCTCTGGGCAGTGGCCTCGAACAGAACGGCCTGTCGACGCTACTCCACGCCAAAGGGGGCAGTAGTGTTGAACTGAACAAGGTCACTGCGAAGTCCCCCAGTTTTCCTGTGGAGGAGGAGGAGGGGAAGGGAGGCTTGAAGAAGCTCCAGGCCTTTGGTGGAAAGAAACAACGTAGTTCTTTCAGGCTCTTCCTGAAAGGCAGAGGATCCAATCACAACAGTGAGACTATAGAGGAGGATGTGGCCACTCCTCCAAACCCCTCCTCCACCCGCCCAAACCCCTCCCCTACCCACTCAACCCCCTCCCCTCCCCGCCCAAACCCCTCCCCTACCCACTTAACCTCCTACCCTACCTGCCCAAACCCCTCCCCTACCCACTTAACCCCCAACCCTACCCGCCCAAACCCCTCCCCTACCCACTCAACCCCCTCCCATACCCGCCTAAACCCCTCCTCTACCCGCAAAGTCTCAGAGACAAATAGCACTGCCACTGAGGACTCATTTGAGATTGTAGAGAAACCGTCCTTGTTGAAATTTAAGAACAAAAAGCCTTCAAAACTGCCTCAAAGAAGTATGTCTCTAATGACCCTCAACAAAGGAGAGGACGATGGTATGTTGTTATATTCTACCATTTGTGGTTTTCATTTGTCTTTGAATATTAACTGCAATAGTCCCTCACATGGAGTTGTTGTTTGATGGCTCATCCCTTCTTTTCTCCATTCCCTCTAGGAAAGGGACACAAGAAGCCTTCGAAGAAGAACTGCATTCAGTCCTGAGAGGAAGAGAGGGAGGACAGTATCAGCTGGGAGAGAGAGCCAGAGGACATTTTAAGTAATTGCCAGTATCATATGCAGTATTAGATGCACTGCCATGACATGCCATGGCAGGAGTATAGTGATGACATGTCATGGCAGGAGTATAGTGATGACATGTCATGGCAGGAGTCTAGTGATGACATGTCATGGCAGGAGTATAGTGATGACATGTCATGGCAGGAGTATAGTGATGACATGCCATGGCAGGAGTATAGTGATGACATGTCATGGCAGGAGTATAGTGATGACATGCCATGGCAGGAGTATAGTGATGACATGTCATGGCAGGAGTATAGTGATGACATGTCATGGCAGGAGTATAGTGATGACATGTCATGGCAGGAGTATTGTGATGACATGCCATGGCAGGAGTATAGTGATGACATGTCATGGCAGGAGTATAGTGATGACATGTCATGGCAGGAGTATTGTGATGACATGCCATGGCAGGAGTATAGTGATGACATGCCATGGCAGGAGTATAGTGATGACATGCCATGGCAGGAGTATAGTGATGACATGCCATGACAGGAGTATAGTGATGCCATGGAAGGAGTATAGTGATGACATGCCATGACAGGAGTATAGTGATGCCATGGCAGGAGTATAGTATCACGTGCTGCTCATTCTATGTACTACTGTAATGTTCCTTAGTGAGACTTGGTGTGAGACTGCCTTATCAGTTAGAGCAGTGTGAGTGTTCAATGCCAGGCCCACTGTTCCTTTAATATGAGCCTAATGTTGCTGTTTAGCAGGAGTGATTTGATGCCCCATGCCAGTGAATGTCTCCTGAGTCCTGCCCGTCTCAGATGGCATTCACCACCTGTGTCAGGGAAATGCCAATATAGACTTGATCTGTCAGTCATTCAATGCTTGAAAACTGATCTTATGTTACTGCTCACATGTCATAAGAAATCAACATGTTGTATTGCTCTTCCCTGTATCACTGTCATTGAAACTGCAACTTTTAAATCTAATTAAATGTATGGCGCTAAAAACACATTTATCCCAGGTATAGATGTATTCTGAATGTGTCTGTCCTTCAGGTTACAATGGAAAATGGAAAAGTGATCAGCTCTCTTCTCTCACACAGGAGTATCACCTTACCAAGGGCACTTTGTTAAATTGTTAGTGGACTGGCCCTTATCTCCACTGGAGTATATAGTGTGAATAATGGATGTTGTGTTAACAGATCAGACACAGATCATGCACTTCTGCTGTTAACATGCAACAATACATCATCTCTAAACCTATGCGACATTATAACTATGTCACTGGTCCATGGCTATATTTGTCATCTTTTAAAAAAATTAAGCAATAGGGACTCAGACCTATTTTGCTTATTTGTTATGTATAGCAATTAGAAAATAGCAAAGGAAATTTGCTCATTGAAATTATAGTGTGAAGTCTTGTATATAAAAATGACAAAGATGTATGAGACCACACATACTGTATGTAATTGACTGACTTCCTTTCTCTGATGTGTGACTGTTGTCCATAGTTGAAACAAGTGTTTTATATGAAATCATAATATTAAAAAAACATTTAGGTTTGCAATAATTTACAGAGGACATGTAGATAGTTTTGCTAAATCAAGTTCTCTTCTCCACAGTCATGTGAATTTACATTTTTGGACACGATAATATTTTTCTTATCTGTAGATTTGTTGATGAATTGTATGAATATGCAAGAGCTCCGCTTAATCATAACTCTGCTTGTTGTAGATATGGTTTGGGTAGTATAAAAATGTTTTGGCTGCCGGTATAATAAGTGCAGTTGATAGCTGCTTTTTTGTTTGCTTTCTCTGGGTGAGTCAGTGTTTTTATTCCCACCCTTGTTTGAAGAGAAATGTATGCGAGAATTCACTTTTACAAAAAGCATATAGACATATCTTTGGGTCACTCTTGCCTGTAAAGCTTTAGGCAAAGGTTTCATAAGATTGTAGCCTATGCTTACTGTACCTTCACCCAGACTGTGTACTGTATATTTTGTGTGGACATACAGTACTGTATATTTAACTGTGAGTGAGAGAGGACAACATATACATACTGTGTATATTACAGGAGGCCCTCTTCATGATATTGCTGTGACATGTGGGGAGTGTTAGTGTATCACTCTCTACATCAACGTCTCTCATAGTAACCACAGCCCTACAACACACACACACACACACACACATACACACACAGGAACTGATGTGCACAGGAAGGATGCTTGTTGTTTCATACCACAGGTGCAGGCCTCATTTCACGCTTAAAGGAAAATCCCACTCAAAAACTATATTTTGGTATTTGGTTCATTAGTCCATTGTTGATATAGTCCCAAAATGTCCCAAAAAGTTTTCAAGATGTATAACTTTCAAAATACAGATATACAGCCGGTATGATGAATCTTTCATTACATGATAGGTCTCCTGAGTGGCGCAGTGGTCTAAGGCACTGCATCGCAGTGCTAACTGTGCCACTAGAGATCCTGGTTCGAACCCAGGCTCTGTCGCAGCCGGCTGTGACCGGGAGACTCATGGGCGGCGCACAATTGGCCCAGCGTCGTCCAGGGTAGGGGAGGGAATGGCCGGCAGGGATGTAGCTCAGTTGATAGAGCATGGCGTTTGCAATGCCAGGGTTGTGGGTTCGATTCCCATGGGGGGCCAGTATAAAATAAATAAAAAAATAAATAAAATAAAAATGTTTATTCACTAACTGTAAGTCGCTCTGGATAAGAGCGTCTGCTAAATGTAATGATGCAAAACGTAGCACCACAATACACAGTACCTCAAGATGATGACATGATTCAATATTTCTTCATTAGGAGCTGTGCATTTGGGTTGCTCAAATATATTTTCCCATATCATGGGAGACATAAAGCTTATTGATGAGTGGTTATTAAACTCTGACACCTAAAAATAAGTATTGAAAACTGAAAACCAACAAACAATTATATTCTGGCACCATCTACTGGAAATTTGAGAAATTAAAATAGTGTTTCTTCGAAAATATCTAGGTATTTTTCCTTATTTGTGTTGAAGAATATCAGATTGATGAAGTGTGTATCACTAAATAATTAAAATGGTGTAATAGTGTACTTAATTCGATTTTACACTTACCAAAAATATAAACGAAACATGCAACAATTTCAAAGATTTTACTGAGTTACAGTTCATATAAGTAAATCAGTCAATTGAAATAAATGCATTAGGCCCTAATCTATGGATTTCACATGACTGGAAATACAGATATGCTTCTGTTGGTCGCAGATACTTAAAAAAAAAAAGTAGGGGTGTGGATCAGAAGACCAGTCAGTATCTGGTGTGACCACCATTTGCCTCATGCAGCACGGCACATCTCCTTCGCATAGAGTTTATCAGGCTGTTGATTGTGGCCTGTGGAATGTTGTCCCACTCCTCATCTGTGCGTAGTTGCTGGATATTATCGGGAACTGGAACACGCTGTTGTACACGTCGATCCAGAGCCTCCCAAACTCATGCTCAATGGGTGACATGTCTGGTGAATATGCAGTCCATGGAAGAACTGGGACATTTTCAGCTTCCTAGAATTGTGTACAGATCCTTGCGACATGGGGCCGTGCATTATCATGCTGAAACATGAGGTGATGGTGGCGGATTAATGGCACAACAATGGGCCTCAGGAACTCGTCACAATATCTCTGTGCATTCAAACTGACATTGATAAAATGCAATTGTGTTCATTGTCTGTAGTTTATGCCTGCCCATACCATAAGCCCACCGACACCATGGGACACTCTGTTCACAACGTTGACATAAGCAAACCGCTGTCTGCCATCTGCCCGGTACATTTGAAACCAGGATTCATCTGTGAATAACACACTTCTCCAGCATGCCAGTGGCCATCGAAGGTGAGCATTTGCCCACTGAAGTCGGTTATGACGCCAAACTGCAGTCAGGTCAAGACCCTGGTGAGGATGACGAGCACGCAGATGAGCTTCCCTGAGATGGTTTCTGCCAGTTTGTGCAGAAAGTCTTCGGTTGTGCAAACCAACAGTTTCATCAGCTGTCCAGGTGGCTGGTGTCAGACGATCCCGCAGGTGAAGAAGCTGGTTGTGGAGGTCCTGGGCTGGCGTGGTTACACGTGGTCAGCGGTTGTGAGGCCGGTTAGACGTACTGCCAAATTCTCTAAAACGACGTTGGAGGCGGCTTATGGTAGAGAAATGAGCATTACATTATTTGGCAACAGCTCTGGTGGACATTCCTGCAGTCAGCATGCCAATTGCACGCTCCCTCAAAACTTGAGACATCTATGGCATTGTTTTGTGACAAAACTGCACATTTTAGAGTGGCCTTTAATTGTCCCCAGCACAAGGTGCACCTGTGTAATGATCATGCTGTTTATTCAGCTTCTTGATATGCCCCACCTGTCAGGTGGATGGATTATCTTGGCAAAGAAGAAACGCTCACTAACAGGGATGTAAACTAATTTGTACCAAAACAATTAGAGAACACTTTTAACTTTTCAGAGATCTTTTATTTCAGCTCATTAAACATGCGACCAACATTTTACATATTGCGTTTATATTATTGTTCAGTATATAGCTAAGATCTGTATGATATTATTATTAAGGTACTGTATTACATTTGTAAAGCGCTTTTCATTATACAGAATAATCTCAAAGTGCATAATAAAAAATAAAAATAAACTAGACAGGGAAACTGATACAAAGAACACAGCTGACACTACAAGGAACAAGGACACCAAGGAGCACCGCTATCAACATAAAGCCTTGCTAAAGAGAAAGGTCTTTAGGCCCACTTTTTAGGTCAGTTTGATGTAATTATAATCTGTCATCTGTTGTGAAAGAAGTACACACATATTTGAATATAATAAAATATGTATGTATTATTCATTCAACATTATTAAGGCATGTTTACGGACATTTGTATTATCACTGTCTGTGCTTAAAAGGCAATGTGCAAAATAACTTCCTATTATAATACAGTATTTACAAAATACGTATGTTATGAGTTGAAAAATAAATACATACTTAAAAAAATATGAATACAATGCATTTAAGACAATTAAATAACGTCACAACACTGAATCAGTGTTGAAGTTGTGTCCACGTAACACTAATTCTATACCCTTGTGAGAGGAAATGGCTAGTAGTGCAGAGGTTTTCTAAGAACTGAAATTGCTGAGCCTGATGCAAGGTGAAAAGGTGCTGCATTTCCGTAATGTTTACGTGATGTTCCCTTTGTTCTATGCTTCCTGTACAGAAACAACTATAACTATATAAAACAACATTTTATCAACGATATGTTCAAATCTGTCCTTATAGAATGATGCATTATTCTTACAGTGCTACACACTTATTTTGGTTTGCAACTCATTTTCAGTACAACTGATTCGCTCCCACATGCTTCTAACTTCTTATTTCTAAGAAATAATGACAGAAATCACTTTCTAAATTACTAGTAATTTAACAGACTGAGCGACTCTAATTTGAACCATTACATTTGACCTACAGTATGAGGTATGGGGAGTTTCTGGTTTGACAGCTGTAAACCACATACAGGTCACAATTCTATTTTTTCATTTTGGGTAACATGTCTGAGTTACAGTATTGCACTAATGCTGTACTGTACAGCATTGTAATCTGTACCATGTCAATTTACTTGGACCAGTCCATCATTTCCAAGCATTTCAACAAACTGGCTGTTACGGAGACAGACCTCTACAGACCATTACCGGACTCATTTCCCATTATGCTTTATATCATGTCTGATGACTCAGTCCTGTGAAGCATTGTTGTTGTTGATGACTTTCCTCTTGCGCAATGACACCAGGTCGTAGAAGGGGTCCTTGGTGATACTTGCTCTGAGGGAAAGACAGAGAGAAAAATAAGCCAAGTGTCCAAATCATCATCAAGTTCACTTCATCCCATTGATTGCCAGGTGTGGCCTGGTGCCAGCATTACAAGCCAAGTCATTTGTGAAGTGTATATGTGTAGTACAGGTATGTGTTAAGCCTGGGTTGAGGTATCTGACCTGATGGAGCCTATCCAGTCATCTCTCTCATCTGCTGTGGCGGCACTCATCCTGTAGGACTGGTGTTTCCCCTGCACCACCCTGCCTCCGTTCTCTGTCTTGCACGCCTTGATCTTCTGCCCTCTGGGGTTGTAGATCTCAAGACAATTCTGCTCACAAAGAAGCACACACATGCATACAAATGTTCACAAAACACACACCCAAGCCAAATTACTTTTTTCCAAAAAAGAAATGATCCCATAGTGTATTGGTCTAATTACTCCTAATCTTCCAGTTAAACCCTTCCTTCCTCATACAGAACTGATACTATGAGTCATACAGTGCCGTGACAGCTAAGAGAGTAGCTATGAGACTGAAACATCATAGAACAGGTGGCACTGCCATAAACCTCAGAAAGAAATATGCAGTCAGTGGAATACACAGTACCTGTTTGATTGAGTCTTCTATCTCTCTTACACAGAGGTTCTCAAGGGGAATGATCCCTATGGGGTCTTTATCCTGTGGGAGGAGGAGAGATGGTTTGGTCAAGGACTATAATTTAGCAGTAACTACTACCATCTTTTATCCTAAATTCCATTACTGGAAAACTCTATGACAAAGTTGGGGGTATAGCATACTCACTGTGGTATACACAAAGTAGTACAGACAGCTGTCTGTCAAAATAAACCACCGCCTCTTCCATGTTTTCACCCTTCCTCCTGCAGAGAGGAAAAGTTAACATTTCATTACACAAATGAAAAGTTTAATCAGACAATTCTACATCCAACACGCGCCATAAAGGAAATCAGATCATTGTGTGGTTGTAATGACTACTCAGGGAGAAAAACAGGAGCTGAGGCGAAGAGGCGTTTCAAGGTGTTGAAAGCAGTCAGTGCAGTATCAGTTCATTGAAGGGTCCGGGTTTTTTGGAGTTTTGAATAGATGTTGGCGTGGCCCACTTGTTCAAGGGTCGCTAGGATCAGAGGAAGAGGGAAACAGTTCTTGACCGTAATGTCATTCAGGGAACGGTAATCAATACATGGACGAAGACCACCGCACTTTTTTCCAACGAAGAAGAAGCTGGACGCAGCCGGAGAAGAATGATGAATTACTCAAACGGTTTAATTCGTCCATGTAGTTCTCCATTGCCTCATTTTCCGGGATAGGTAGGGGGTAAACACGGCCCTTCGGTGGGGACACTCCAGGGAGTAAGTCAATAGCACAGTCCTCTGGGCAATGTGGTGGCGGAGTGGAGGCCTTGATTTTGCTGAAGACATTGCTGTACTGGGCGTATTCAGATGGTATGGTGGGTGGCACTGCAGAGGCAGAGTCCTCAATGGTGGTGGCTCTGCAGGGTAGGCTGAGACAACTGGTGAAGCAGGTAGAAGACCAGGACAGTAGTTCACCTTGTCGCCACGAGATGGCAGGGTTGTGACAACAAAGCCAGGGGTGTCCGAGGATGAGTGGCTGTTTGGGGGATGAGAGTTCCATGAGTTTAATGGTTTCGGTGTGGAAGACTCCAATCTGGAGGGTAACGCTCGGTGTCAGGTGAGTAATGAAGCCCGTGCCCAATGGCTGCCCGTCTGGGTGTTAATCCTTTAAGGAGGGGTGACAGGTGTAAGATCAATGTCAAGCTCTTGTACTAGCTGGTGATCAATAAAACTACCTGCTGCTCCCGAATCTAGCAAGCCCTCTACGTACTTCGTAACCCCCTTCACGGTTATTAATACTGGGATGGAGAATTGCTTCTGGGAGATATTTAGAAATACGGACCCGCCTACCTGCATGGCAGCGGAGGGACCCTTCTCATCTCTCCATGGGGGGGCGAACAGGGCAATGGCTGAGTAGATGATCTTTCCCTCCACAGTATAGGCAGAGCCCTTCTTGGATCCGCCTTTGACGTTCGATACATGGGAGAGGAGCATGACCCAACTGCATGGGCTCTGGAAGACTCAGACGGGATCATGGAAAGAGAAGGTTTCGGGTTCCTGGGTGGCAGAGTTCTTCGGTGGTCGGTGATGAGGTGGTCGATGGAGCTGGACATACGAATATATTGATTTAAATCCTGAAGGTAGACGGTAAGTAAAGCAGCCTCACTCCATCCACTCCCTGCAGACATGGTGCGGAACTCGAGGGCACACACGGCAGCTGAATTGCGTCCTTGTTGAAGGTCTATGAGGAGGTCCCCTATAGGACGACCGGAAATAGAGTGATCGAATACCTCTTTGAAGAGGGTGTGGAAATGGGTCTCGGATCCGAGTTCTGTGCTGTTGGCAGTCCATATGGCGGTGGCCCAATCCAGGGCTTTGACTGTGAGTAGAGACACAACAAAATCCATCCTGCTCTTGTCGGTGGCGAAGTTAGTGGGGTTGTGCTCAATGTATTTGCTGCATTGCATCAGAAATCCCTGACATTTCCCAGGTGAACCGTCATATTTTCCAGGCATGGATATGAATGAAGGAGGGCTATGGGTTACGATAGCTGGCATCGGAGGAGTAGAGATAGGCTGGCAGAGAAGATGGCCGATTACCTCCATACGCTCCTCTTGCCAGGTTAGGCGCCACTGTAGCTCCGCTGAATCCATTCCGTTTTTGGTGAGGTATTCTGTAATGAATACTCAGGGAGAAAGGTGTAGATTCACGCGCAGAGCCCGGCAGGTGTTTATTACGCAGAGCGCGGCAGGTGTTTATCACGCCTTCGCAGAAGGCAGGAATCGTGGTCACAGGCAGGCAATGGTCATACACAGGTAGGCAAACAGGCAGGTGAAACAAAACTAGGACTGAAGGCTAAAACTGGTTCTCACAAACAAGCTAGGAAAAGGCTTAGTAGAGTCAAAACGAACAATACCTCACAAAGCACAAACAGAAAGAACTGAACTAAATAAGGAGCTGATGAGACCAGGTGAGTAACTAACACAGGTGAAATCAAGGAACAAAAATGAAAGACAGGGCTACGTTCAAGAACACAAAGAAACAGGGCTGCGTTCAAGAACACAAAGAAACAGGGCTACGTTCAAGAACACAATGTGAACTAAGAAAATAAATACAGAACCTTACAGTGGTAAGCTTATTTTTAATGCTTGGTAATGGCACAATGATAAGACAATTCTCTCAGCTAGTGATATTGCTAATCATCTCACCCATTTTGAGCAGCCAACCCTCTCTGTCCGGGTTGAAGAAGGTGTGTGTGAGGTCGTTCCCATCATCCTCTGGGATTTTGAATGGCTCGTTCCGAATGCTCTCATAGAGTTTCTGGATTTAATGAGGTAGTATATGAGAGTTAACTACAGCTACAGACAATAACAACCAAATACGAGTCACATTCTGAGAGTGGAGTTAACTCCTGACCTCTGACCCCTGAGGCCTCACCATGAGCAGGTCATTGGGCAGGTCACCCCCATTGTTGATGCCTCTGTTCATACTGAAGAAGTGCTCCAGAGTGGGCTTGTCCTTCACGTTGGGGTTATGGAGACTGGTATTCAGCATGATGACGGCAAAGGACAGGATGTAGCAGGTGTCTGTTTGAAACACCCACACATTTTATTACTGTTGGGTCAATGATATTTATTTGCATCCTTAATCAGCCTCACTTTTGAGAAATGATTTGAATATGCCTCAAAATGTACTCCTCAACCCCCTCCCCATCTGTCTTGCTGATCTGTCAGTGTTGGGAGTCAGCAGCATGGTAGAGGAGGCTGGTGCCTGTGCAGTACAGTACTGTACAGTACCTGTTGACTGGAAGACCCCTGCATTACAGTCACAGTAGCGTGTAGCGAATGCCTCCATCATCCTATCAATCTTCTGGGCTTCTCCAGGGAGACGGAAACTCCACAGGAACTGCCTACAGGGATGAGCCAGGGAACAGACAGGGATCAGACAGGATTTACTCTGGAAATGAATATCTTTCAAAGGCTAATAATGAGAATATGTTGATGTATGAGTGTAAAAGCTGTACCAGTGTAGTGCAGAACTAACCTCAGTGCCTGCACCAGATTCAGGTCGGAGAACTCATGAAGTTCTACAAAGGCTTTCAGAGTTTGAAGGTGCATTTCCTCCCTGCATGAACACAAACAAGAGGCAAATCAGTGAGATGGAGATGATTGAGATAATGACTGGTTATGATAGTCATCATTATCCCCATCAACAAAGCCATCATTATCTTGGTCATGTTAAGAAGCATTGTGTACCTCTCTCCCAGGAAGTTCCCTATGGCTGTCTTGTTCAGTCCTTCCTCTTTGTATAGGAACTCAGCCACTGCCTCTGCTGTCCACTCCAACAGGTCATTGTCAACCAGGTACTGAATACCCTGGAGGAAGAGGCCATGACAAGTCAATGAACACATGTATGAATTTGGAAGATATGAATGCATTGACGTATACTTAAAATAAAAAAGAGCAGAAATCATAATGAGGTCCAAAGCACTGTAATGTGCAGTAGTGGTCATGCACATATGAACATTCTGTATGCATTGTCTGACATTCAGAGAGAGCCACTGGAAGCAATATATATTATTATATCTAAACAATGCAGAGCTTCCAGCTAAAGAAACCCTTGACTGGATCTCTTGCCTCTGCACAAACCCAAACACAGGCTTTTCTCCAGGGTGGTCATACAGGCCAGGGGGACTTTATATTATGGGTTTGACCTCTCTTCAGATGAGAGGAAAGGAGGAGTGTTTGTGGTTTGAGCAGGAGTGTGCGCCTCCGCTCCTCTTCACGGAACAGGATGTGGTTCTCTCTCTCTTTCTCTCCCCCTCTCGCTGCCCCCGCACAGCTTGCACTTCTGCACATAAGTCACATCACTCGCTCAACATTCGTTCATTTATTGTGTCAGATTATTTGCTCTGTCATCTTGCAGTTAACTATTTGACCTTCTAGCTGTGGCAAGCCTCCGTCAGTAGAGGTGATAACTATACACATCTCTACTACTTCCATTCTAGAATTGAAGCACTTCACATTTCGGGACATATCTGATCAGTATGTATTTGTGTTTAGTGTATTCCATATTGAGTAATGTTATATACAGTTGATGTTATGTGTAGGGACCTGACTTTGTCCTAACCAGAGAACCAGGAAGAACTAAGGGCCCTAATTACAGTGCGTGACATGAGCTCACCTTTTTAGGGTCCATGTTGAATTTCTTTTTCCCACATAAGAACCTCTTGTTTCTCACAACATTTTTGCTGAAGAGAGACAAAGACAAAACAGAAGAAAGATTGAAAAAGGTTAATGACAACACTTTTACCCATAAGTGTTATACTAGCTACAGTATGTGTCCACTGTATCAGAGATGACACACAGTGAGAGTGAAGGCAGCTGGGGTTGTCCTGCCAGGAACATGTCACAGTATTTCATGCTGCTGACATTTAAGAGGTTTACCACATTCCTGTAGCTGCTAGTGAAGAAACAGGAAACACACATATACAGAGGGGCCTTACAGATGGGGGGGCAGAATCTGTTCTTGTTCTGTAGGACAACGCCCCCAGATGCCACTTATGAGGATGAGGAGGTGACCACAGTGGGGGGGGGGGGGGGGGGGGGTTTCATGGGGTGCAGCACCCTCTGCTCCACTACTTCCCGCGGCTATGCCTCCATACCTTTCTTAGTTTGAGTTAGGGAGGGATAGGACATCAGAGATGTGGGAGGGGCCTCTTTGTCAAGATGGATGTCAGGAAGTATTGTTGATCTGGTGTTTGGGCTGTGATAGATTCAAAAGAAGCTACCACACACTGCAAAGTGTTACTGTAGCTTACTCTCCCACAGAGGAAGAGGCCTACTGGTCAATGGTAACCTATCTGAATGAGCCATTGTGCAAGCTCTAACTTACTTCTCCTCGTCCGCCTCAATGTTGTGGATTTCCGTCATGACGCTGTCAATCTCCAACCTCAGCTTCTACACAAGGGGAAATGATGTCAAATGGATGAGATGGTAATATGTGCTATTTTAACCATAGGTGACTCAATCCCTTGGTCCATACAGTACAGAGGTGCAGGGTCAGTCTATTCATAAAACTGGACCTTTCTGAGATGTCATAACTTTTGAGGGAGGCTTTGTGAATGTAATATATGTTGTAGGTAATGTCACAATACAGTTAGTTTTATTCTGGCAAAATGCAGTTTTATAAAGCATTTTGACTGTACATAAAGAGCAATGGTTGAGAGCATGATTTACTGTACCTGAATGTCATCTAATAGGTCACTCTTGTGTAACTTCATGGTGTCTATCTCCTGCCTCTCCACTGAGCTAAGCATTGTGGAAGCTGTAGAATAGATTGTACACACAAACATAAACACACAGATGAAAACATCATTAACATCAAATGCATAAACGAAGCAGTCCGACAAAACCACTAATTGAGACATCTTCCTGTATACACTGAAAATATCAAAGGTGTCAGAAATTTGCCTTGACAACCACCCTCACACCAACCCTAGCATAACTCAACCTACTGCACTTCTCAGCACTAGCTAAATATAACTGCTGAACTTCTCTTCTACAGAATGAACACCAGTAATGTCCATTAGTAGCTGATCTGCTCTAGTCTTGTCCTCATAACAGCTTCTCACCGTTTTTAGATGAGGGTTATAGACACACCTAAAATACATATTCATTACTCCCTTTTCAGGTTATAACTAGACAATACAACATTATAACAAGACAATACAACATTATAACTACACAATACAATATTATAACTAGACAATACAACATTAAAACAAGACAATACAACATTATAACTAGACAATACAACATTAAAACTAGACAGTACAACATTATAACTAGACAATACAACATTAAAACTAGACAGTACAACATTAAAACTAGACAGTACAACATTATAACTAGACAATACAACATTAACTAGATAATACAACATTGCCAAACTCCATCTACCATGACAATTAGATTTGTGAACACTATACCGAGAGCAACACCTCTGGACGTTACTTGATAGTCAGTAATGAGAACTTGAGGTATATGAAGGCTATATGACAACAATATGCCTCTATAAAGTCAGGTGGTGCTATAATAAACTGAATAACATTCATCACCGTGGTAAAAGTGATCAAAACAAACCACTTGTATCCATTGAACACTGCTGACTTTATAACACAGTGTATGTAGGTCATGGTAAAGAGACTGAAAGCACAATATTTACTGTAGACTGTAGTGGGTATCTATTGTGAAGACAGGTACTATATCATTACACTTTCTTATTAGTGTGTTTCAATTTCCTTTCTCAAGTAAGATATTCACAGCAACAGCTCAACCCCCCATTGTCTACTGACACTTCAAAACTTCATCATCTTACAGAAAGACACTAATGTGTTGTTCATTGTGTTAATCCCCAGCTACTATAGCCTAATTAGGGATGTTAAATTGCAAAATGGACTGTAAAACGTAAAAACCTTACCTTTTCCCCAGAGGAAGCTGTCTTTTCTTTGGCTGCCCATGTTGGAGGTGTTGGAGAGAGACTGTGGCTGTACAGGAAACGTGTCAGTGTTGAAGTACTGCATAAACTACACTGCCAATACCATCCTCAAAACATAATGACCTGGCCACCTAAAGTCAGTGCTGTTACTGAACAACAAATAACATATACAAGTAAAGAAGGTGTGTGTGTGTGTGTCTGTGCGTGCGTGCGTTTGTGTGTGTGTGTGTGTGTGTGTGTGTGTGTGTGTGTGTGTGTGTGTGTGTGTGTGTGTGTGTGTGTATTGACAGGTGATACCAGTTCGAGATAGATCTAATGCACAATATCCAGAATTATTCAGCGGTCAGTGTAAATATGTAGCCCACATAAGTGAACTTAAGTCATTTGAAAATCACTTGTGCTGAACTCAAACAACCACAGATTGAAACTCTGGGGAGACTAATAGATCAACCAATTGCTTACCTTCATAAATAGATGTGTGAGGTCATGAGAGAGTCATTAAGTTCTGACAAGACTCATGTAGACATGTACAGTAGATGGGAAGAGTGCTTCAGGCAGGGGTGGAAGCCACTTGTGACGTCTCAAGTCAAGTACCATGCCCAGAGTTGCGCAGCTCAAACTGTGAGCGCGTTCGTAAATTCACTCTAGCGTGCCAGAATTCAGAGCGTTGTCAGTTTGTCAGTTTGTAAATTCAGAGCGTTTCGCTCTCGGAGCGTTCAGAGCACTGGACGCTCTGGCCGAGAAGTAGGGTTGATCCGAGCGTTCTGACCTCAGCTGGTTAGGCGGTTTTCATGTTATATAGAACGTTCGTGACTGTAACTGTGCTGCTGGCAACAATTTCATTAAACATTTTTGCAGACGTTTACTGACACCGGTCATATTCAACGGGTATTGCATGTTCGTAAATTCATCAGTTATTCTGCACTACTGCACACTCAGACGAGAGTGCTCTGAAATCGGAATAGATGGCAAGAGTGCATTTACGAGCGCACCCCTAGGCATCAAAAGTGTTTTTTATAAATCCACTACTTTTTGAAATTATATAATTCACTGACTACTTCTTAGTTAGGCCTATAAGCGGTATTTTCAGATTGTTCATGTTCATTTACAGATTTCTGCAACAATAAAACATAGAACTTCTGTGAGTAGGGGCTAGTTGTCAGCCCAGTTTATATAACTTGTGTGAGTATAGGCTACTTGTCAAACGCTGGGCCCAGTTTCTTGATATATGGCACCATCTAGTGAAAATAAAACGGAAGTGCATAACACTGTCATACAGCCTAGGTGAAAAAAGTGTGTGCGCACTTGGACAATAAAGTCATAGCCTAGATATGCTTAAATGTCAGTGTGAGTCATAATATCAGCTTCTGAAAGCTTCACTGAGCATTTTGTTAATCAAATTTGAAGGACATTAATATCACAGTTTCACAAAGGCCTACTTCCTGCTATCAGAGATGTGCTTCAGTAGACCCAATGATAAACTTCGCCGCATTCAAGTGCGCAGCGCAAGAGTAAGAGTCGGGGCGGTGGGCAGATAAGATAGGCAAACTTATTTCCTGTACTGTACCTGATTCTACATTGTTGTCTTGCCTACTAAGTGTACATTTACAAGTTGTTAAATCAACGCCTGGAAAATGCAAGCCATCAAGTGTGTGGTTGTTGGAGATGGGTAAGTTCTTTAAGTTATCTATGCGTGCAGTTCATGAAGTGGTAGGCTACTTTGATTTGGGTGTGTTAATAAGTGGACATTTTGAAAAACTCTCTACTTAGCCTTCTTTTCAAGTGTCTATTAATTGGGAGATACATTTTTCTCTGTGTATTGTACTACACATTCTTGTGTCAAGAAACAACTTCTGTTTTTTATGAATTAATTTGTTTCATATTGCATATTGGAGCTACAGTAATGTGGAATGTATGAACTTTTTATTTGAATTTGGTTGTCATACTCTTAATGATGAGGTTATTGTATGCAGTTTGTATGCAGTTTGCACTCCTCATAGCTGTTGTCTGTCAGCTTGATAGACTTGAGGGTGGCAAAGTTGTAAAAGGTGCCACAGAACAATCTAACCTTGTTCTAATCTCTATTAGCTAGACAAATAAATAATACTTTCAAGTAACAGTCCTTTTGTGTACAGTATTAACCTTGATGTCCAGAAGCTCAATAGGTCTGATCCTTATAACAGAGAATACAACAATATAATGATGCCCTCAAGGCAGGAACTTCCCAGTAGAGCAAACCTCTTAACTGTAAAACAGGCCACATAATTAACTCACTTTAAGTTCCTAATTTGCATGTGCAGTTTTAACATCAGGTTGAGGAATTTAAAGATGACTTGCTAATGTATTGTTTAACAGTCCTTAAATAAATAAGGAAGAGACAGTGTAGCAATACACACCGAATTCAGAAGGCAGGAAGGAAGTGCCTACACTCTTAGAAAAAAAAGTGCTATCTAGAACCTAAAACAGTTCAACGGCTGTCCCCATAGGAGAACGCTTTGAAGAACCCTTTTGGTTCCAGATAGAACCCTTTTGGGTTCCATTTAAAAACCTTTTCCACAGAGGGTTCTACGTGGAACCCAAAAGGGTTCTCCTATGGGGACAGCCAAAGAACCCTTTTGGAGTGTATGCAAGATTGGTGACAAGTTGAATAAGACAAAATGGATGCTGAGATGCTAGCAGGAGATTGGGATCCGTGGGTGTAATGTCTGTAGGAGAGAGGAGATGGAGAGTAGCTGTTGATAATGAGGGCCTCGATTAAAGAACATTTACAAAGACACAGACAGCAGTCAGTAAGGTCAATGCAGTCTTTTCCTGTTTTCTGTTCGTTAATCCTCTTCTCTTTTTGTAAAAGATAAGTTCTCCTATGCTGCTTTTATCCTCCAGTTTAAGTTCCTCTTTGGTCTGTGGTGCACTCTGTCTGATGGTTTATAAAGGAACAAAAACACAGCTGCCACCTAAAACACAGTCACCTTTAACACCCACAACACCACTCTCATACACGGTCGATTCAAAGACCAAAGACACATTTTAGCTTGTTTTTTGTATTTCGACAAAGTGCAGTTATACAGCAAATGGCCTATATTCAACAGGAAACTTCAGCTTTAGAAAAGTAAGTGAAGTGGATTTACACCCAGTAGCAGAATGGAATTTCATCATGGGTCCCTGATCTGTACTACACAGAAATGCATAGTTATGGATATGAATGTCATTATCTTCATGGTGATATATCCTAAATAGGTACACAAAGTTAGAAATATACATATTTGGGTATTATTCTACACACTGGCTATTGTTTGAATGAGCTCCGCCACCAAACAAAACTACATTTGGTTGGTCTGGACTGGACCAACTCTGGACATCAAAGTACAGCACAGTAGTTGTGATGGGGGAAAAATCGATACAGTTACATATCGGGATATTATTTTTGATTGTACTCGTTTTGACAATATCGCAATATTATTATACGAGTCATGAAGACAGTCAAATTCCACGTGACCGTTTAGTCACGGTAATTAGGCTTCTCCAAGCTCTGATGCTGCAGATGGTCATTAGTAGCCTGCCAAACTTGCTAACTGCCTGGTACTCAGCACTCTATTGTCCCTCTAATCACTCTGACATCAATGCAAATGTGTTCGAATATCTAATCAAACACTTCATGAGAGTCCATGAGCTCATGTTGCGCAACATTTCAATAGGCTATGCAGTTGTGCGTGAAAACAGAGTGATGGCCTCTACTGAAAAGAGGAGGATCAGCTTTCTATAGGCTAGGCCTATTATATTTATTTGTCAACATTCCTAATATTATGCACTTTGCTTATATTTACAACAGGAGTATAGCCTACCTGGCTGGCATGAAAATAAACCATGGGGAAAAGTGTCCTCCATTCGCTATTTATGTTTCGATACAGGTGCATGATAATGGTCCATTCTAAATCAAAACGAATTTCACACATATATTATTTAGTATATGTAAGACAAATTAAAGTCAAGTACCGTCCAACTATGACAGACAAATGAGGAAAAAAAAATCCAGAAAATCACATTGTAGGTTTTTTTTTAATGATTTAATTTGCAAATTATGGTGGGAAATAGATTTGGTCAATAACAAAAGTTCTCAATACTTGTTATATACCCTTTGTTGGCAATGACACAGGTCAAAACGTTTTCTGTAAATCTTCACAAGGTTTTCACACATTCTGGTATTTTGGCCCATTCCTCCATGCAGATCTCCTCTAGAGCAGTGAGTTTTGGGGCTGTCGCTGGGCAACACAGACTTTCAACTCACCTCCAAAGATTTTCTATGGGTTGAGATCTGGAGACTGGCTAGGCCACTCCTGGACCTTGAAATGCTTCTTACGAGCCATCCTTCGTTGCCCGGGCGGTATGTTTTGGGATCATTGTCATGCTGAAAGACCCAGCCACGTTTCCATCTTCAATGCCCTGCTGATGGAGGAGGTTTTCACTCAAATCTCACGATACATGGCCCCATTCTTCTTTCCTTTAACAAGATCAGTCTCCTGGTCCTTTGCAGAAAGACAGCCCCAAAGCATGATGTTTCCACCCCCATGCTTCACAGTAGGTATGGGTTCTTTGATGCAACTCCGCATTCTTTGGTCCTCCAAACACGAGTTGAGTTTTTACCAAAAAGTTCTATTTGGTTTCATCTGACCTATGACATTCTCCAATCCCTTCTGGATCATCCAAATGCACTCTAGCAAACTTCAGACGGGCCGGACATGTACTGGCTTAAGCAGGGGGACACGCTGGCACTGCAGGATTTGAGTCCTGGGCGTAGTGTGTTACTGATGGTAGGCTGTTGTTACTTGGTCCACTCTTGCCGTCATTCACTAGGTGGTTCTGGGATTTTGCTCACCGTTCTTGTGATCATTTGACCCCACGGGTGAGCTCTTGCGTGGAGCCCCAGATCGAGGGAGATTATCAGTGGTCTTGTATGTCTTCCATTCCTAATAATTGCTCCCACAGTTGATTTCTTCAAACCAAGCTGCTTACCTATTGCAGATTCAGTCTTCCCAGCTGTGCAGTCTACAATTTGTTTCTGGTGTCCTTTGACAGCTCTTTGGTCTTGGCCATAGTGAGTTTGGAGTGTGACTGTTGAGGTTGTGGACAGGTGTCTTTTATACTGAAAACAAGTTCAACAGGTGCCATTATACAGGTATGAGTGGAGGACAGAGGAGCTCTAAAGAGAAGTTACAGGTCTGTGAGAGCCAGAAATCTTGCTTGTTGTAGGGTGACCAAATACTATTTTCCACCATAATTTGCAATAATTCATTAAAAATCCTACAATGTGATTTTCTGGATTTTTTTCTCCTCAATTTGTCTGTATAGATGTCTATATGAAAATTACAGGCCTCTCTCATCTTTTTAAGTGGGAGAACTTGCACAATTGGTGGCTGACTAAATACTTTTTTCCCCCACTGTATGCACCTCGGAATTGGATAAGGACGTGCGCATGCGCGCGATGTGTCTGTCTTCACTTGTAGCCTGTGAGAAAGACCCGATCACGTGATGGAGAGCCGTGTGAGAGAGATGGGAGGTGCTTTGGAGCGGGCAGCATTTAGGGAGGTGCTGCAAAAGGCATGGATTTTTTTGGGGTGCATAATGGCCACACAAAGGGGATGCCACCATGAAATTCAAAGCATTATCAAGTGCTTCTCAAATTGTGAATGAGAGACTGACGAAGTGTGTACAGCCTGCGCAAAAAAACAAAGCAGAGCTCATGCCTTTCAAGTGACTTTTTTCAAATTATCATTAGAGTTGCATCATGCAGCCTTACGATGTATTAAAAATCAAAACATATACCCCAATGTTTGTAGAACAACTAAAGCTACATTAATAACTCTAAATTAAGCATAATAATATAATATGCCATTTAGCAGACGCTTTTATCCAAAGCGACTTACAGTCATCATATAGGAGTACCTGTTTCTTTGTTAATCCTTTCTATTTTATTCAGCTTTGTTCAATTGTATTCTTCATACTATAAAATAATATACAGTTGAAGTCGGAAGTTTACATACACCTTAGCCAAATACATTTAAACTCAGTTTTTTCACAATTCCTGACATTTAATCATAGTAAAAATTAGCTGTCTTAATAATAGTAATAATATGCCATTTAGCAGACGCTTTTATCCAAAGCGACTTACAGTCATGTGTGCATACATTTTTACGTATGGGTGGTCCCGGGGATCGAACCCACTACCCTGGCGTTACAAGCGCCATGCTCTACCAATTGAGCTACAGAGGACCAGTTAGGATCGCCACTTTATTTTAAGAATGTGAAATGTCAGAATAATTGTAGAGGGAATTATTTATTTCAGCTTTTATTTATTTCATCACATTCCCAGTGGGTCAGAAGTTTACATACATTCAATTAGTATTTGGTAGCATTGCCTTTAAATTGTTTAACTTGGGTCAAACTTTTCGGGTAGCCTTCCACAAGCTTCCCACAATAAATTGGGTGAATTTTGGCCCATTCCTCCTGACAGAGCTGGTGTAACTGAGTCAGGTTTGTAGGCCTCCTTGCTCGCACACGCTTTTTCAGTTCTGCCCACACACTTTCTATAGGATTGAGGTCAGGGCTTTGTGATGGCCACTCCAATACCTTGACTTTGTTGTCCTTAAGCCATTTTGCCACAATTTGGAAGTATGCTTGAGGCCATTGTCCATTTGGAAGACCCATTTGCAACCAAGCTTTAACTTCCTGACTGATGTCTTGAGATGTTGCTTCAATATATCCACATAATTTTCCTTCCTCATGATGCCATTTATTTTGTGAAGTGCACCAGTCCCTCCTGCAGCAAAGCACCCCCACAGCATGATGCTGCCACCCCCGTGCTTCACGGTTGGGATGGTGTTTTTCGGCTTGCAAGCCTTCCCCTTTTTCCTCCAAACAAAAACTTCTATTTTTGTTTCATCAGACCAAAGGACATTTCTCCAAAAAGTATGATCTTTGTCCCCATGTGCAGTTGCAAACCGTAGTCTGGCTTTTTTATGGCGGTTTTGGACCAGTGGTTTCTTCCTTGCTATGCAGCCTTTCAGGTTATGTTGATATAGGACTCGTTTTACTGTGGATATAGATACCTTTGTACCTGTTTCCTCCAGCATCTTCACAAGGACCTTTGCTGTTGTTCTGGGATTGATTGGCACTTTTCGCACCAAAGTACGTTCATCTCTAGGAGACAGAACGCGTCTCCTTCCTGAGCGGGTATGATGGCTGCGTGGTCCCATGGTGTTTATACTTGCGTACTATTGTTTGTACATATGAACGTGGTACCTTCAGGCGTTTGGAAATTGCTCCCAAGGATGAACCAGACTTGTGGAGGTCTACAAATTTCTTTCTGACTTCTTGGCAGATTTCTTTTGATTTTCCCATGATGTCAAGCAAAGAGGCACTGAGTTTGAAGGTAGGCCTTGAAATACATCCACAGGTACACCTCCAATTGACTCAAATGATGTCAATTAGCCTATCAGAAGCTTCTAAAGCCATGACATCATTTTCTGGAATTTTCCAAGCTGTTCAAAGGCACAGTCAACTTAGTGTATGTGAACTTCTGACCCACTGGAATTGTGATACAGTGAATTATAGGTGAAATAATCTGTATGTAAACAATTGTTGGAAAAATTACTTGTGTCAAGGTAGATGTCCTAACCGACTTGCCAAAACTATAGTTTGTTAACAAGAAATTTGTGGAGTGGTTGAAAAACAAGTTTTAATGACTCCGACCTAAGTGTATGTAAACTTCCGTCTTCAACTGTAAAATAATGCCACGGAATTCTAAGCAAATCTTGTCTGCTAAATGAACTAGTGTAGCCCACAGCCATTTGCCATAGCCAGATCAGGACAACTCAGAGTATGCTATTCTGTTCTTCTGAAATAGACTATATTTTCTTCATATCATGCTTCTTTAGACCTGTCTAACATAAATAATGGATTTATTGTGAGACCGACAGTTATTTGCTTGACAATCACCGGCTGACTAAATTTCATGACCGCCACAGCCCTAACTGTACTGTACTGAACTATACTCAACTTTTCTTTACTGTACTGAACTATACACAACTTTTCTTTACTGTACTGTACTGAACTATACTCAATTATTCTTTACTGTACTGTACTGTGCTCTACTGTACTGTGCTCTACTGTAATGCAATGTACTGTACTGTGCTGTCCAAACTTTTGAACCAATCATGGATGTCTATGTTTGGACCAAATGAAGGCCGGTCCAGATGTCTGTGGATGTAAAAATCAAGGCCAGGTCAGACTAACAAAATGAAACTACTTTTCAACATCCATGGACGTCCGGTGTCGGTCAGTGCTCAGTGGGTGAGGATGCAGGTTACAGTAAATGGAAAGAGATGGGGCTCATGGGTAGGTGTCAGTAAGAGCCGGGAGAGGTGACATTAATGAGAGAGAGAGGGAGAGAGATACTTTAGAATGGTACACTTCATATGAGCTTCTATGCCCCTATCGTCCTGACTGTCACTCAGTGTCACCGCCCTGCCTCCTGCCAGCTCTGTGACACCCCGGTCCCCCTAGCCCCATGAAACAAATAGGCCAACAGCTTAATTCTGGAGTGTGGCATTTAGGTGGAAGTGTGATTTTGACATCTATATCCTCCTAGGTTGTCAGTTTTTTAGGCCAGCGCTTCTGACTGAGAAGTGAGAGCATTAAAAATTAACTCTGCCCAGCCAGTGGTAATGAGGTTGGTCTTTGAAGTCAGATGCTGTATATGTTGGATTCACACCGTGACATATCATCAAAAAGCATTAATGTGCTGTAACTTTTAACTACTGTAGCATGATTGGTACTTAGAGTAATTTGTTCCGTTGTAGAACTTTGAGTTGAAAAAGTAATTGCACTGTTGAAAGAGCACTTTTCAGATGCACCATAGAATATCACCTTTCACATGGTTCCATCAGGTTCATGTAGTAAGTTATCACAATGCTATCTTTGGATTTAGGATTTCCATCCGCCCCTTTCCCTTGTCCATCTGTGTGTGGGGGTAAGGAGAGAGAGGGAGCCTCATGCAGGAGGAGCAGGTGGAGAGTAGGAAGCACGGGAGCAACGGGCCCCTCCGCTTTGACTCAGTTAGACCACAGTCAACAGCATGTGTGTGTGAGTCAGAGGGTAGCAGAGATGGAGACTGCTCAACGACACACTAACTCCCACAGAGAGAGGGAAACAGACACCATCACACTACCCTGTATCTCACTCTCATATCACCTCTCTCTCTCTCTCTCTCTCTCTCTCTCTCTCCTCTCTCTCTCTCATATCACCTCTCTCTCTCTCTCTCTCATCACCTCTCTCTCTCATATCACCTCTCTCTCTCTCTCTCTCCTCTCTCTCTCTCTCTCTCTCTCTCTCTCTCTCTCTCTCTCTCTCTCTCTCTCTCTCTCTCTCTCTCTCTCTCTCTCTCTCTCTCCTCTCTCATGTTGCTATAACCAAAATACATTGACTTCAGTTAGTGTGAACAGAACTGTTTCTTGCCACCTAATATAATATACAGTAAGTTATTACTAATCATGTCTTCCACAAGGGCATAAACTGTGAATGTTTCTCCAGTGCTTTTCAATGGCATCTATCGGGTTTCTTCTACCCAACCTTGAATGCTAACCTAATGATGTTCAAGGTGGAGCCAATCTGTAGAAGAAGCTCATGGTAGCCTGCCTACGTATAGCCTGGGGTGTCACTTTCTAATCTTGCCCTAAAAACTTAACTCTGGGAGCACTCCTCAGACTAGGATTCCTTCCCTCGTGCCTGTACATGCAGGTGCGTGCTTCTTATTGGAATTTTACTGCAAAAACTCTGACTGTGACAAGGAGCTAGAGAAAGCTGATTACTGCTTCTCATAATGTAGGCAAGTTTGAAAGAAGCCAGTCATGCTGTTCATTCATCACATTGTACATGGTTAGAATGTCTATTGCCATTCATCATACTGTAGCAAGCAATAAGGACATTCTATTGGCATCTTCTTTGCACAGGGAAAATCAAGAACATTAGTTGGCGCGCTGTTGTTGTACCATTTTATCGTGAGTGGGAGTGGACCATGATAGACACCAAGCTGAATTTAATGATGGTATTCTGGCAAATATGGTTTAAGCTTTCCAAAAAAGAAATGTTAAAAGAATTGACGGAATCTGCAATTTCACGTTTTTTTTTAAACATCCATTTACAATTAATTTGCTCTCGCTTTTAAAAAGTATTTCCTTGCAATATTTTGTTTTGCTATCAATACTTTTGGATTTATGTTTTGCTTTCAATAACATTATTTTTGTTTGCAATAATAATAATTTTGTTCTCGACTTCAAAAGTTTTGCTTGATATTAATGGCACAAAATTAACTCACTCACTAGAGGATGGCACCATATAGTAACACTATTACTCTAAACTAAGGAGTTTAAAGCGGCAATCCTAAATTGAAACATTAACAAGTGTCCTCCCCGCCACAGTTTCAGTAAAAAGCTGAGGGATGGGGCTGGAGAAATGCAACCACTTTCAAATCCATAGACTACACTATGGATGCAAGGACTGACCATCCATGATATCACAATTATTGTTTTAACCATGTTTTAGGCAGTGTTTGTTTACATTAACTTTGTTAACAAACATTGAAGTAAATGTGGAGTTTCCTTACATTTTTACATGTGATTGTTTTTCACATGTGATTAGATTTTCACATGCAGAGTTTTTTTTACATGTGAAACTCCAAATGGGATTTTCTCATGTGAATGTTTTTCATGTGAAAATGCATGTGAAACTGCGAATTTGACGTGTTTTTTTTGTAAGGGAAGGGAGTTACTCTGACAGCTGGCAGCTACCCTGTAATGACTATAGGTTCTCTCAGTGTGTGCTTGAGTAAAGGTGTGGCTGTGTGTGTGTGTGTGTGTGTGTGTGCGTGCGATAGTGTGTCAATGTGCTATTGCAGCAAGAAAATGTGTGTATGTGTTGGCACACAACTGATTGCCCAATGTGTGTTTCAGTGCTGTGGGAAAGACATGCCTGCTCATCAGCTACACAACCAACGCCTTCCCTGGAGAGTACATCCCCACAGTGTAAGTACTGGACCACAGACAGACACAGTGGACATGATATGGCTGGTACAGTGCCAAATGTGTGGGCTGAATGGACAAACATCCTACATAATGCCAACAAAGGCCTACATAATGCAACCAATAACCAGAAATAGGAAGTATTGTAATATTCACAATAATTCTAGGGATTGGAATGCTAGATATTGACTTTACTTTCACAAACACCTATGGTATGCAGTTTATATACACTCAGTGGCCAGTTTATTAGGTACACCCATTTACTACTGGTCAGACCCCCCTTTACCTCCAGAACAGCCTGAATTCTTCGGAGCATGGCGTTCAATTGTTGCTCAATTGGTATCAAGGGACGTAATGTGGGGAGGGTTTGGCCGGCCGGGATGTCCTTGTCCCATCGCGCTCTAGCGACTGACTTCAGTCACCAGCTGTACGGTGTTTCCTCCGATACATTTGTGCGGCTGGCTTCTGGGTTAAGCGAGCAGTGCGCCTTTGCGGGGTCGTGTTTTGGAGGACGCATGGCTCTCGACCTTTGCCTCCCACCACGGTAGTTGCAGCGATGGGACAAGACTGTAACTACAAATTTGGATATCACGAAAAAGGGGTAAAAAGTAAAAAATTAAATAAAACGGTATATGCTGTGTAAGGTTTTCCACTGTGATTTGTTCTAGATGTAATGGACTCATTTGTCTTGCAGGTTTGATAACTACTCAGCCAATGTGATGGTGGACAGTAAGCCAGTGAATCTGGGACTGTGGGATACAGCAGGACAGGAGGACTATGACAGACTCAGACCTCTGTCCTATCCTCAGACGGTAACACACACACACACATATACAGAATCTCTATTACAAATTATATACAGTGGGGTCTGGAATTATTGACACCCTTGATAAAGATGAGCAGTAATGACTGTATACTGTAAAATGTATAATGGATGCTACCATGATTACGGATAATCCTGAATGAATCGTGAATAATTATGAGTGAGGGTCAAAGATCATACTCCCAAGACATGCTAAACTCCCCTGTTACTGGTAATGGTGAGAGGTAAGCATGTCTTATGACTTAAACTAAATCTCTTTGAATAATTGTATTAGTATAAAATTATATAATTTCACATTTATTTGGAGCACAGAATATAGCTCAGTATTTGCATGATACATTTTATACAATCATTTAACGGTCATCTTTATCAAGGGTGTCAATAATTTCGGACCCCACTGTACGTCTTCTACATCACTGATACACCTTTCTACCCTTCAGGACAACCCCATGTATTACTCCCTACACCTTCACTAACCAATGACCACAGTATATAAATCACTATATCCTAATCTGTTTACACCATCAACACATCTCCCTACTCCTTTAATACTACCATTGATCAGACGCTATGTTTGTCTCCTAGGATGTGTTCCTCATCTGTTTCTCTCTGGTGAGCCCAGCATCGTTTGAGAACGTCAGAGCCAAGGTGAGTGGATTCTGTATGATCTTTATGGCTGTTGTGCTACAATGTATAGGTACATATAGTATGCAATACACACTTACATATTCTATTTGATCCGCCTCCTGTGTTTTCCTCTGCACTTAATGCAGGGATAGCAGATTACATTGTTTTCATAATGTAGGTGTTGATTGGCATTGATTGATACAGCACGATTATAAAGGTTGCAGCATCCCCCAGAGCTGCAGTATATAGCATACATTATAGGTTAATATACGGAGAGATTAACGTGTCAATACTGTTGATCACTCCTAAAGCACTTACCTTTCTGTGAATATAGATGAGTCATCATTATATTTACATTTTAGTCATTTAGCAGACGCTCTTATCCAGAGCGACTTACAGTTAGTGAGTGCATACATTTTCATACTGCCCCCCCTGTTAGTAATACAGAGGTGGTTGATGGAAAACAGAGCAAGAAAACAGTAGTATGCCAGTTAATCTATTAAATGCCCATCATGATTAAGATAATGATAGTTGGCCTGTGAAATGAGTCTAAACACATAGAGAAATCAATAATTGTATAATGGATAGGCTACTCTGGTTTACCTGCTTTCAATAGAAAATTGAAGTGTACTGTATAATAAAACTAACATATTGCAGATTCTGGCATTTCTAGTACAGTAATAAGATATAGTCCAATGGGCAACAAATATGTTTTATATTTTAACTATGTCTGAGTAATGCTATTATCAATAGTTGTTTTGTGTTCTGCTGCTTTCAGCTCTACCTATTGCTGCAAAGGCCATGGTTTATTCGCTTAAGTCAGACAGTCATAAATTAAGTATTTCAAATCCAAGGACTAGAACAACACATCTATTCAGGTAGCACGTTGCATACCCATTGGATTCTTCGCCAATGAACCTCACTCCATTTGAATAGGATATAGAAATCTGTTCATCAACAGAAATCAATCATATTCATTCAGGTTTACGTCAGAGAGAGGTAATCATCTCTTCTTTAACGGAGTCAAACATGGATGTCCCATGTGAACTTAACTCCCATAATGCACGCTGAGACCTCGACCTACTCCCCCGGCTAACTGTCAGGGTCTGTGTCTTTTCACTGCACGGGGCACGCATTCCACATGTTACCATGGCAGCTCTCAGCTACTGCTGAACGAAGCTGTCCTTGAGCCCTCTATCGCTCTTCCACCGTTCTGATGAAAAGGAGAAGATAGTAATTGTCCCATCCTGTCTCTCCATCTCCATCTCTCCAGAAGTCATGGTGTTTAGAACTGACACATTACTATAGAAGTTGAATTCACATCAAAGCTATAAAATCACCAAAAAAGCCTGCCAAACTTGACCCTTTTCAGACGCTTTTATTGTTGCTTCTTCTCATACCATTGCGTCAGCCATAGGCTTTGTCAAATGACAGCAAAGTGTCTGACTCCTCTGACTACAATGTCAACCGTTTGAATTGAGCTAATTAGTTTGGGAACTGTCAGTGTTGGAGTTATATCAAGGGCAGTGGAGATCAAAAAATAATGAGATTTGATCAATCTGCTTTACTTGATATGACATTGTCAAAACAACCCTAATATGGTCCAGAGTGGTCTGAAGGCAGGTCTGGTAGGTCGCTAAAAAGCATGAATGTGCTATCTATTCTACTGCATAGACTTGGTGCTCAAACTAAGGGGGGGGGAGGGGGGGGGGGGGGATTGTTCTTGATATTGGCAATTATTGAAAAGACCAGCGTTAATCCATTCCAATTTGTGCCGTTTTGAATCGCACCGCTTGCCCAAATGACTTTACTCAGCCCTTTAATTTATGATTAGCTTCAAACAATAGCAATCTCGCTTCTCCAGCCCTTATGTAAATGTTTGCCTCTTTTCACATTTCAAGAACAAAATTCTTTATTAGTTTTTTCCTCCTCTCTCTCCATCTTTCTCAGTCTGTTTTTTCATGGCATGTTCCCAATGAGTCTCCATGGTAACATTGCCCATGTATGCAAATGGAGCCTTGGTAGATTAGCAGGCTTTCAGGTGACATTAGGATCTATTTAAAATGGAAGGTAGGCTACAGACTGTGTGGGGGAAGAGTCACAGCCATGTAGCGTGTTGCTCCCACTAACCCACCCATGTCACTCTGGTAATTGCCTGTCAAAAGGAGATTCAATTGACCCGTGTTATCTCTGATTATTGCCATGGTACACCTCCTACTGCTATCACCATTTTGGATCAACGGGAGATCAATAATCAATTAGCCATCGCTCCAATCTTCTCCTGAGAAGGTTTGTCTTCCATTATCATAACACTGTACTGGCCAACTCATGTCTTAAACTAGCAGAATTAAATTCCCTCACTCAGTTTCAGAGAGATACAGAGGGATTTACTAGTAAACTAAAGGTGCCATTTTCTAAAACACAGAATTGCCCATCATCTCCCCACACCACTAAATGAATGTGTTTCCATTTCATCCAGTCAGCCTCGATGGAAGTTAGAGATTATTTAACTCATGGCACCATCGCCTTTCTTAGTAGGAAGCTGGGAAGTGTTATTTGTTAAAGTGATATCTGTTACCTGTCCTGGTATATAGAGAACCATCCTTTAATCTCTCCTCCACAGAGTCTGTGAGGGTCAGGGCAGAGGTAACCCCTTAGTTCCTGAATAGTGAAAGCCTTTTATTGTAAAGCTCATCTTCAAATCAAAAATCACATTTTATTTGCCACATGCGCCGAATACAACAGGTGTAGACCTTACAGTGAAATGCTTACTTACAAGCCCTTAACCAACAATGCAGTTTTAAGAAAATAAAAAGTGTTAAGTAAAAAATAGAAAGTAAAAAATAACAAATAGCTGCAGTAAAATAAAATAACAGTAGGGAGGTTATATACAGGGGGTACTGGTTCAGAGTCAATGTGTGGGGGCACCGGTTAGTCGAGGGAATTGAGGTAATGTACATGTGGGTAGAGTTAAAGTGACTATGCATAGATAATAAACAGAGTAGCCATGGTTATCTGTTCAGGAGTCTTATGGCTTGGGGGTAGAAGCTGTTAAGAAGCCTTTTGGACCTAGACTTGGCGCTCCGGTACCGCTTGCCGTGCGGTAGCAGAGAGAACAGTCTATGACTAGGGTGGCTGGAGTCTTTGACAATGTTTAGGGCCTTCCTCTGACACCGCCTGGTATAGAGGTCCTGGATGGCAGGAAGCTTGGCCCCAGTGATGTACTGGGTCGTACGCACTACCCTCTGTAGTGCCTTGCGGTCGGAGGCCGAGCAGCTGCCATACCAGGCAGTGATGCAACCAGTCAGGATGCTCTCGATGGTGCAGCTGTATAACTTTTTGAGGATCTTTTGCGTCTCCTGAGGGGGATAGGCTTTGTTGTGCCCTCTTCACGACTGTCTTGGTGTGTTTGGACCATGATAGTTTGTTGGTGTGTCACGTTCGTTGAATACAGGATTGGACCAAGGTGCAGCGTGGTATGCGTACATGTTCGTTTATTAAATAAACACTGAACAAAACAACAAAAGTAACGTAACGTGAAGTTCTAAAGGCTAACATCAAACAAGCCAAACACACAGAAACAAGATCCCCCAAAACAGGTAGGCAACATGGCTACCTAAGTATGATCCCCAATCAGAGACAACGATCGACAGCTGCCTCTGATTGGGAACCACACCCAGCCAACATAGATCTACAATATCTAGATCTATACATAGAAATTCACACCCTGACCAAACCAACTAAAGAAAACCGGGCTCTCAAGGCCAGGGCGTGACAGTGATGTGGACACCAAGGAACTTGAAGCTCTCAACCTGTTCCACTACAGCCCCGTCGATGAGAATGGGGGCATGCTCAGTCCTCTTTTTTTCCTGTAGTCCACAATCATCTCCTTTGTCTTGATCACATTGAGGGAGAGGTTGTTGTCCTGGCACCACACGGCCAGGTCTCTGACCTTCTCCCTATAGGCTGTCTCATCGTTGTCGGTGATCAGGCCTACCACTGTTGTGTCGTCGGCAAACTTAATGATGGTGTTGGAGTCGTGCCTGGCCTTGCAGTAATGGGTGAACAGGGAGTACAGGAGGGGACTGAGCATGCACCCCTGAGGGGCCCCCATGTTGAGGATCAGCGTGGCAGATGTGTTGTTACCTACCCTTACCACCCTTGCAGAGGGAGGTGTTTAGTCCCAGGGTCCTTAGCTTAGTGATGAGCTTTGAGGGCACTATGGTGTTGAACGGTGAGCTGTAGTCAATGAATAGCATTCTCACATAGGTGTTCCTCTTGTCCAGGTGGGAAAGGGCAGTGTGGAGTGCAATAGAGATTGCATCATCTGTGGATCTGTTGGGGCGGTATGCAAATTGGAGTGGGTCTAGGGTTTCTGGGATAATGGTGTTGATGTGAGCCATGACCAGCCTTTCAATGCACTTCATGGTTACAGACGTGAGTGCAAAGGGTCGGTAGTCATGTAGGCAGGTTATCTTAGTGTTCTTGGGCACAGGGACTATGGTGGTCTGCTTGAAACATGTTGGTATTACAGACTCAGTCAGGGACATGTTGAAAATGTCAGTGAAGACACTTGCCAGTTGGTCAGCACATGCTCGGACTACGCATCCTGGTAATCTGTCTGACCCTGCGACCTTGTGAATGTTGACCTGTTTAAAGGTCTTACTCACATCGGCTATGGAGAGCGTGATCACATAGTCATCCGGAACAGCTGATGCTCTCATGCATGCTTCAGTGTTGCTTGCCTCGAAGCGAGCATAGAAGTGATTTAGCTCGTCTGGTAGGCTCGTGATTCAATCTTAGTCCTGTATTGACTCTTTGCCTGTTTGATGGTTCATCAGAGGGCATAGCGGGATTTCTTATAAGCGTCCGGGTTAGAGTCCCGCTCCTTGAAAGCAGCAGCTCTACCCTTTAGCTCAGTGCGGATGTTGCCTGTAATCCATGGCTTCTGGTTGGGGTATGTACGTACGGTCACTGTGGGGACGACGTCATCAATGCACTTATTGATGAAGCCAGTGACTGATGTGGTGTACTCCTCAATGCTATCGGAAGAATCCCGGAACATAGTCCAGTCTGTGCTAGCAAAACAGACCTGTAGCTTAGCATCTGCGTCATGTGACCACTTCCTTATTAACCGAGTCACTGGTGCTTCCTGTTTTAGTTTTTGCTTATAAGCAGGAATCAGGAGGATAGAGTTATGGTCAGATTTGCCAAATGGAGGGCGAGCGAGAGCTTTGTACGCGTCTCTGTGTGTAGAGTAAAAGTGGTCTAGAGTTTTTTTTTCCTCTGGTTGCACATTTAACATGCTGGTAGAAATTAGGTAGAACGGAGTCCCCGGCCACTAGGAGCTCTGCCTCTGGATGAGTGTTTTCCTGTTTGCTTATGGCCTTATACAGCTCATTGAGTGCAATCTTAGTGCCAGCATCGGTTTGTGGTGGTAAATAGACAGCTACGAATAATATAGCTAAAAACTCTCTTGGTAAATAGTGTGTTCTACAGCTTATCATGAGATACTCTACTTCAGGCGAGCAAAACCTTGAGACTTCCTTAGTATTAGATTTTATGCACCAGCTGTTGTTTACAAATATACACAGACCACCACCCCTTGTCTAACCGGAGTCAGCCGTTCTATCCTGCCGATGTAGCGTATATCCCGCTAGCTGTATGTTAGCCATGTCGTTGTTCAGCCACGACTCGGTGAAACATAATATATTACAGTTTTTAATGTCCCGTTGGTAGGATAACCTTGATCTTAGGTTGTCCAATTTATTTTCAAATGATTGTACGTTGGCTAATAGGATTGATGGAAGAGGCAGTTTACTCACTCACCGTCGGATCCTTACAAGGCACCCCGACCTACGTCCACGATATCTCCGTCTCTTTCTCATGCGAATGACGGGGATTTGGGCCTTGTCGGGTGTCTGTAGAATATCCTTCGCGTCCGACTCGTTGAAGTAAAAATCTTCGTCCAATACGAGGTGAGTAATTGCTGTCCTGATATCCAGAAGCTTTTTTTGGTCATAAGAGACGGTGGCAGAAACATTATGTACAGAATCAATTACAAATAACGCGAAAAAACACACATAATAGTACAATTGGTTAGTTTGCCGTCAATGAGTCCTCCTAAGGAGGTAAGACTCTGGGAGATCTACCCCAGTCCTTTGTGTGGCATTCAAGGTTTGATGGCAGGAAGGCCAAAGAGTGCAGAGGAGTGGGCGCTTTGTCCCCACAGACAAAGTCTACATAATGGCTACCCTGCAAGGGGAAGAGAGACAGACACGAGAGGCAGCAAAACCTTGGTGAATGGAACCGAGAATTCTTGATGCATTTTTCACATAATATAGTGTGTGTGTGTGTGTTTTCTCAGTAGACTCAGTGAAATGCCTGAAATGTGTGTGTGTGTGCGTGCTTCATTGTCACTGTTCTCATTACTATACATTAATGCGCTATAAAAAGGAAAATTTTTAAACCTTGACATTCCCTCCACTCTGCTGTAACAGCTAATGATGGCTTGCAGAGTGGGTCCTATATTTCATTAGAGACACCAATAATTACTGACTTCTAAACATACGTAGAGCTGTTAACCAGGTGTTAAGCAGAGAAGCTAAAATAAGCGAAGGTGACTCACTAACAGTCTGTGTCATTCATAAGCATTAATCAGCTCCTATTCTGCAAAAGCATACACTGCTCTCTCATTTCTATCAATTACTCAATGTGGATGAAGGGACTTCCTTTTTCATCATGCTGACGTTGTCAGACATTTTATTTGAATAATGTGTATTATAATGACGGTATTGATAATAGTAATAATAATAATAGTATCCTAGATGTTATGTGTGAGGAGCTACATACACCAGGAATGAAACTGGCTACCAGATAATACAGTAGTAGAACCAGAGGGGAAGAGGCAAAGCGAGAGGCTTGACTCTGCCCCAAAATCTGTCCAGGAGAAGCAGACCAAGTGGGGATTTTTTGTAATGAGTGTCGAATTTCGTAAAAAAAAAAATGTAATTCTAATTTGCTACGGGAGGCTTATTTGAGCTAATTTAAGTTTTGTAATGTTTAGGTTGTTACTAATGTTCTGATGTAAGTGGACACACGTGGCATTCCGACAACTTTGAGAAAGAAAAATATATTTCTAAGTTATGCCTGTTGTTCACACGTGTATCTGCCCTCTCATTTGTTAGAATATTCCCGCCTGACCCCGCCTCCTCCCGTCTGCATTCCGCCTTTTGTGGACATTTATTCTCATTATTAAAGCGGTCAGTCCAGTATCTTGTCAGTATATAGATCATCTTTGGTAGAATTAAAGATGAGCTGTATCACAGAAAAGGAAGTGAAAAGTAATTCTGTGTCTTTGGCTGCGGCCATGTTGACCTGCTCTGTGTGTGTGCTTGCTCCCCCTAGTGGTACCCTGAGGTACGACACCACTGCCCCTCCACACCCATCATCCTGGTTGGCACCAAGCTGGATCTGAGGGACGAGAAGGAAACCATTGAGAAGCTGAAGGAGAAGAAGCTAGCGCCCATCACCTACCCACAAGGCTTAGCACTAGCCAAAGAGATAGGTACGTAGGTCTCTGGGATCCTGAATTAGTGATCATGCATCAGGGATCAACCATGATTGATATACAGTAGTCACTCTGGGTTTGTGATTGGACATGACTGAATCAGCGATTGATTGATTATCTGTCATTGTAATGATTGTTGTTCACAGAGCTGTACAGTATCATGGAACACTTTGTACTCTGCTCTGAGTCCTTATACTTGTTGAACACTGCATAGTTGTTGATGTTATGTCGCCCTAGCTTCACATTCTTGGAATCATCACCCGCCAGCCGTGTATTATGCCAAATAAACAGTCTATCCTCTCCATATCCCTCATACATCTTCTGTGTGTGTTTTCTGGGTAGACTCGGTAAAGTACCTGGAATGCTCTGCCCTGACCCAGCGGGGGCTGAAGACGGTGTTTGACGAGGCCATCCGAGCGGTGCTGTGCCCCCAGCCCACCAAGGTAAAAAAACGACCCTGTCTACTCATCTGATCTCAGACCTGTGGACAGACCAAGAGGGAATGGCTCAGGAATCGCACAACAGCAAATGTTGACTTTAGTTAAATACAAAGTTTGGCAGTTTTACAAAGTGGTCTAATGTTCAGATGAGTCAACATATGTAGTGTTGAGTCTTGCCATCTGTAGTGTAGATCCAGCTATACGTATGTAGTGTATGCCTCAATCCCAAATGAATGGAAGATAATAGAACCGTCTAATTGTACCATTACAGATGGTGCCGACCTTTCCCACTCATTGGGGATTGAGGCATATAGCTGGATGTACAGAACAGATGGATTCATCTCAACGTTAGACCACTGTTCAGGTCTGAAAACAACCATCAGACTTTCTGGATCATCACTATAAATGTCCTTAATATTTTCAAGACAAATCCAGGATAAGAACACATGGATAAGTGTTTTAGATTCATATATTGGTATTTGTTTTTGGTTTCTGACTCATTTTCTCGACAGTACCTCACTTCTTCTATATGGTTTGTTTATGCAGTGACTGGTCCTTACTGTACAAGAAAGACACTGAAAAATAAATAGACCAAACATTACGGTGTGTATAGTCAGAAATGTATTGTAAAATTCCGAACCAATTGCACCATCCTTTCCAATAACGTAAGAAACTCTCTAAAATGATCATGTTGTTTACTGTATAAAATGTATTTTTTATATTTTGACATGATACAGCATTGTACTATATTTCTTAGATACTGTATTACTTCTCTCTCTATTACAATTTTACATATGAGTGTCTCATTCTGTACTGATCAAAACTTATTTTCTATTAAGTGCCTTCTTCCATTGGGGTAGAATTAGTGAAATTAGCTTTTACTCTCCCCTCCATATTTGTATTTTATTTGGCTCTATACTCCATCATTTTAGATTTGATACAGAATGTTTCATATACACTGAGTATATCAAACAAAAGGAACACCTTCCGAATATTGAGTTTGCACCCCCCCCCCCCCCCCTCAGAACAGCCTCAATTCGTAGGGGCATGGACTCTACAAGGTGTCGGAAGCGTTCCACAGGGATGCTGGCCCATGTTGACGCCAATGCTTCCCACAGTTGTGTGAAGTTGGCTGGATGTCCTTTGGGTGGTGGACCATTCTTGATACACACGAGAAACTGTTGAGCGTGAAAAACCAGCAGCGTTGCAGTTCTTGACAAAAACCTGTGCACCTGGCACCTGCTGCCATACCCCGTTCAAAGGCGCTTACATTTTTTGTCTTGCCCATTCACCCTCAGAATGGCACACATACACAATCCATGTCTCAATTGTCTCAAGGCTTAAAAATCATTCTTTAACCTGTCTCCTCCCCTTCATCTACACTGATTGAAGTGTATTTAACAAGTGATATTAATAAGGGATCATAGCTTTCACCTGAATTCACATGGTCAGTCTATGTCATGGAAAGAGCAGGTGTTCTTAATGTTTTGTATACTGAGTGTTAAGGGGACAGTACAGCATGCCAGCTTTTATTTGAGGGTATTTTCATACATACATTATCTGTTTTGCCGTTTGGAAATGAAAGCACTTTATGTTTCTAGGCACCCCATTTGAAGAAATCATAAGTATTTGGACTTAAATCAAAAGTTTAGTATTTGGTCCCATTTTCCTTGCACATCAAGCTTGTGACTTTTCAAATGTGTTGGGTGCTGGCCTCCCGAGTGGCACAGCGGTCTAAGGCACTGCATTGCAGTGCTTGAGGCGTCAGTACAGACCCGGGTTTGATCCCGGGCTGTGCCGCAGCCGGCTGCGACCGGGAGACCCATGAGGCGGCGCACAATTGGCCCAGCGTCGTCCGGGTTAGGGGAGGGTTTGGCCGGCCGGGATGTCTTTGTCCCATCGCGCTCTAGCAACTCCTGTGGCGGGCCGGGCGCATGCATGCTGACACGGTCCCCAGTTTTACTGTGTTTTCTCCGACATATTGGTGCGGCTGGCTTCCGGGTTAAGCGAGCAGTGTGTCAAGAAGCAGTGCGGCTTGGCGGGGTCGTGTTTCGGAGGACGCATGGCTCTCAACCTTTGCCTCTCCCGAGTCCGTACAGGAGTTGCAGTGATGGGACAAGACTGTAACTACCATTTGGGGTGAAACATTTATTATAAAAATACATGTTGGGTGCTTTTGCGGTTCATTTTGGTTGTGTTTCAGATTATGTTTTGGAACTGAATGGTGAATAATGTCTTGTGCCAATATGTTTCATGTGGATGCTACCATGATTATGGACAATCTTGAATGAATCGTGAATAATGATATGTGGCACAAAGATCATACCCACCCCCCCACCCCCCCCAACCAAAAATAAAGGATTGTTTTGTTGTAGCCTCTGAATGGCATCTCAGTCATTATTTAATTATGATTTTCTTAATCATGGCAATATCAGGATTAATTTAGAAGTGTTCAGAAACATCTAATCAAGGGAATATAGGACCAAATCAAGGAATATGGGACCAAATACTAAACTTTTGACTATTTTAATACACTATAAGTGAATTTGTCCAAAAACTACTGACCTATTCTCATGGGCGGGGACTAGATACATACAGTGTTTTCATTTCTAAACAGTAAAACAGATAGGCCTATGTATGAGAATACCCTCAAATAAAAGGTGACATGCTGTACTTTCGCCTCATATGAAACATTTAATCTCAAATCCAAAATGCTGGAGTATAGAGCCAAATAAAAAATTGTATATACCAGTATACAAGTTCTACTGGGGCCTATTTTTACAACAGCTACCTAGACATCCTCTCCCCTCCAGGGCTACAGCATTGTACTGTGATGTGTCAGAAACCGACATGTACTACCATATACATCTTTAAATAAACTCTTATTTTCTCTAGTAGCCTTGTGTATTGATTCCAACCACAGGCATCACTCTCTCATGTTTCCTGTAGGGGGAATAGATGATCTGCAGAGAGGCAGGATGTAGGGGTTTATTCCTCTGACTCATGACAGGCATCTCTGCTGAACCCTTTGATTCATCCTTCTGGCAACTAGACTCTGAGCAAACTTTGATACAAAGTCGTTTTCACACATACAGTTAAGGGTTTATTCAAACACCCATGTTTTGCAAGGGTGCTTTGGCTGTTCTCTCCTCAGGTACAGCACAGTAGGCTACAATACAGTGTGTGCTGGATGCTGCTGGAACAGATGTTTCAGTAATCGAACATGAGCTCTGTGTGTAGTCCTAATGATAAAGGCTGTCATTGAATCACTACTTGAAAGCCTGGTGTGATTGTGTTGGTTTTAGCCAAAGATGTAGACCAGTGCTCTCCAACCCTGTTCCTGGAGCGTTACCGTCCTGTAGGTTTTCACGCTAATCCTAATCTAGCGCACCTGATTCTAATAATTAGCTGGTTGGTAAACTGAATCAAGTTAGTTACAACTGGGGTTGGAGCAAAAACCTACAGGACGGTAGCTCTCCAGGAACAGGGTTGAGGATCCCTGATGTAGACACACACACACACTCCGTAGAGCTAAGTTTCATTAAATTAAGTAAGTCATTAAGACTAGCTTTTTGGTTGAGACTGATGTGCCTGCGCTCAACAACAGATGATTGAGAACGGGGAACCTGGAGCGGGCTGCTTATCCACTGTAGAACCACTGGTCCACAACCGCTCCAGGCACTGTCTGATAAGCTGATTTGGATGGTGATTAAGTTTGTTATTGTAGCTGTGAACACACAACTCAGCCCAGCCTCTGGGTCCTTGTCAGACCAGCTCTGATCTGCCACGTGTGTCCTCTGTGTGTGTCTCTGTGTGACTGCCTGGTAAAGTAACTTCAATCAGACACCCTCCCATTGACATCAAAGGGTGTTAAGCCAAAGTACAAACACTGCTGTCACTAAGTTCACAGCTCCAGCTCTCAGCCACATCAGAACCTGTTTGATTGAGCCCTGGAGTTGAAGAGACATTACAGGTTATAGTGAAGTTAGATGACGAGACATTACAGGTTATAGTGGAGATAGATGAAGAGACATTACAGGTTATAGTGGAGATAGATGACGAGACATTACAGGTTATAGTGGAGATAGATGAAGAGACATTACAGGTTATAGTGGAGATAGATGACGAGACATTACAGGTTATAGTGGAGATAGATGACGAGACATTACAGGTTATAGTGGAGATAGATGACGAGACATTACAGGTTATAGTGGAGATAGATGAAGAGACATTACAGGTTATAGTGGAGATAGATGAAGAGACATTACAGGTTATAGTGGAGATAGATGACGAGACATTACAGGTTATAGTGGAGATAGATGAAGAGACATTACAGGTTATAGTGGAGATAGATGAAGAGACATTACAGGTTATAGTGGAGATAGATGACGAGACATTACAGGTTATAGTGGAGATAGATGACGAGACATTACAGGTTATAGTGGAGATAGATGACGAGACATTACAGGTTATAGTGGAGATAGATGAAGAGACATTACAGGTTATAGTGGAGATAGATGAAGAGACATTACAGGTTATAGTGGAGCGAAATCAGGCCACATACAGTACATTCCTGATTATTAGGGCCTAGTGACTATAGCTAGAGCCTAGAGTTATTCCTGGTTAAGACACATGGTAAGGAAGAACTCAGTCCTAACAAGATACCAGACATATAAACATGTGGCTTTCAGAGAATAAGACGGGCAATATGTGTAAAGTCAGGGCGGTCCCATGGCACCGTGCTCAACGATGCTGCCAGTGAGGAGGATCAAGGAGGCAGTTGCCACCGTCGCCTCGTATCACAGAGCATCACTGAGCTAAAGACAGAAAGGCAATCAGCTGGAGTCAAAGCTCATACTGCACACAGACACTCTGTGGGTGCAATTGATGCACAATGCCCCTAAATAGCTTCTTAGATTAAAGTAAAGGGGAGGGTTCAGCTGAGGTTAGCTCCCAGGATCAGTACTCTGCCACCGGCTGCAAATGAGAGACCCTGGCCCCAT